GGCCATAGGGTAACTGGTGGGGGTAACTCTATCTAAAGCTATAATACGACAGCAAAAGTGGAAGATGTTGCAGTTTTCCAACTTATAGTTTTTTTTCCAACTTACCTTACTATAATCAATTTATTCTACTTTTAAATGACTTTTTTTAAAAAGCTGCATTTTATTATTATCAAGAGAGTACATAGTCGTAATGTAAGATGCAAAACTAAATGCCTTTATTAGTCACTTAATAACACTGATTTAAATAAATTTTGGAGTGTTGCCCAAAAAAAAAAAAAATTTGGAGTATATTCCAAACTTTTCATCTTTTAATTACTGTAAAAAATTCATTATTTACTACAAAAGTAATATTTTTTACATGAATGATGTCGAATAAATACGCAATAGTTTTGTTCTATAAATAATATGTTTTTAATCAAACATTTCAACATATATGAAGTATTACATCGCTATAAAAAGAGCAATGCATATAGTAATACTTACAGATACAATTATAACTAAAGCCATTTTGACTTAGTAGTATATTTTAATTTATAAAATATAGCTAATTGATACTAGTTGTTACGGTGTGTACAGAGCATTAACAAATTGTCTAAAGATACGTATTATAACCCACACACAAATTATTTCTATCGTTATTAGACATTAGTAATAATAGTATCAATCATTTCCCTCATTATTTTTGTTGTTCGTTATACTCTTTACTAATTAGCAAATGAAGTATAACTAATTGTTGTCGTCAGAAGCGAAACAGACTTGTGAATAAACAATGATTAATAAGAAAAATTAGTTTCTTGGACATGCAGTAGAATTATTTATTTCCTTAACATTAATGATTAATACAATGTAGAAATACATAATAATTCTTCGTTATCGTAGTTGGGAAAAAAATAATCAATTAATGATCATGTTTCATGTTATTTGAGTTAATAATGGAGCATATGATAATTGAGTATTTGAGTCATTAATTGTTTTGTTCTTTGAAATGACCAACTAGAATCAACGCGAAAGACACATAGCGCATTTTATGTCACATTATAGTAGTACGGTATATAATTTCTCTATGTTAATTTATTGTGTGCAGTATATTATCATGCGTATACATATATCAGATATAATTGTATAAATAAATCGCACATAATTTCTCTATGTTATTGTATTTTAGTTTTTCATGCGTCATGACGAGCTAAGAAGACACTAAGCATATTCAGGATAGGTTCAAAAAATTGATAGTTCGAATAAAAAAATCTATATTCAATATTCAAAATTTTGAATAATTTAATATAAATGTTAGATTGCATCGTTATAAAAAAAACAATACTTCTTTGGGAATTTTTTAAAAATAATTATTGTTGTAAAACGTTATTTCCATAGTTCTTAATAAAACCGTATAATGTTACTAGTATTCTAAAATCATCACTTAATTCGCATGTCCTCTAAACTACATTTTTTGTCAACTATCCATTTGCTCTAAACTATACACTTGAACATATTCTAATAAATTGTTTAACAGATGTGTAAGAGTTATTAGTTAATGAAAAATTATGTGAATTTGCTACAAAATAATTTTATGGTAGACGATATTGTTGCTATTCTAAAGATGGGTTTGGAGAAAAGAAGAACATCTTTTCTATTCTATCAACGATGAGTATATTTTTGTAAAAAACTATTGTTGTATGTTATTTTTTAAAAAACTATTGTTGTATAATACAGATAATGGTGGAGTGGCAAGTAATTTGAAATGTTGTAATAATATATAGAAGAAAACCCTTCAAACAAAAAAAAGCATATCCTTTTCACCGAACAAAACAGAGCTTATGTTCCCTATTAGTCTCGGGATCTATAAAAACAAGTGAAAAGACAGAATTCGTTAGTTTCCTATGAGATTTATGGTGTCAGAACACGGAAGATTATAATTTTTCTCGAGGAGTTTCTCAAAAAATTATTGTTAAGCAAAGACGAATAAAAAAAACTGACCACGTAAAAAAGAAAGAAATAAAGACAGAAGAGTAGGTCTTAACGTTCCATCTGTTTCCCATGGAGGCTATCTGTCCTTTCTTCTCCTTCCGACCAAACACGTCCTCTTCATCTTTTTTTTTTTTTTTTTTTTTTAAAGAGTAGTTAAGATGTGATGTAATATAATATAATATAGCAAGACAGTCCATAATGTTTCAATAAACAGTATTGTATTATCAACCTTCGTAAGAAAAAAAACTCATGATATTAGACCATCTTTAACGGTAGTATCTGAATATGAGTTTTTCATTCTAAGTGTGAACACAATTTATAATGTGAACACAAATTTCATTAAAAAATATTTTTGAGTAGACAAATTATAAAAGGACAAGTGTCAAATGAGTCTCTCATAAGAGTTCTATAATCTCTAAAACTAGAATCGGTTCTCACCATCTCTCTTACTTTTTCTAATATTTTGATTATTTTATTAGTGAGAAACTCTCCTAAATACTACCACAGATGCTCTTAAGATATAAACAAAAAGTTTTGTGACCAAAAATATGATAAACGTAGTTGAAAGTTCATTAGCGTCAACATTAGTTTAAAATTAGTTTCCTTTGATTGTAGCTATTACAAGTTAATAATATGAATATCTTAAAAGAATTCAAATATTCGGACAAAAATAGTAACAACTATATAGTTCATGAATCCAACCATTGCTCCGACCACTATATAAACCCCTTCCCCCCCACCCCATAACTCTACTCCTCACCAATATATACGCCAATGACCCATAACTCCCACATCCATTTAATCATCTAAACATATATTCTTTTACAATTCGAAAATAAAAAATATTAATAGAAAAATGCCTTCTTGTTCAGTGAGAGAAACTTCGAAATGCATTGTGTATCCGGAGAAGAAGTCCACCGTGTCTGATCTCCGTCTCTCCGTCTCCGATCTCCCTATGCTCTCATGCCATTACATCCAAAAAGGCGTGCTCCTCACGCGCCCTCCTCCTTCCTTCTCCTTCGACGACCTTGTCTCCTCCCTCCGCCGCTCTCTCTCCTCCACTCTCTCTCTCTTCCCTGCTTTAGCCGGCCGTTTCACCACCACTCCTTCCGGCCACATTTACATCACTTGCAACGACGCCGGAGTTGAATTCGTCTCCGCTTCCGCCAAACACGTCGCCGTCTCCGACGTTCTCTCCCCCGGTAAAGACGTCCCTCTTCTCGTCCGCGAGTTTTTCGTCTTCGAGCGTCTCGTCAGCTATAACGGCCACCATAAGCCTCTCGCCGCCGTCCAAGTGACGGAGCTCGACGACGGTGTCTTCGTCGGATGCACCGTTAATCATTCCGTTACAGACGGAACTTCCTTCTGGCACTTCTTCAACACCTTCGCTGACGTCACCAGCGGCGCTTGCAAGATCAAACACCTTCCGGATTTCTCCCGCCACACCGTCTTCGACTCTCCGGCCGTTCTGCCAGTCCCTCCCGGCGGTCCACGTGTAACATTCGACGCCGATCAGCCTCTCCGGGAGAGGATTTTCCATTTCAGCAGAGAAGCGATTTCGAGACTCAAACAGAGGACTAACTACAGAGTTAACGGGATCGAGACGGCCGTTAAAACGGAAGAGATACTCGGGAAAGTGAGCAACGATGGGAGGAAGTTTAACGGTAACGGAGAAGAGGCTAACGGAAAGATAACAAAGGGTTTTTTGAAATCGGATACGAATAAGAAGAATTATGATCGAACGGCTGAGATTTCGTCGTTCCAATCTCTGAGTGCTCAGCTATGGCGATCGGTTACACGAGCAAGGAACCTAGATCCGAGCAAGACGACGACGTTTAGGATGGCGGTCAACTGCCGGCACAGGCTTGAGCCTAAGATGGATCCTTACTACTTCGGAAACGCGATACAGAGCATACCGACGATGGCGTCTGCGGGAGATCTGCTCACTAAAGATCTCCGGTGGTCTGCCGATCAGCTTCACAGGAACGTCGTGGCGCACGACGACGCGACGGTCCGACGGGGAATCGCCGCTTGGGAAAGTGATCCGAGGGTCTTCCCTCTCGGAAATCCAGACGGCGCTTCGATCACCATGGGGAGCTCGCCGAGATTCCCAATGTACGACAACGATTTCGGATGGGGAAAGCCATTAGCGGTGAGGAGCGGCGGAGCGAACAAATTCGACGGGAAGATCTCGGCGTTTCCCGGGAGAGAAGGAAACGGAAGCGTAGATCTGGAAGTAGTTCTGGCGCCGGAAACCATGGCAGGGATTGAGAACGATCCCGAGTTTATGCAATACGTATCTCAAGTCAGTTACGACTGCTGAAAACGACATCGTTTCGCTTTCATCTGATACCCAAAAAAAATAACTCTAAGCCGAAAGAGGAACTGATGATGGCATGGCACTATCAACGGTTGAGATTTATCTACATAATTTTAGATATTTCGATCGAAGGGTTGTAAAACGACGGCGTACTATATAAGTCAATACTGGTCTTTGTTGTATCCTTCACTGGTCACGTTCTTAATGTGACAATTACTGTACATAATCCCGTCTTTTTCAATTCGATAATGGAACCTTTTTTTCTAAAATCATAAACCTGTATATTAAACTCTATTCACTTTTTTTTTTTGTTCTTGATTTTTTTATAGATGAAATAACAAAAAAATTACGGACAGAATAATTGACTTGGGGCCATCTTGATCGTATTGTTTCGGGGAAAGAACCGATTGGCAACATGGGACCCAAGCCATGCTTCTAAGCTATCCACTTGTAGCTGAAGGCCCAAGGCTTTAGTGTGATGATAAATGGGAGTATTTATAGGATAGTGCCTTGTACACTAATATGCATTGTTAGTTAGCCGCGTGACAACGACGACGTAAAGTTCATAATCGTTGGATATATACAATTTTGATAAGTTCATTTGATAGCGTATACTTTGTTTTTATTATATATTTATCAAACCTGTTGATTAGTTCAGTTTTTTTGGGTTCAAATTCACGTTTTCCGAGCCTTAATAGTAACATGCGAAACATAAAAACAAGCTGCTAATCATTTTATACAAAATCAAGAAAAAAAAACAATAGTTTCCTGCATATGTAAAAATAAAAACACAAAGTAGTGATCTAAAAGTACTAAAACCCTAGAGGCCAAAGTCCAAACAAGGTTTTAAACCCACATTAGACATAGATACATATCTTACAACGTCAAGCCCTTTTCATGAACACATAAGCAACAAGCAATCCAAGTATAAGATAAAACACCATTAACCAAACAGAGGATTTTCAGCTTAAATCTTCACATTACAAACCAATTCCTCTTTTATTGCTTCTTCTACGCGTTAACTTCCGGCACCGGAAACAGTCGTTTAACCAACCAATGCACTGGTCCCAAAACCTCAGCTTTCTTCTTCCTCCAGAACCAAATCGCTGCACTGTACTGTTCATTGCGTATCTTTGTCGTTGCTGCTCTCCAATCATACTTCTCGGTTTCTTCTCTTGCCGCTTTTCCAATGATTTCTCTTTTTTCACTGTCGTGTAACAAAGTTCTCAGCTTTGTCACGCAGTCTTCCACATCTCCAGGGTTGAACAAAAACCCTGTTTTGCCCTCCTTGAAACATCAGAAAACAGAAACAAAGAAGCTCAATAATCACCTAAAGCTGAATTTAGAGCAGAGCCGAAATTTTGGATAAAAGATAATTACAAGCATGACATGTTCGGAGAAGTTTTTCCTAATTTAGATATTTCACTGACCTGGTCTTCAGGAATTATATCAGGGATTCCACCGGCACGAGCCGCAACAACGGGAAGTCCGGAAGCCATTGCCTCAAGAACCACAAGGCCAAGTGTCTCTGATTCTGATGGCATCACAAACACATCTCCGCTTGCGTAAGCTTGTGAGAGTTCATCGCCTTGTAACATTCCGGTGAAAACCGCTGGCATCCCGGTAAACAACTTCTCAAGATCCTCTCTTTAAGAAAACCAGATAGATAAGAACAAGAAAACGTTACAATGTTGCGTAAAACTCTTTAGAAAAACAATATTGGCCAATCTTTAACGATATTAGTACTTGTATGGTCCATCTCCAATGAAAGCAATCCGAGCTTCAGGTAATTTGTCCATTACACTGCACACAGATTTCTCAAATTTAGAATATGATACACCACTTAAAAGGAATGAGACCAATTTACAGATACAAAAAAAAAAACCTTTTTAGAAGCTCCAAACTCTTTTCTACGCCGATACGGCCTACATGGATCACTAGTGGCTTTTCTGGTTCGCCATTACTGTTAATTACAAATCATTAAGATTAGCACGGAAAGTATTAATGTTCTGAATCTATAATACAGAAAAGGTATTATATTTTATTCTTGCCTCAGTCTTATACGCATTTCTTGAGAACGGAAACGGGGATTGAAGCTTTCTGAATCGACACCCTTGTTCCAAAGTCGAAGTTGATTGGCTTCAAGATATAATAAAAAGGAACGATGTTAGTTTTTAACAATCACAGAGTTTGTATGATAATGTAATGTTTTATCTTTCTTCACCTGCAGTTGCACCAGCTGCTATAAGATCTTTTCCAATGGCAGCGGAGGGAACTAATGTAAGATCAGCCGCTCTGTGAAGAAATCCTGATAAAAGCTTATTCAAGTTTAGTTACATAATAGTTAACAATAACCGGAAAAAAAAGAAAGAAGGAAATTTTGACATTTGAGAAAGAGAGTTTACATACTTATTACTGACCACATTGGTTGGACCAACCAACTAAAAGTGTATCTTGGGATGTATCTGCAAATCAACACAAGCTTAATCTTCAGAAACATCTCGTTAATTCCCAAGTTAGAAACAAATAATTTCTGACAACAATTCAACTGAGGGAGATAAGAAGCTTACACAGGGACGTGCGTATGGTAAGACATTACTATTGGTACAGATAGCATTTTTGCTATTGCCAGAGCACCAAAAACCTGAAAATGTAGTCAATTGTGAATTGTTAAGAACTTTACTGTTTCTAGTGATGTGAATTCTAAGGGCCTTACCATTATCCCGGGAGATGAAGCGTGAATTATGTCAGGCTTAAACCGAGCAATTTCTGAGATTATTCTTGGACTAAGCGCAAGCGACAGGGGAACCTTTTGGTACCAAGGGCACGGGAAGCTGCAGAACAGAACGAAAAATTAGCAATGAAGCTAAATCGAGAACATCTATAGAGTTTTTTTAGTCAGCAGAATGTAGCTACCTTCTTGATCCAATGACTTTGGCTCCATAAAACTCTTCGGGAACACCTTCATGTGTCGTTACGACTATAACCTGTTCAGCACAACAGTTTAATCAGGTTTAAAAAAAAAAAAGTGGGTGCAGTTTTCATTTGAAGGATTCGATACTTTATTACACAAGAAAAGAACAAACCTCGTCTCCCATTTCACGAAGATACCTAATGAAATTCTGGAATCTATTTTTGTATCCAGAGACATAGCTGCAAAATTAAGACGAAGTTAAGTGTAATATAACAACATAACAACATCCAGATGTTAAGAAAGCTTATGATCAATAAAATTTAGCCATAGATGCATATGAGAAAGAATAAAAAAATATCCTGATCCATATCAGACACTTTGAGCTCAAAACTCTATGGATGAAATTGGTTCCAGAAGGATCTGTAATATGGTAAAAGTCTCGAATTTAGTACTACAAATTCGGCGTAGAGTACGAATACACACATCTAAAAAAGTGTGCTATGATGATCATTGGAAAATACATCTCAGGAAAGTCAACCAAGGAAGGATCGTAAGAATTCTTTTTCACGCAGACATTTCGTCGAACACAAAACAGGCAAGACACTCTGTAGAAGGGTCAAAGCACCAAATAACACAAGACTTACGCAAACGGCGAAGGCTCAACAAAGAGAGCAATTCTCCTCGGCTTGGAGTAGGACTCAGGATCGAGAAGCGGAGCCTCAATCTCCGATTCGTCTTCTTCCCTAACTTCTGTAATTGTCATATCGTTTGACCCAGAGGCAGAAACCAGCTCGCGCCTACTCTCTTCGCCGAGGAGCTTACGTTTCTTGCGAATCAAGCTAATGGGTATTCTCTGGGGACAAGAAGCACCGAAGGAAACAGGGGAATTAGCAAAAGAACACCTGGGGGAACAAGTGGTTGCAGAGAAAGAAGGAGAAGAAGAACAAGTGTTGCTAGGAAGAAAAGGAGGAGTTAGAGAGAGATTTATAGAGAGAGAAGAAAGGGTCATGACTTTTTATTTTACAAAGCTTAAATTAATAATTTTTGACGATTTGGGTGTCGTAAAATCGATTAAAACAGAAACATCAGAAGGAAAAAATCAGTTTTTTTTTTTCGGGGGAGAAGGAATCTGAAGAGGAAGAAAGAGTAAATAAAAGGGATAAAAGGGATATCCGCTTTGTGAGGCAGGAGACAGATCAGCATTATACGAAACGTTTTTAAGCATATGCTTCATTTTGATGTGTTGTCTTGTTTCTATTTATTTTATTTAATTTAAACTATTTTCTGGAGCCAAAAACACTTGTTCTCTACATTCTTCTGTTTTTTGGTTTAATAAAAATGGGAAGTTTAAGAAATATTATATTCTTATGAATTTACCTTTCCATCTGAATTGAGTGACTCGAATTTGATAGTGAATCATGTCGTTTTAACGGTTTATATGAAACTCATGTGGTTAATTACAAAATGTAAACACACGTTCAGATAATCATGCTATCGATTTGATATTTATAGAAACTAATTCCAGTTTGGGTTACAGACTAGTTACTAATGAGACAAATCTTTGGAGAAGCGGCCAACATATTCGCATTACTTACTCCCACCGATATTCTTTTTAGAAAAACCATGTCCACATTGTTGGCTGACTCCATGATATTTTGAGAGACTATTGTAATAATTTATAAAAAGAAGTCTAATTTATATGGATCCTTCGCACCAAATGCTCATTTAATCAAATAAACTGATTAAGAAACACGACTTTTTGTTAAGTATTATAGTAAGTTTTTATTATTGTGCCGAATGTTTAACGATGATGATAGTTGTATTTTGCAACAATCACAATAACGTAGTTCTCAAGACAAAAACTTGACTTTGTTATTTTGGTCAATGGATTTCGTTACCTATATCAAATCATTAGCCACGCTAATTATCTCGATAATCCAATTACTTGTAGAACTCCAATTACTTGTAGATCGAAATGACATACTCAAGTCAAATCAATACGCCAAGACAACCTTATAGACAAGATTTTTATATTGTTAAACAGATGCAATAAAACAAAAGGGACAAAACTAGAGATATATGGTATCGGAAATTTATTCCATTGAATATTCGCTTCACGTATAAGCATCTGCATGTGGAAGATCCAACTTGAAGAACTGTAATTTTTCTGAATTATCAATAATTTCTGGTTTTTCGGTTTATTTTATTTTTGAAGGTTAGAGTCAGCAATAATTTAACGAGATGTAACTTGTCTCTTTTCTTTCTAATGTGGTGTTATACTCGATTCAAAATTTACGTAACTGGAAAAAGAATTCTTCTCCACGCTAGTCTTCAATTTACGAAGGTAATAGTGAATCTTTCTAACAATTGATTACTATTTACTCGACGAAAACATGATTACAGTACTTTCAAGTTCAAGGTTTCTATATTTGATTTGTTTGTTTAGTAGAAAAACCTTGTCAAGCGGATGATCCAAAAATCTACTACAGCAGATGGGCTAATCTAGCCCCATATTACTGTTAGTAGGCTCAGATGTGGGCTATATTTTCTTTGTTCTATTGGCCCAAATATGATTAGAGTTGGCTCTGACGTGGGTTACAAAAAGATAAATAAAAAGAGAAGCTATCACTTTTTAATTTACGAAACTAATGATAATTCAGTATCATAAAGGAAAGATAGCCGCATATCAACAGGTGAATTAGGGTTCTTCGTTCTTTGCAAAGGTCTGTCTTTTCCGACGATTTTGATCCTGTTTGATTTCTCAAATCTCAACCAATGTGTCTAAAAGCAACCAAAGTATATGTTCACATATGGGAAGAATTTGTGAATTGCCCGACGATTTACTGGTGACAATTTTGTCATTCGTTACGACAAAAGAGGTAGTGGCTACGAGTATTTGGTCAAAAAGATGGCGTCCAGTTTGGAAAAAGGCTCTAAATCTTGATAGTGAGTGTGTAGAGCTGTGTGCCATATGCTCTCTCGATTGTTTCTCTTTTATACTACTGCATACCCATAAAGTGCGAGTTCTCAGGTTCAAACAACATAGATGTTGTCCCAACCTTTTGGGAGAAAACTGGAAGGAGCCGAATTTTGTTCCTCTAAATTTGTTTTCGAGTGTGGAAGCTGTTGAGTGGATTGGGTATCAAGGAAGAGAGAAAACAGAGAGAAGAGAGCAGTGATCTACATCTTACATAATGCTCGCTGCCTAAAGACGCTGACTGTTACACCTGCAATATCCAACACGTATGGCGACAACACCTTCATACTGGCTAAGTTAGAGTGCACCCGGATGCTTTCTAAGAGAGTTAATGTTTCACTTATACGTTAATTTGTGCATGCGCACCGGGCTAAGGTCTCATTCAACATCAAATCTCCCTGTGTTTTAGCTTTTGTTTATTAAACCTTTTATTTAATGAATATTAAACCTAATTTGGTTATAAAAAACAAACGAAATAATAGTACTATTTTTAGAACAAATTTTAAATAATATTAAGATACAGTTATGTAGGAGTTAATTTAAACAATCAAAACTTCCTGTGTCTATATATATGACAAGAGAGAGGACATATATAATGAATGGGAACCCACACTGGGGTAGGACCCCTAATATTTCACCTAAAAAACACAAAGCTGATAACAATGACAAGAAAATAATGAATCTAATTTTTTTTTTTGGTCTAATTTAAAATAATGCATATGAAATATTCTTACTCATCTCGTTTTTATTTTGAACTTTCTTTTTGTTAATAGTATTACTTAATTTTACTCTTTACTTTAAACCTTTTCACTCGTCTTACTTTTGACTCAGTTTTAGAAAAAAAAAATCACATCGTCTTCATAGAAAAATCACAAGCTAATGGGATAAAAATGAGAAGTCAAGAATCAATAATATTTTCTTTTATAATTATATTCTCCCCACCATTATTCTTCATCAAGACACCTCTCCCCATAAATACTCTTCAAAACCTCACACGTCTCAATTTGTTTCTCTTTCTCTCTCGCTCTCTCTTTCTCTAGCTCAGACATATTTATCGATAAAGTTTCAGACAAGAATATGTCTCGAAGAGCATGCAAAAGAGTTAGCTTTAGTCCGGACCCGGAAGCAAACGAAGAACCGATCTACCCAACACACAACGGCCTCAGCTCATCGCGTCATGGTCGTCGGAGAATCAACTTAAGAATTTTCAGTTTCGGCGTCAGAAGTTCGCCGGCACCGAAGAGATTACTCCGTCGTATTGGAGCCAGCGTCACCAAAACGCTGCGTTTTATGTCCTTGGGAAGGAAGACTGCTAAGGCCAAGTCGACGCCGTTTTCTTCTTCGAGAAACGTTTCCTCGTCTTCGTCTTTGTCTTGTTCCTCGTCCTCGTACTCTTCTTCGTCTATATATCTGGTGAAGTCAAAGTCTGTAAACGAATCAGAGTCTCACCGTGCAGAAGCCATTGAGGACTGCATCGAGTTCTTAAACTCTTCTTCGTCTCTGTCGAGATCAAACTCGATCTCTGCGTGGTCTTGCTAAAAAAACGCCATTTTTTAATTGGTAATGTAAAAGATTCTTAATTGGGAGTTGCATAGGTCCGTTGATTTAATTAGCTAGCTAGTGATTACAAAAAGTTATAATTCCCGTCTTCTTTTCAAGTTTCGTTACCAACTTAATACTTCTTTGGCAAAAATATATTTCGACAAAATAAAATCACAACTAAGGTTTATTTCGTAATTTAGGAGTTCATGACGTCGTTTATTTACATTATCGTGTTGTTCATAAGTCATACCGTTCACATCTATGTTCAGTCCAAGTTGTGTATCTTTCGAATTTCAATGAACCACATGAATCGTTCAACTTCGTGATTCCTTCATAAGTAATATTATTACGTTCGAACTACAAATTAATTAAAATTTTTTTTATTCTTATGCAAAAAGAAATAGAAGAAAAACAAAAAGGAAGTGGCCCAGTTTAGAATTCAAAAAGAGCGGTCGAAATCAAAGGACCATAAGAATAAGACAGAGAAACCTTCTTCTTTATTGACCCAATATTTTATGTCTTCCTAGCAGAGAAAATAAAAAGCAATTGGATTTAAACTTCCCATTCTATCTATAGTAAATAAAATATTAAAATAAGTTCATCATAACAAACATTAAGCGTTGCAGAAAGTGTAGGTCCCTGAACACTACTACAGCCTTTTAAAGAATCCAATGAAAAGCTTTCTTCTTTTTCTTTGTTTGTATTACCCTCAAGAGTCTCGGGTGCTTTGTGTTGAAGCTTTCTTGAGCTCTAGAGCTCGTTTATAAGGGGGTGCGATCGGAGGCTGAACCGGGTCCAAACTCTGGTATAATGATCCATTTGCTTCTTTTGGGAGTGGGTAAGACCGGTCTGAGTCATAACCGGTTAAGTCACCACATGCCAAGAATGGAATATAAACTTTGTTGGGTCCTTCAAGCCAACCACTACTGCAATCTGCAGAGTACCAAGAAAACAGAAAATCTCAAAAACAGTAACAAAACAAAATCTCTTTTTGAAGCCGACGTAACAATCAAGAAGATTTCTCTGTCTTTCCTAAAATGTTAAATTCACATGAAGAGAGCATTTTGTAGGTGAGAGTTAGGCTGAGAAAGAGTAAATTGAAAGTGTACTACTCAACAATGGACAAGTTAGTTGTGTCTAACTTGAAGAGCTTCTGATTTTGAAGATCAAGTTAAGAGATTTTTACCCTGATCACTTCCACCTGAAGGGGTTCCGACTTTCTCCAGGAGACGATGCAGATCTTTCGGGTTAAATCCTTCTGGTGGAGAGTAATTTTCGCAGACAGCAAAAGCCTCTATAACAACAAATTTGAGAAATACAATCAGAATTTTTTTTAAAAAGCAACATTTTACATCTTTGATGATTATCCGTAAATGTAAACAAATCATAGTTGCATCACGTGAAAGTTATATACTCTGTTACCTATACTAGAATTTCGGCTGCTTTTCGGTTTCGCAAAAGTTACAGTTGGGAAAAACAACTTCAGCTACACATATAAAAGCAGATAACTGTATATTAGTAAAAGCAAATGTCAATTTCATAAACTCATAAGCACAATATTGAAAACTTACCTGACAATACAAGAGACTTGTATCTTTTCCACGGAAAATCTTCGCAATAAATTTTCCACCTTCTTTAAGAATATGGGTTACAATTGTTAAGCCCTGACGAAAAAAAAGTAGTTCTTTTCGTTATATTTATGTTATCGATAAAACAAATGCTTCAGGTTTATGCTAAATTTGTTCAAGCATGACACACGGGTTCTTGTAACAGAAACCAAGCAACGTACCGCTAGAATGAGTTGGGACTGTACAAATTCATCCATGTCATGCAAACCGGTAACTGCAAACCACATTGTGGAAGGCTTTATTTCGATAGCATGTGGTAAGAAATTGAGCGGTGAAAAAGATTATAACTACAGTTTTACCATCCGGAGCACCATCACAAACAACCAGGTCAGCCTTGCAACCGTCAAAGTGTCTAATGACCTTGAGAGAAAATCGAAAAAAGGTAAGTCCTAGAAACAAACACAAACTTCAAGGATAAGGGAAGTGGAATAAAGAGATGCAAATAAATCTAAGAGATATGAGTTGAGAGAAAATTTCACCACTTGGGCAGTCCGAGCATTAGTTATGTCCCCTTGAACCTGAATGACACCTTCGATTGGAGCCATAGGCTGCAAATCTATGGCCACTATGAGAGGAAGATCTCCTTCTCTGCAAAGTGTTTCAGCAGCAAGAAATCAGTCCGACTTTATCAACAAGTGTGAATTACTAAACGAACATAGTTAAACAGTTGAAGAAAAACAATACTTTGACTCAGTTGAAGACTTTGCAGGAAGATACAACTGACGACTCAAGACCTACAAATGAGGTGCACTGATAAATTCAGAACATTCGTCATAGTGATAATCTGAAAAATAGTTCTACTTCAGCTATATACTTTCTGAACAGTTTCTACTTTCTTCTATAAGAGAATCGCTAAGTTAGAATGGCATGAATAAAATCGAATTCAAGATCACCATACCTGACTCCAGCTACCAGGTGCAGCACATAAATCAACAACCCTCTTCACGCCTGCATAATATAAAGAAGACAAATAGGGGAAGTTTACATGGTCGTTTTTTTATATCTCACACTGTTCAGCTACAAATTCTTCGCTTAAAGTGCTGCATTCATTAAACTAGTAGACGGTTTGTGTGACACTGACTTGGTTACGTCCAAAAAAAAAAGATAAAGGATTCAGCGATCACCTGCAAAAATGTTGAATTCCTCATCAATCTGAAGAAGCTTAAACGCACTTCTCGCACGCCATCCTTCTTCTTTGGCTTTTCGATAGTAGATATCCTGTAAACGTACAATAATCATATACCCAGAGAAATATGCAATTTTTACTTTTATGCTCCAATAAAAAAAAATTCATTCAAGAGGCATACACATATATACATACCCTTTTGTCCCGAGAAGCCTTTCCCATGTCTTCTAAAGAAGAAGAAAAAAAAATCAGAGAAAACTAGAGAAAACTAAAGAGACAGAGATAAGTTAAGTCACAGGGGTGTCTCAGAGGCATTCCATCAAACACATTAAGGGCAACAAAGAAATCTCTGCAAGACTAACAATTTCGGGATTAAATGGATATACAAGATTTATAATGGAAAACCCGTCCACTTACCGCGCAAAAACAGCTATCTATCTGAAGAGTAGCAACAAACCAGAACTTCAAAGACAAAGTGAAGGAGACTTATGCGTGAGAAAGTTTTATCTGTGCCCTAACAATTTGGAAGCATACGGAATTGAGTTACCAAAAATGGTATCCGTCCTATTATTGGGCCTGAGCCCAATTATTTATTGATGGAAATTACTACTTACATACGTAAAACCTGTCCGTATCTAATTTCGACAGTTGGCCCATGTAAAATTCTTGACTTTTCAAGTTTTTTCCTTCCTTCTTCAATTTTAAAAGAACTTTTTTTTTTGCTATTTTTTTGTTTAAAGAACTTTCAAAACTGAATTGATGATATATGAAGACATCTATAATTCTTTTAGTTTTATTTACTAGCAAAAATAGCAGTGGATTCCTACCACATCCCAAGGACATTGGGTGCCAATCTTGTTAAAGAAAAATCACATCCATTGATTGATTTCAGATTTGGATATCACTTTACGATTATAAACAGTCATTAACCCCACTCTAATGGAAAATATTTTCTTACAATATGAAAAATATATATGAACGTTTGCGGAAGAAAAGGAGAAAAGGATTAAAAGTATAGTAATATCGTATTTAAATGAGTGTAACTAAGAGAGAAAAAAATATTTCAAAAAAATATATTCTATATCCAGTAAAAGAAAAAGAGTACACGATCAAAACTTGTGTACGTATATAACCGTTAGAAATGTTAGTATAATACGTTTTGGAGTCAGCATGCAAAAACTCTTTGCAAGTAATAATGAAGAAATAGATCCTTTCAAGTTTCAACGAATTGATATGCCAACAATATGAATGGTCGGTCGATCTAATGTAATGGTTTCACTTCACACAACTATATACTGTATTTATCCCTTAGACGTTTGTCTTGTCTCCCACCCACTTTTGTATCAAAATCTTCTACAAGATTTCCCTTCTCGATCTTTCTCCTAAACAGTTCCCGAAATTTTTAAATTTGTATTCCCTCTAATTTTCCTACTATAATCGCAAGTATAAAAATACTAGATTCTAATAAAAACGAGTAAATTAAAAAATACTATCTATGTTGACTAATTTTTCAAGTGATAATTAATCAGCTCTTATTTTAAAATTTCGTTATAATCAAAAATATCTTCGAGTAACATATTTGAAAAAATTAGTTTTTCATTTCATACAGTGTTTTGAAATTGATAGACACTAGTAATCTGATGAGTTAAGTTGAGTCGAAGAATGAAATCAGAGGGGTAAAACTGGAAAATATGCTTCTTTTGTGTGTTGCCAAACACACTGAAAGCCCAAAAACTTTGGTACATACATAACACATGCGTACCCATGACGAAATCGAATGTTTTTAAAGTCTAAACCGATCCGACCCCATCGGTTTGAAAAGATGATTGTGATTTTAGGATCTGACGGTACGGAGATGGCGAGTGCACAGTGAATAAACAGAGACACGCGTAGAGGAACATGAACAGCCAAGTGGGGTTCAGTGGCTTAATGACGCGCGTGGGGTTTGCTTTAAACGCGTGATTTATTTTTTTAAGACTGTTCCCTGAATGAAAGGCTCAGCTCAAGCCGCCGTCATTTTATTACACTCTCACTCTCTGATTTTTTTTTTCTTTAGGAAGTAAGAAAACTTTTATGAAAAACAAAAATATATATATGTTATTAAAAAAACGAATGTGCACTTCGAAGAAGTTTACAAAAACAAAAAAAAAGTATAGTATTAGAATAATAATACGTACACTAGGAAAATAGTACTGAAAACTATCAATAAGTAACATAGGAGATATGTGTTTTGTAAAGTGAACACATAAAAATTTTAACCAATTGTGACAAATTTAATTCCACTAAATCTAATATAGATTATAACTAATTTTTAAAACAATTAACAAAATGAGTAGAGTTTTCAGAAAAAGAAAATGAGTACAAAGGTGGTATAATAAATTTAAGGGAGTGTTTTCTAATCATAAATAGAGAAGCAGGTAAAAAGGAAGAAAAGAGAAGAAAAAGCTTCCTCTCTCATCTGAGCATGTTTTAGTTGTATAACAAAGGCGGCCGCATTAAAACGGAGCATTTTAAGTAGACTTGGTTATTGCAGTACTCTCCTACTCACTCACCACTTGTATTGTTTACATAACCACATAGCCCTGAGCCCTTCACTCTCTCTTCCAAGTTCCAACCAATTCATCTCTCTCATTCCCTCTCTCTTGTCTTTATCGTTTTAATACTCTCTGCTTTGCTTCTTGAGATTGTAGAACGAGAGACCGAGAGGTAAATAGTCTTTGTGTTTCTTCCGATTCTAAAAGGTAAACAAAAAAGGATAAAGGAAGACAATCTTTGTTTCTTCAAAAAATTATATCTTTTCAAACAAAGAAAAAAATCAGGCTAAAGGTTATATAACCTTTTCAATTTTTTTGTTTGTGTGCCGTACAGATATCGACCGCTAATGTCGGGTGAAAAGCAAGCGGAGGAGGCAATAGTGGTCTCCGGCGTCGGAGAGACTGGTAATGACGTGGCTGGTGGAAAAATGGAAGATCCAATGGTGGAGGACATTGGCGGCGCCGGTGATGGATTTACTGTGAAGAGCTTCCTCTGGCATGGCGGGTCCGCTTGGGACGCTTGGTTCAGCTGTGCTTCCAATCAAGTAAGTAAAGATACACAAAACTTTGGATTAACAAACAAAGCTCCACAAAAACAAAGGTTTCTTATCATCATAAGACCAAATTACTCTTCTTCTTCTTTTTAAAAACATTCTTGAAATTAATAAGGTTTGTAAGGAAAAAAAAAAACAAATTATATATATCCCATTAATTCCACCATAATCATACTAACATAGACTACGAGGAATGATTCTCGTTCACTGTTATCCATCATTATTACACTAATATGTGATTATGTAATAGTTTTTCCAGTGACCACTTTCTTATAAATGGTTGTCTCGGGGTCAATTTCCACTGAAAGTATTTAAGTAAATACAATCGCATATTTGATACCCGAATAACAAGTCTTTTTACATCATATTCCAAGAGAATCGAATTCTACAGATGAATTTATTTTAGTTTTATTAAAAAAAAAAAAAACTATATATGATTGCTGCAGGTGGCACAAGTGCTGTTGACACTGCCGTATTCGTTCTCGCAGCTGGGAATGTTATCAGGAATACTGCTTCAAATATTCTATGGACTAATGGGCTCTTGGACTGCTTACCTCATTAGTGTTCTTTACGTCGAATATCGAGCCCGCATGGAGAAACAAGAGGCCAAATCTTTCAAAAACCACGTTATTCAGGTATTTTTAAAAAATATAAATATGTATACATTATACATACATATAATGATTTTAATTGATGTGTTTTTAATGGTGTGTGTGTGTGTGAATAAATATGTAAATGGAAGTGGTTCGAAGTCCTTGATGGGCTGCTGGGTCCGTACTGGAAAGCAGCGGGGCTCGCCTTTAATTGCACCTTCTTGTTATTCGGATCAGTCATCCAGCTCATCGCTTGTGCTAGGTTCTTTTCCTTTTTACCACTTTTATTTTATTTCCAATTTATTTTTTCTTAATATATACAGATATTTTAAATTTTGCATATGTAAATGTTGTATTGATGGATAAATGTCATGTCCATGTGATGTTGGGTGTGGTGCAGCAATATTTACTACGTAAACGATAGATTAGACAAGAGGACTTGGACTTATATTTTTGGTGCTTGTTGTGCCACGACCGTCTTCATACCATCTTTCCACAATTACCGTATTTGGTCTTTCCTCGGCCTTGCAATGACCACTTACACCGCTTGGTACCTCACTATTGCCGCATTTCTCCACGGCCAGGTACATCGTTACCGTCAAATCGGTTTTCATTTTCACTTGAAAAAAAAAAAAATTATTAATTGTGGCTTAAATCGGTTGTTTTTTTTTCTTTTTTTGTAGGCGGAGGGTGTGACACATTCCGGTCCGACCAAACTTGTGTTGTACTTTACCGGAGCCACCAACATCCTCTATACATTTGGTGGACATGCTGTGACCGTGTAAGTCTTTTTTTTTCATGCATTCTTCAACTAATTGTAGAATGCGCCACAATTAAAGAAAAATAACATATAGGTTGTAAATAATAATGGATTCACAACAATTAACCGTAAAATTAATTCTGATTTAGTAACTTAAAGTTGAAATCTATTTTTCTCATATAGTATTTGGTTTGTTGCAAATTCTCAGAATCTTTATAGTTTCATTTTTTTTTTTAAAAGGAAAGGTTAAAAAAAAAAAAAGGTGTTCTCTCTGAAGATTATGTTTCTTCTTTTTTAATACTCTCCTCTTTTAGCTTCTACAGATGCAGCTTTTGCCGGTTACTTTAGATTCTGTCCGAAAACGCACAAACAGACAAAATCATTATTACGAAATAAATAAAGACAAATTTACCAGAAAAAACTATTTACCTTTTTGGCTTTAGCACACTGGTGTTTTTAACAACCTTTTTACACACTAGCTAAGATACTGAGCTAAAAAATTCCTAATATTTTTTCCCCCACGATATGTACATACTATAATATATCTTTGAGAGTACGTAACGTAACTACACTGGTCGAACCGGACGGCCAATCTCTGGTCGGACCCATTAGACTCAATTAAAAGACTTTTATGCTATATTCCCTTCTCAATTTCTTTAAAAAAATATATATATATATTTTTTTAAAAAAAAAATTGCAGGGAAATAATGCATGCGATGTGGAAACCAAGGAAGTTTAAGAGCATCTACTTGATGGCTACACTGTACGTCTTCACGTTAACGCTTCCATCAGCCTCCGCCGTCTATTGGGCTTTCGGCGACCAACTTCTCAACCACTCAAACGCTTTCTCTCTCCTCCCTAAAACGCGTTTCCGTGACGCCGCCGTTATCCTCATGCTCATCCATCAGGTTCCCTATCTTACTTAATATGCTATAATACATTAATACATGTCTCACAATAATTTCCACTCTGCATTAATGGTTGGTCCAATTCCGTGCCATTAATTTACAACGATAAGAACATTATACTCTTTCGCAACGAAATTTAATACCGGAAGGAAGGAATGTTTAGGTTATGACATGTTGTTATTAAATCTTTTAGGATGCGTTACGCGTTAATCAGACATGTGCTTATCATTTTCAAAATATTAGTAGTCCATTAATCAATTCATGCAATCATCGACTTCTCGATTTATATGTCTAACTGAATAACTAATTTGATGATAAGATAAGTTGAACTATTTCTCGCCGTCTAAACGTTAGGCTACTATTATCTAATTATATGTATTTCTCTTTTTTTTTTTTTCTTTTTGGGTTGGTTTCACAGTTTATAACGTTCGGATTTGCTTGTACGCCGTTATACTTTGTATGGGAAAAAGCAATCGGAATGCACCACACTAAAAGCATATTTGTAAGAGCGATCGTGAGATTACCGGTGGTGATTCCAATATGGTTTTTAGCCATCATTTTCCCATTTTTTGGTCCCATAAACTCTGCGGTTGGAGCACTACTCGTTAGCTTCACCGTCTACATCATCCCCGCCTTAGCCCACATGCTCACCTACCGCACCGCCTCTGCCCGTCGGGTAATAGCTACATGCCTCTCTCGGTCACATTATTATTTATTCCTTGTTTATATTTATAGGTATTTGAATGAAAATAACATATAAAGATAGTTTTGAAGATCAATACTAGTCCTACCCCATATATTGGGGAAATTTTTGGTAGGAGAGAGGTTGGTATAAACATAGGTAGAGTTTATATATGATGAGCTGGCTTCTATTTAGCATTTAATCCCACATCAATGAGGTACGTAGGTCCATAGTATAAATGTGACCATTAATACCACTTGACTAGTTTAAGAAAATTTATAACATACATCCTCGTAGATATATATCTAAATAAGTTCATCTGAAGATACAATACATTACATTGTATTAATTTGTTTTCTTTATATGTAATGGCGTGACAGAATGCGGCGGAGAAACCACCGTTCTTTTTGCCTAGCTGGGCCGGAGTTTACGTGATAAACGCTTTTGTGGTGGTTTGGGTGCTAGTTCTCGGGTTCGGGTTTGGCGGATGGGCCAGCATGACCAACTTCATCAGGCAAATTGACACTTTTGGCCTCTTCGCCAAATGTTATCAATGCAAATCGCCGCTTCCTCCCCCTGCTCCGGTCAATGGTGATCACCACCGCCGCTAAGCTAAGCCGCCGTTAGTGAAGTAAGAAAGTGTGAACTTTTATTTCTTCTTCCCTTATGTATAAAAAGTGTCTAAATTTCAAACGAATTTAATGATACTATAAAGAAATTTGAAACTTCCTTAAATTCACGTGATTAGGGAGCAGGTGCCGTTGTGTTTGTCACGAGCCATTCTTCAGTCTTATGACAGACTGTTTTCCTAACGGGTAGAAAGCAACTGGATGCCGACAAAAATTGTTATCATTTAATCAATCAGCCAATCTGTAAAATACGGTTACAACCAAAAAAAAAAAAAAAAAAAAAGTCTGTCAAATTTCTTCCAAAACTCTACAAATTTGGAATCTTTTTTTTTTTTTTTTTTTAAATATCTCAAATTTGAAATTGTTTATCACTTGAAAATTTCCGCTTAAAAATAAACAAGGCCCAATGTAGACCCAACCAAATTAATGAGCTTTAAAAAGAAGCCTATTAGTATTGAACCTTTCATTTTTCTTTCATTTCGTTGATTTTTGGTAGTAGTTATTTCTTTCTATCGCCGCTGATCTCCTTGATCCATCTACAACAAGTTTTTGTGTGATTTTAACGGAACAAATTCAAACACTCGAATATGGTGCAGAACCAAGTTCACAGATTACGCAGTGCTCTGATACCAATCTCCACATGGCACTTCCTTTCTCGATTTCAAGTTTCCTGCTAATTTTATTCCACAGATGCAACCCGTAGCTTCTCCTCTGCATCTGCACAAGCTTGACCTTGATCCATTTCGAATCTCTCTCCGTCTTTGGCACTTTGAAGAACTTCTCTATCTCGAGCCAATTCACAGGATACAACGCAGAAGGTCTCAGGATGGTGAAGTTGTAGCCACTCGATCCTTCCACTGCTCTAGCCACTCGAGAGACCAGGTACGGTCCGTTATATCCCCATACGTTTCCATTGAAACTCTGAGCGAATTCTTCTATGAATCTGAGCAAGAGAGGATGATTCTTGTCGAATATCATCACTGCGTTGTTCAGTCTCGTCCAATTTCTCGACGAAGGGTCAAGACTCTGCGCTCCGATCACGTTCTTAAGCCCTTTGAAGCTTTTCAGAACGATCATGTCTGTGTCTAAGTAAACACCTCCGTATCTGTACAAGTAGGCAAGCCTCATGAGGTTTGAGAGATTCTGAGCTAAAGGTATCTTTCCGGGATCTCTTTTCCCGGTCTTTATTTCCTGCAGCCACGATTCTCCTGCGGTTCCTTTGAGTAGAAAACGCAAATCCGGTGTGGCCGCAACAACTTTGTAGCCACGATCAAGAAACGGCTTCAAGGTTGTGTAGCCTTTTGGAGAATCCATGGTTGCGGATAGGATCATCAAGCAACCATGAGGATGAGACTTGAAGACACTTTCAATTGCTAAAACCTCTCTCTTTCCAAATAAATCTGCAGATGATATCCAGGTCATGACGAAGTTGACTTCACATCCTTCACCGATAAACTTCTGTGTCTTCCTTTGAAACTTCTCAGACAAGTTATTTCCACGAAAAACCTCAATAACTTGGAGCTTCTCCTTCACTGTGGTGTTCAGGTTAGGTGGTGGCGTCATCATCACTTGTGTTTGCTGTTTGGTCGGATAGTTGCTTTTACTTTCCTTCTCGGACCTCAGAGGTAAGTCATGTGGAATCACTCTCTTGATCTCTATCTTCACCTCTGAGAAATCTCTCTGCGGTTGCATCGAGGAGAAATTGGACAGTAGAAACAACGTGGTAACCACGACCAGCGTTAATAAGCTGACCGCAAACGCGGTGAAAAGTGGTGATGATCCAGATTGGTTTAATCTTCTGTCATCAGTCACCACCGTGACTCTCTTCTCTATATCACGATCCATGTTAAAAGCAAAACTGAATTGGAAACCAGGAAAATAAATCTTTAGATTGTTAAGTATTCTGTTTCTTGTTTTGACCGCGTTCTTGCTCTGGGAGGGAGCTGTCTAGTTTTGAAAAAATTATGAACTCGACGTAGACTATGGGTTTTATTCGATAAATTAATTAGTGGGGTTCTAATTTTTTTTTTGTTTGACACATCACCAAAATTGATATTAGTGAAACGAGAAATCAAAAATAATAAGTAATCCGTTATTCTTTTCTTTTTTATCAACAATTTTATGCTACCATATTTAGTATTTCATAAATTTTGTATTCTAAAAATTATATCATGTATCGAAGGTGATAAATTCTTTTTAAATTGAATAAATTACAGCTTTTTTGATTGGTTGTTGCAATATGATTTGCGAATAAGGCATATGTATTAGGATGATCTAGTTTTCTTATAGACAATTTGTCAAGGTATAAACCTTGGCCCTTTACAGGAAATTTTTTATTTAATCTGTTAATTTTAGTAAGACTTTTGTTTTATAATACTAATTAAACCGTGTTGGTTGGATAAGAATTTGATATTCTTCCGAATGAATAACGCTGGTATTCATGGTTGACTGAGAAGATTTAAAAATCAACACATTTGTGTGCAATAACGACGAAAACATGTAAAGGAGAGGTCGAGACTCGTAACAACAGACGTGTAGGTTTGGGCTGGTTGGATATCATGGATATATAATACTGAACTTTTGTTTGTTGACATTAATATCTTTTTTTTTTTTAATGGATTTATTTTTTTTACTTGATAACTTATTATTATTTTTATTTAATTCAACTTATTAATTAGTGTGTGTATATAGAAAAATTTGATTGAATAACTTGTAGTGTGGTTGATGAATCCATTATTAAATACACAACATAATGTATGTATTTTTACTGATTTCATTTGTTTAATTTAAAATGAAACTTGATTGGTCCATGCATAATCAGTTTCCTCCACATGACTTGTCAAGGTATGCAAGCATTTTGACCGTGACAACTGAAAGCATAGCAAAGGAAATATGTATCACATTATTAGTATTTTAATCTCATTATTGTTGATAACACTAGCTCAAACAACTAGACTTTCAATTAGTATGAGCTAATCCAAATACACAAATCATAGATGACGTATAAATGTATAATAAGATTGTAATGAATAATAACAAGTCTTTAGTTCGAAAGTCAGCGTAAATGGCAATAATGGGCCTTCTGTTTCACATCAATAATTCTTTCCTTACCAATTATTGGCCCATGGGCTTTTACGACATCGTGGTTTCCTTCAATGAAACGCACAATCCTAGGAGTTCGTTACAAGCACGTGGGAAGCAATCGCGTGTATCCAACGGTACAAATTAAATGCGGGTGAGCACCGACTTGTGAGATTAAGAGAACTCCAATGCCTCTGACCTTGCCACGTGGGCTTATGCTTTGCTTTCGTTCCATACACTATACAGATACAGTACTTCCCACTCACATAAACGAAAATCGCTTCTCGATTGAAGATGATGACTGGAACCCTAACCTCTTCTTCTCCGTCTTCCTCCACGAAGATCGTTCTCGAAGATTTTTCTGCGACGAATTTCCGTCGTGCAACAGAGATTTTCCCTTCTGTTCTCATGAAAACATCTCACCTCAAGTTTTTGCGTTTAGATTCTGTTCAGAGCAGGATTCTTAAGCCGATTCTGCTTCGTTCCTCGTTGATTAAGGTTTCTCAGGTAACAGAAACTTCCCGTTTGTCTGTGTTCTCTCTGAAACTACTAGTTTTTCTCGAAATTTTCTTTTGCTCTGTTTACAACGGAGATTCAGGTTTTTAAATCTTTGTTTCGATTTTTGTTTCTCGTTTGGAGACATTTACTGATCGAGTAATTTTTTGTCACTGATTTCTATGCCGTGTGGATAATTGTGTTCCCCCATTTTTCTAGGAAAACAGAGAAGCTGCAGAAATCGAAGCTGTAGAAAAATGTAAGTTTCTAAGTTAGATTCCTTTGTGGATTGTTGACAGCTGAGTGATACATTGCGAACATATATTGCAGCGTCGGCTACAAAAACGGTTCGTGTAAGTTTCCAGTTGCGGAGAGAGTGTGTGTTTGGGGAACATTTCTTCATCCTTGGTGACGATCCTGTGTTTGGCGTTCCTTGGGACCCAGAAAATGCCTTACCACTCAGCTGGTCAGACGGCCATGTTTGGACCGTTGATCTGGTATGCACCAATCGGCATATTTTCTATTTCTTGCTTACATAGATTCTTTTAAGAGTTTGTGTTAACTTACTCTGACGTGGTTTCTTTCTGCTTAGGATCTGCCCGTTGGAAGACTGGTTGAATTCAAGTTCATACTAAAGGCAAAGACAGGCGAGATTTTGTGGCAACCAGGTCCAAACCGGGCTCTTCAGACCTGGGAAACTAACAAGACAATCAGATTATGTGAAGACTGGGAAAATGCTGACCTCCAAATGATGATCGAGGAAGATTTTGTGCCACTCATTCCAGGAGAAAACCAGCCTTCTGCTGTTAACTTTGATATGCCTATCGTTGCAAAAGATGAGGAACATGTGCTTGGTACTGTTCAAGAAAAGTCTTCAGAAGCAGTTGTAGTGAATGTAGGATACATAAGCGATGATTCTGATGAAAATTTGAGTTCCAATCCCCAAAGTGAGAAAACCATGGAAACTTCAAATGGAGCTCTGACTGCTCTGGGGGAAAAAGATACCATGATAACCGAGGAAGAAGATCCAGTTTTGGTCCCTGGCTTGATTCCCCTGTATGATTTAGAAAATGAAGAAGTGAAGGAACCTATATCTCAAGTGTCAGTGGAAGCCATTAACGAAGGTAAAGCCCAAACGTTCCCGGAGGTAATTATTTGACAAGTTTGCAGGTTCCTCTAGGCTTTTTTTTTTTTTTTTTGCTTAAACAGACTGAATAGAAATGCTCTGCTTTGTACATTGTCCTTTCATGAACTCTTAGAGGCTGCTGTTATACACACAACTGCAGATGGTAATGAAATCTTTGCATCGTCTTTGTTAGTTGAATGAAACCGTTCTGTCCATTTGTGCAATGTATATGTTGACCCATTTCAATACAAAATATCCTTTACTATGGCTTGGTTCTAGTTCCACGGTAGAACATTTAGGATTGTGCGCTTATCAATCATTTTTTTTATGGCTGTAAATGTCATTATTGTCTTATTTAATGAACGGAGACGCTATTTGCAGGTAGGTAAGAAGGAAGAAATTAAAATGGAAAAAAACGAGAAAGGGAAAGTAAAAGCAATAAAGGGTGTAGAGAAGATGCTTTACAACGCATCAAAGGAAGAGATGCAGCAGCAGCGGCTAGAGACAGAATCGCTTGAAACGCCAAATGTGCTTTTAGAGAAAGACATCCAATGGGGACGCAAAACGCTTTACAAGCTTTTAAGTAACTTTGGACTTTTCTAAACTCAACACAAAAGTTTTGAGTGCATTCATTAATATCGGCAAAAGAGCTCTTGAACGGTACGCTAGCTTCTTGTTCCATGGTCATCTTTTACAGTTTCTATTTATGAGAATTGAAAATAGATTGAAGCATGTTGTGTTTGTATATATATGTATGATCAAATGGTTTGGTAAAGAGGGAGATGAAGAGAGAATGGAGTGTTAACTGTTAACTACGGATGTAACATTGTATCATGTTGCTGCCTTTTTATGTAGATCCATTTCTCTATATAATTTGTTGTCATTACGTTATGATAATGATCATGATTGTCATATGATTAATCTTAAATTCCAATTTCTTACCCAATGTTGATGATCATGAATTCATGATTATCATATGAGTATTTTAGTCGTAAATATGATTATCATATCATATATAAGTTCGTGTAATTTTTTTTTTTTTTAAATGGTTTACTTAGCTTGGACCTTTGGTGCTCTTGACAAGGCCTGGTATTTGCCAACGCCGTACGTTTAGATGCACCTTTTTTTTTACTCGAATTTATATAATTTTTACAAAAGAATTATAAAAATGATAGACCTCATCAATTCATCTATGCTTATTCTAGTATCGTGTCAGCAATCTCAAGATGGAAACAATTCTTCTGTAATAAAAATTATAAACCACCCTCGTAAGGAATGAACCACCCTAAGGTTGGGTTTTGTTTCTTATCACTAAGTGGTGTTGTGAAGTCTAAATGATAATTAATCAAACTACATATATGGTAAATCTCTTTTACTCCACATGCTGTGCTCTTGAAAACTAGATTAGTCCAACAACAACAAAAAAACCATCAACTTATATACAATCACTACTATACACAAGCCTAATGTAGGTGGAACTTGTGGGTCTCGAAACCCTATAAGAAAAAAACCACAAAAATAGTCACGAGACTAGCTCTCCTAAGGGGAACCATATATCTTACTCATCAAAAAGTCCCTTATTTAGGGACACTTAGTTATCTTTTTAAAAAGCTAGATCTTTGCTTATTATGGTACTCAAATTGGCAAGGAATATGTACCTTTTGTCTTCATCTATCTCTCTTTCATTACGGCCATCACCTAAATTATGCATTTCTGAGGAAACTCACAACTCAGACATGTTTTCTTTAGGCTTCCTCTTCAAGTCTTTCGTTTGATATAGCTTCACTGCTTTCCCACAAAAATCCATTCTCATTTCTCGGATCTTTCTCTGTTTCTCCAGATAGAGGTGACACATGTGCGACATACTTTTCTGCAGAAAGCAACACAAACAATATTATGACCAATATGTGACCAAATGTGCACAGTACACAAAAGAGTAAGAACAATCTGAAGACTAAAATCAAGAGGTAAATAGATCCACAGAAGAAAAATCCCAGTAGAAATTTTACCAGCCAAACTTCTAAGAGCATTCTCAGCCGCTTGTTGATGTGCATCTTTCTTAGTTTTTGCCATTCCAATGCCTATCTTCTCACCCGTGAACAAAACCTAAGTAAAATTAAATGCAACAATACAAATAAAGTAAAGTTAACATTACACAAAGGGGCTTCAGTAACTAACAAACTAGACAAGAATGAAAGGCGGGGAACAAGTTCCAGCTTACCTCAACTGAAAACTGTAACTCTTTGTTGGTACTCATCACAGTCCTAAACTCCACCTGCAAATACGTACATACATTCCTCAGATTCTATGAAAAGCCAAGATACAATAGCTTGTCTGGTTATGCTAATCTGTACCTTAGAACCGCATCTTCTTCCAATTTCTTGCAGCGCACTCACAAATAAATGAGATTGCCCGCCATTACTCTTTCCACCATCTGTATGATGTTCCCTACCATTTGACACCAAATGATTCTGGGATATTCCACCTTCTGCAAATTGTTTGATCAAGTGCTTTGTTAAAAGATATCAATGCACTTTATTCGTCAAGCAGTTATGACGGGTTCAGCATAAGACATTACATCAGATGGGAAACCAATCGTTATTCTATTCTAAGTCAATTATATAATGTAGCTTTAGAGCGGTATACCAAAAACAAGCTTCGTAGAGAAAACAAGAAACTCAGCGATTAACTATTTTATCTTTATACGATTGGATTGATGTTAAAACTAGAACATACCTGTTGTTTGACGTGAAGGATTTTGCTTTTTCTGGTCATCATCCATTCCCACCTGCAAGAAAAATGTCAGACTGCTGCAGACAACATACTACTGATGTCGAAAGAGAGATACTTAGAATTCGAAACTAACCTCTTCACTCCTCGAGTGGGATGGGTGTGGAAATGAACCAACAGGAGCAGAACCTGGTATACCATGAGGAAATTGATTCGGATAAGCTCCTGAAGGTCGAGGAAAAGGAGGTCTATTCTCGTCATCTACCAACCAACCACCCTGAGAATACATAGAAGACGAAGGTGGCTGCATAGGAATTCTAGCCAGAAGAGGCGGTTGATTAAAATTTGGGTTCCTTATATCTACACCAGGCCTCATCATAAGGGGTCTTCCACCATCAGAATATGTGAAGCCATCCCGTCTTGGAGCTCCAAGCAAACTAGGTTCTAGATTGTGATTGAACACAAATGATAGAGAATTTTAAACATTAACATGCAAAAGAACTGTATCAAGTTCAAAATTGAGATAAGTCAAGAGTTCGTAGTCGTACTGTGAGAAGGTAACAATGCTGCTGCAGTTGTTGTGCTAGTGTTGTTTGGTATAATTGCTATCTGCGGCTTAGAGGTTTCAGGTTTCTGATCAGCGTTACTTGTAGCAGGAGTAGAAGAATCAGCTGCAGCCTTCTCATCCCCAGAAATAAAAAGTCAGCAGACAATCAAATTACAACTGACAAAAAAAGCTTTACACCAAAACAATTTTTTACTTGAAAAGATCACTTAATCCCAAATTTTGTATATACTTTTCTGTTATTATTTTACTGACCGCTTGGTTTAGCCTGCGTTCCACCTCACCCCCACACATTCCTTCGATAATTGGAGCAGCATTTATGTTTCCATTTGAGGCAGCGCCAGGATCCTGCAGGCAAATATAGCTATATCACATATTGTAGATGGGGCCAAATTTCTGTGCAATACGTTGACGGTGATAAAATGCTAACTACAGTTACCTCTATAGTGACATAGTTGCTCACATCCGGTGATGGAGGTAAATTTTCCACATCATCTTCATAGTAAACTAAAGATATACTACTCATTAAACTCTCATCGAATTCCCTGGCATAAATGTCCGGAAACAATAAGAATAACCAGCAAGAATTCATTACACAAACCAAAAAAGAAACAAGAAAGAAACTTACTTGAAAAAGTAACCTCTGACATTGCATGCAACATTTCTTGCTACGCAAAGAATTGGAACGAGAAGGGCTGTCTGATAATTGGGCATAAGAAAATCGTTAGATACACACATAAGAAATTAAGCGATAAAGTGTTTAATTCACAGCTTAATGCAAGAGAAAAAACACGCCTCTGCCTGGGGAGCATAATACGGAAGATAGGCAGGAACAACGTGAACGCGTGGTTGATCCTTGTCCTCCCAAACCTTAATACGGTCATCAATGACCATTGCCATTTTTGGGTGGCAAATGCCCCCATTGAAGACATTTAACAGCGATTTCTTGGCGTCTGCTATGCAAAAGCAAGAACTAAATCATTATTGTTTACAGAGAGACATAGATAGATAGTTGGTAAAAACATCTTAGGTTTATCTCTTTATACCAAAAACTGAGAGGTCAGAAAATTCAATCAGGCATGAGAGAGGGAGCGAGAAAAGGCAAAGTAAAAATTACAATTCACAGAAAACAAAAAACAGTAACGAAGGAGATAAATACAGTGATTTAAGAGATCTACAGCAATGGAAGCATGGCGCCTATGTACCAAAACCAAGATTAAATGTATAAAAAAGTCAGAGATGGTTTTGACCTGATTTAACGCATACAATACGATCTCGAAGCTCCTTGAGACTTATCAGGTGTGCTTCTGGATCAAGTAGTCTCCACATTTCCAAAGCATAATCCCTTTCAGCCATAGTACAAACATAAACTTCAAAACGCTTCCTAGATTTTGCTGTCAAATAGCTTCTTAACTCCTCCCACGCTGGTCTCAGTTTTACAAGCACACTAGTGTCACGGATCTGCATCAGAAATAACCATAGACAGGAGACAAAAACTTTGCTAAGTCCCAATTAAAAGTAGGATACTCATGTATGCTTAAACGACACTGTCCTATCACATGGCAGAAAAGGTCAACCCAAAAAAATTAGATGAGATGAAATGAATACGTGTACAACCACAGCATAGATAGATCTTCTAACCTCTGGATTAATCCGAGTAAGCACAGTATTCTTTTCCGGCAATCTAATCACGGGTCTATAAACTTTCTCGAGGCCATCAGAAGTTGGTCGGACCTCCTCAGGTTGAGCCTTTAACAAAACTCCATTATCATATGCATAGTCATTATCAATGTACTGCTTCAGCAGCATCCTGTCATCTATGTACCTTTTCAGTTCTGCAGACATTCCATTTATCCTCACAGGATCAATCTCTCGTGAAATCCAAGCTTTTAGAGCCTCGATTCTATCCTCAAAGGACTTCATTGTATTAGCAACAATCAAAGTCTCATCCAGATCAAACACAATAGACAGACACCTAGTGTTAAGCATCCTTAAACAGGAATCATAAAGACCTAAAGGAACTGAGAAACACCAGAAACACGGGAACTTCTTCTCCTTGCTCGGCATCGCCACTAAGTGAATCTCCTCATCTCCGAGCAAGACCACGGCAGTCTGTAATCACAAATCAAAATTCAAAGCTACCGAATCACTCCTACTAATTGGAAACCATCTAAATCAACAAAATGCACATGTCAAATCGCGTCCAAAGGACATGTCGGGAATCTCAGACGAACCACGTTACCTTCAATTCATGGAAACAGACTGCGTGAAGATGCATTAACTCAGGCGGTTTGACCGGAGCCGACGACTCAAGCTTGCATCGAACGGCAAAAGAGGCAATAGTCTGTAGAATCGCGAGCGGAGGACACCTCTCGCCAGCCGGAGAAACGTGATGGATTCTAATCTCATCGTTCGGGAACCGAAATTCGTTCCCTGAGGATACCTGGTTGACATCAAGCTCCCCCAAACGCAGCTCTCCGTGATAAACCACGGATTTGTGACCTAAACGACTCATCGAAATTCGTCAAAGACGATTTCTCAGGAACGAATCCGCCAGTGGAGCAAAATAAAATCTTAGGAATGCGTGAGAAAATCTGCAGATTCAAAGAGGATTTATCTTCTCTCTTAGCTGCTTTCTCTGTGATTTCTCGCTAAAGAGGGTTTTTCTGGGTCCCAAATTGTCTTCAACATGAGCACAACGCAGCCTCTGGTATTTATATGCGAGAGAAGGCGTTTGATTGTTACGACATCGATTTTAACAAAAATACGACAAAACATGAAATTTCTTTACACGTGGCATAAGATGCATTATCCAGTTTCCACCAGCATCGCATATCAGCCGTTAATTGCCTTACTTTATTCACCGTTCTCAAATTGAACAAGATGATATAGTACATGATTTTTTTTTTCATTTTTTTGTGGCAACCACCAAGGCACCAACATATGAAAATTGTTATTTTGTGCAAATAATTCTAGCAATTTGTTCTATTTTGTTTGTGAAGAAAACGGAACAAACCGAAGATTTCTTGTTGACTTCGAACAAATATATATAGACCAAAATTACTCTAAATTGAAAAAAAAACAGAGACGGAGGGATAGTGTAATAAAAATCAAATTAGACGCAATCAAGTTGTAAGTAGAGAAAATGACGCGCAAATTTTCTCCTCTCTTTTTTTTGTCCTCTTGTCTTGTTTGTTTAATTGCAAAACAATTGCCTCATAGCCAAAATAAACCAAAATCATGGCGACTCTAAATACTTGAGTCTTAAGTAGAAAATAGAGACAAGACAGACTCAAGACCTTCATAATTCTACTATAAGATATGCAAATGAAAGTACATGATGATGATGTTGACTCTAGTTAGTAGCTTATGTCGCTGAGATTATCGTCGCTACCGTCTAAGCACAAGATGTTGACACTCGATTCCGAGCTCCCGCTGCTGCTCACCGGCCGCTTTCTCCTGGTCCCTGATGATTTCACACTGTACAATGAAGCTGCCGGAACTTTCGTCACTAGCGTTTGGATATTGCCCATCATGCTCCCTCGTTTGATATCCTATATTACCACATATATAGAGAGACCATTACAACATTGGAGACAAAAAAAAAAAAAAGAAAAAAAAACTAAAATATCTCACAGAGAAATGCTCAAAATTTTAAAAGTCGTCTAAACGTTGACTAAAAAAAAAATCGTGTGTTTGTATCAATTTATTTTAAAAACTTTTAAGCATGGTGTATACGACAGACTGAACTAATTAGTCAGCTGATTGAATCGATCAGTTGGTTAAGTAGATTTGGTCATATTTGCAACACTAAAGTAAATTCCTACCCATTTTTATAGTAATGCTTATAACTTTCACGAAATAATCGTACTGTATATATAATCATACCTTATGTCTCAAAGCCATATCGAAGGAGCTTTTTGATAGGTTTCTCCCAAAACCTAAACCATCAGACTCCGAACTCAACTTCTTACCTCCACGGCCGCCGTTTTCTGTCAGTCGCGGTGGAGCAAGTTTTCTCACATTCACAACTCTCTCGACCATTTGATCCCCTTTAGCTACAGGACTGATCAAACCTCCATCATTGTTGCTCGTCTTTGCTCGTCGTCCACGCAGCAAAGGAACAGCTTCGTTTGCGTTTCCAATCGGAGCTCGGTTTCTAGAAGGTGAACAAGACTGCCTCCTAGCAACCGCGCGTTCTTTGGACGCTGATCTTGAACTAGACGCACCAAACGCTATGGTTGATCTGCCACTAGAAGCCGTTCTTGGTCTGTCTGGTAACGTAGTCCTAAGATTTGACGGCGCTTCTAGAGAGAAACCAGGCATCTCGTAAGGTTCCCATGGCCTTGATCTCAACGTAGGTGAGGGAGCCGGTTTACATACCGGTTTAGTTGGTTTACTCCGCAATACAGTTGATGTACCGGTGGGATTTGGTGGACGGCGAGTTGGAGTACTTGGCCTCGATCCCGGTTTTGTATTGGGTGCCGACATTGGCCGGGAGCTGGATCGAGTAGAGGTGGCTGTACCAGTGGTTTGTTGTGCGGCACGTGCAGTGGTTAAGCTAGCACGTGAGGTCCCAGAGCCAGAAGGCCTTCTTGTTGGCGTAGAAGGTCTGCTCGTTCTTGTTGCGCTACTAGTAGAGGTGGATGTGGCACGTGCAGCTGTTGAGGTGGCACGTGAGGTTCCAGAGCTAGAAGGCCTTCTGGTCGGCGTAGAAGGTCTGCTCGTTGATCTTGAGCTACTAGTGGTGGATGACGAGGTTAAGGTAGCACGTGCAGCTGTTGAGTTGACACGTGAGGTTGGCGTCATTGACCTTGTGGCTGGTGTGGAAGGTCTACTCGTTGACCTTGAGCTATTAGAGGACGAGGGTCGTTTGAGCCCAATAGTTTGGTTTTTGGATAATGTGTTGTCCCTCTCTTCCTCAAGGCAGTTCTCTAACTGTAGGAATTAAGAAACCATCGTAGAGTATGGTTCACATAAAAGCCCAAAGATAAGTCGAGACCTACTAAGTTTGTACCTGAGATTTGAGAACCATGGGGTTAGCATCGGGTGCATCGAGTTGGTACCTTAGGCTTTTACTCGGTGAGCCTGGTGGCGTAACTAGCCTGAACATTAAGAAACCAACAACAACAGATGTATAAATCGCAAATGTTGTTTATCTTACTCCTCATGACCGTATTGGAGGCATGCCTAATGAAACATTGACAAAGGGCATCACTTTTTTTCTTTCTTAATTAAAAGGGAGATCCAACTTTAGTAAAATAATAATTTTTTATAAGATTTCTACTAAAATGTTGTTATTCGAGGTAGGCAAACACAAGCATAAGTCTTGTTTTTATGGTAAGATTGTTTAATGTAAACTTTTATTTACTTAAAAGCTCCATTTTTTTTCTAAGAACACGGAAAGGCCCTGTTCCTAATAGTCATGATAACTTTTAAACCATATAGAGACAGTGATTAATTTCTTAGAAAGTTTACAAGCTGACCAAAATCAGACATCAGATTATAGTCTAGCAAGAATGCCTAAGAAAATTGACTTTTTCGCTTGAATCTTTGTCAAGGCAAGTTTTCTGAAACCATGATCAGAATTATAAAAATCAATATCTAAACTGAAAGGCAAAAAACATTACCAATCGTAATCTGACTTCTCGTTATCGTTATCGGAGTACAAGAAATTATCGGCGGCAGTTCTCCGGAGAGGGTAACGTTGAGACGACATCGTCGTCTTACTACTTTTACAATGATCAGAACCTGCAATATACAGAACAAAAAAGAAAATAAAAATCCAACAAGACAACAACATACCTAATACCATTGTTATATATAAATGAAAAGGAACCCATTAGAAGCGAAGCTTGGTGACCTTTCTCGAGAAGACGCATCTCCAGGAACAAAACAAGCTCTTCATCTCTGTCTTGGGTCAACATTTTAGATCATTTTTTTAATTGAATTGTTTTTTTTTTTTAATTGAATTGTTGATGATGGAAGAGAGTGGTGAAGATGTTACGTTCTGTGTTTTTTCTTTATTTTAGAATGTCAGATTTCATACCAAACAACCTTTTTTGAATAAGAAAGTAAATGTAGTTTTTAGTTATATCATATTAATGTATTGTTGTTTTTTTTTGTTTTGGTCTTTGAACTATTAGAGCTTAATATGTTTGCTTGGTCAACATTATTAACAAAGCTTTAATACGTTACATCTTTATCCTCTTTTACAAAACAACAGGTGACAAGAATATTAAATGGTAATATGGTATACTTAAATTTGATTAGATTTTTTTAAAGCATAAAAGTAATTATAGAGTTCGAAAAATGATACCAAAAGACTCGTTGTGTATATTTTTTAGTTAAATAAAATAATACTAAAATGACAGTAGACAGGGCAACCCGAATCTCTCTGCCAGTTTTCCTTCATCAGCCTCCGTATCACGAGACACGAGACACGAGTCACACAACCTTTGATAGTTAATGAAAAAGCCAACTTTTATTAAAAGAAAAAAAGATACAACACACAACTCTTAAAAAAACGAAAAACAAAAACGAAAACAACACGTCGAAACAAAGACATATGGATACAAAAGCCATATTTTAAAAAAAAAAAAAAAACGACGACGACAAGTAGTCAAGCCAAGCAAGTAAAAATCGCTTCTCCAAGCACGTGGCCTTCAACAGCGTCCAACAATCTCTCTTTCGACACCGTGTGACCAAGTTTGGGTTTATCGTCGAGAGCCAAGAGCTTGAACTGGAAACGCTGATCGTTACTAGGCATGAGGGGCCCACGCCATCCCGGGACCTTGTGATCGTTATTCCCTTCTCGAATACCGGCGCCGGAGACCTGCTCTTCCTTACCGGAAAATCCTTCCGGCAGACCTTTCATCTCCGGCGGAATATCGACAACCACCCACACAGTCCACGGCACGGGCGGTGCACTAGGATCATCCGGCGAATCCATGACCTCCACCACCACCGCTAGCGATTTCGTATCTTCTGGAACGTTGTACCTACACATTTAATTCAAATATATGTCATCCATACTAGTAAATATACATGTTTCCACAAAATCATTAAATGGAAAAAAAAAAATCACATCAGCTTGATTATCGATGAAAAATGCCAATAAATTAAAAACGAAAGAAAAAGGAAAAAAAGAAGAAAAGACGTACCATTCAAGAGGAGGAGAGATATTAGTCTGACCACCTTGACCTCCCATTGTATACTTTCTCGGCAGCTTCCCTTCGTTGTCTATCGTCGGCGACACTAGCCTGAATTCCTCACTCGACATTTTTCGATCTTCAATTTGTTTCTTCCTTTTTTTATTTTTTTTTATTTATTTATCACAAAGAGACTCTTTTATTATTCTTCTTTTTACAAATATATGCTTGCCCTTCTCGTCTTTGTATAGAGGTCTCTCTACGTGAACAATTACGGTGACACGTTCAGTGTGAGACGTGGCAAATATCAAAATATCTGAAAGATTCTGGGAAGACATATGTCGGTCACATTCTGGTGTGTTTGCGAGACGCCATCTGGCGCAACTCCATCATAGTCGGTATTTCATTAATAGGCCTAAACTGTATTTTTTCAGCCTGTTTGGTTCACCTTGTTGTTAATCATTTTTCTAAAGTCAATTAGTTGCGTATTCACTACTTACAACAATTAATGGGCTGGAATAATTTCAGCCCATTAAGGTTCACCTTTTTTCTCTAATATACAAAATGATAAGCTGGGAATTTAGGGAACAGATGACATGAGGAATTTTAACAAATTCATATATTCAATTATAGTTCCTTTTTTTCTTGTATATTTGATTTTGATATACCATTGGTTTTTTGTGTTATCAACTACTTTTCAATATTTTCAATATGGTCATGATGCCCCGAAAAAAAAAACTCTAATTATCACAAATGTCTATAGATTTTTGCATATAAGGTTTTTATAAACATGTTTGCATAGAAGAAAGACAAAAAAAATTGTCAATGTGACAGAGGCATACTGCATAGCTTAATACATACGGTGTTGCGAATATGATCGTAACATTGAATGATGAATCATATTCTTAACACACACGTTTCGCCGTTCAAAAGGTCTACAATATAAAATAGCAAATAAATAAATATTTATGTACAGAGAACGTCTGCCAATATTACTGTGTCTGAGTCACTATGCGGCTGGAACTGGAAAGGTACCAAAATAAATTGTAGACAGTAGTAACATGATTCCATCACCATCACCAATATCCCAAACCTTGTTCGCTTTCGCATTTATTTTTACTTTTATTAACCACTAGTACCCCCCTTGAGTGTTTTATTTAATTTCTTCTCTTTAATCTAGTTTGGCAAAGGTCGGTATTTCACTATCCAACAGCCTAACTTATTTTCCTTCTATTTTTTTACGATCGAAACCGATTTGTATATTGGTTTAGCACATTTTACATATTTTCATATCTTTCGGTTTTCATTCCATCTGTAATTGTGCTACACTTTTTGTTTTTTTGTTGCAACCCTGTAATTCTGCTACACATTGTACATATATTTTTAGAGATATAATTAGTTATACCATATCTCAATATAAATCCATCAAAAGTTAATTTTTTTTTTTTGTTCCAACAACAGCATTAGAAGGTATCTACTATGTTTCTATTATTTTATGTACGGGGTGTTTTGTTGATATACTCGTTCTACACATTTTTGTTATAAAAAAAACCTTAAAAATCATGATATTTAGATAAGTAGTTTCTCAAGTAGCAATCGAAACGATTATCGTGAAATGACATTTTAGATATTTTCCAACTCATAACTGTTAAATACTTCTATTTTTGTTCGACAAACCATTTTTAGTCTTTCAACAATCGTTCTTTCGTAGGAGCTAGCTACTAGGAAGAGGTAAATAAGCGAGTTAAGGAAATACAGTTGAAGGAAAATAACTCAAAACCTCGAAAATATTTATCTTACGTAAAAGTAACGTCTAATTCACTCAACGGCTGAAATGACACTTACCTATTTCACACATAAAACTGATATATTACAATTAATTAATAAGAAAGAAATTCGTTCTTCATAATTTTCATATTACTCGTTTCTTTTCTATATTAATTAAGGAGAATTTGAGCAGAAACATCAACTAGAAATTATAGAATGACCGACTCCTTAGTATTGTTACTGTTTCGAGCTCATGTGTCTTTCCAGCATAGTTGTTGTTATCCTGTCTTTTCAAATCAATGCACTTTTCTCTCTTTCTAAAAATGTATATTTGTTAATAATATCAAATGGAGAAAAAATCAATTTTGCAATTCTAGTCCAACTGATTTAAAAAAAATAATCGATTTTTTCGTCTAAATGATGGTAAAGTTTTTTTTCCCTGGTGAAAAATTGTGTACAAGCTTGTTTACTTATAAACGGAGTGAAAAACGAAGATATATTAAAGAAATTATGACAATTACTGTGTATATACATGTGTTATTTATTTCGCGGATGTAAATTGTAATGAAGGTAGTTGATTGAGAAGACAGTACGTAGAGTTTGAGTTGTAAAAAAATGATTAGGGTTTTGTTTTTTTATCTGCTTTTCAGTTCAATGTTTTCACCGAACCCCACTGCTACGTGAAACCCGGAGCCTCACGTGCTCTTCCATTCTTTTTTGGGGGAAAAATAACTTCGATGATTTTGGCGATTGTAAATTCACAACATAAGTTTTATCGGCATAATCAGAACTATTTTAGAATAATTAAGATTTTGGTTATTATGATTTTCAAATGTTCTAGTGTATTTGCATATGGAATATCGTGTTATCGTTATGTTAAAAATTTATTTAACACATCGATGATACCAATGTAAAATTAGATCTGGCTAGAATTCAAATATCCGTAGTAATGTCATACTAATTTATATTATTATGTATATCGTAGAAATGGCAGCGCATAGGTGTGACTTGCGTAGGTGTGACCTGCCTCTCGAAATATTAGGAATTATATCTATCCATCAAAGTAAAATGCTTTTAGATTGGATCAACAAATTCTAATTGCGCCATAGACTAATAGGCGTACTCAATAGGACCAAATGTTTACGCAACATCGAAACTATATAAACCAAAAGCAGCATAATTATATTATTTCAAAAAAACATAGAGCCAAATGTTATAAACCCTTGATTACCAAATGAACGTACACGCAGTATTGTAAATAAATCGAGTTGAATTAGTGTATCATCACTTATATAGATAAATAAAATGTACAATACAATTAACGATTTGGCATGCTTTAAAGGATCTCCATTAATTGCCAACAAAAATATGTAAAAATAATACTTATCATTACAAAACTTCTCCAGTATATATGTATAAAATATACTAGGACCGGCGATATAATTAACCAACGTTACCACTAAACCAGCTCATATGTAACTATATAAACGCATACTACGTAACAATACAAACCACGACAACTTCAATGGATCCTTTCAGTTTTCGTAGCCAAAATACAAAGTCATCGTCATCCACCACTTCCTCATCCTCTTCCTCTTTCCACGGCCATAAAGACAAAATAACCGGAAACACAAATCAGTCGACATCAAGGACCTCAAGGTCAACGTCCACGTTATCGACGGACCCACAGAGCGTGGCGGCGCGTGAGAGACGGCACCGAATCAGCGACCGTTTCAAGATCCTACAGAGCATGGTCCCTGGTGGTACGAAGATGGACACTGTCTCTATGCTCGACGAAGCTATAAGCTACATCAAGTTCTTGAAAGCTCAGATCTGGTTTCACCACAATATGCTTCTCTTCTTCAACGACCACGAAACTACATCGTCTTGTACTTACTCTCCCGCCAGCGTCAGAGAATTAAAACCAGCACACTTTGGTTGTGATGACGATTATGGCCATGTAATGGAGACGTATTCACAAGGCATGCCTCTTACGGTTACGGACTCGGAGTATTCGATGTGGTTTGGTTCGGTTGATCAGGATGAGCAAGAAGAAACCATGCATCGACGTGGCTTGTCTTAGTCGCTGGCCATATGCAACGATATGTTATTTACCTATTTATATTGTATTATATTATCTTTCTTATTGTCGCCATCTTTAAAAACTTTAGTTTAAGGATTATTTTGAGTTAAAATTTGAATTATATGTATCTACGTCTATATATGTTTATGTATTTTGGAGAATGTAATAATATATCTTAGAGTAATTAACTTAGTAGATTTAGTTGTTTTCATTCTAAGACATGCGTGGTATTTATCGTTTGAATCATTGGAAATACGAAACAAAAAAAAAAAATTGAAATTAGTGATTAGTCTATATATATATATTTGAACCTAACTAGAAACATAATTTTGACCTTTGGAACCTAAGTAATTATGAAGATTGTATGATGTCAAAATCAAAAGTACTGTATCTTTCATTTTGGTGATTACCATTTAGGCCAAATAAATGTGGAGCGTTTCTATGTATATGAACAACAACACGTCGTTTCTGTTATGCGGAGACGCCACGGATTCCAAACACAGGCGTGCCACACGACACGCATTACGAGGATCCACTGGAATTAGAAAAACGGCGAAACAGAGAGACGAGTTCTCCGATCAGATCAACGACAAAAGATGGAAGTGCAAACCGAAGACTCCGGTAATTCAAAGATCTTCCTCATTTAATTACTCCTTCAACTTCTTTGATGTTTTAGCGTAAAGCTTTTCTGCTGAATTCACGGCGCTAATAGCGGAAACTGAAACAGAGAAGGCGAAGCAGATAGTGGTGCTTCTGATTGGTCCGCCAGGAAGCGGCAAATCGACGTTCTGTGACACCGTCATGCGATCCTCTCACCGCCCTTGGTCTCGCATCTGCCAGGTCTCTCTCTCTTAATCACTCTCTTTCGATTGCTTTATGTTGCGCAGAAGCTGTCTGATGAAATGCCTCAACGAGACTAGATAGTTATGTAAATTAGTTTTTGTTTTTGGACGCTGAATGTTTTTTCTTTATGAGCGTATGAGACAGCAAAACTTTCTGCTAACTATTATTCACAAAACAAAACTTTACGGTGTTTTTTATTTGTGAAGTGAATCCTTATTAGAATTAGAGCATGCTGAATCTCATAAGATATCTGTCTTATATGAGAAATTTAAGATAATTTTTATATATAAAAAAAAGTTTCATTTCAGGACATTATTAACAATGGCAAAGCAGGAACCAAAGCTCAGTGCCTAAAGATAGCGACAGATTCTCTGAAGGAAGGCAAGAGCGTCTTTATAGACAGATGCAACCTTGACAGGGAGCAGCGCTCGGAGTTTATTAAGCTCGGTGGTCCTGAGGTTGAAGTCCATGCAGTGGTTCTGGAGCTTCCTGCTCAGGTTTGTATATCTAGATCAGTCAAAAGAACTGGTCATGAAGGAAATCTACAAGGCGGAAGAGCTGCAGCTGTTGTGAATAAGATGCTTCAGAGTAAGGAACTTCCCAAAGTGAACCAAGGGTTTTCTCGGATTATGTTTTGTTACAACGACACAGATGTTGAGAACGCTGTGAACACATACAGCATGCTTGGTCCCATGGATACTCTTCCTTCCGGCTGCTTTGGCCAAAGAAACTCAGACACCAAAAGCCAACCCGGAATTATGAAGTTCTTTAAGAAAGTCAATGCGCTTCCTGGTTCATCTTATAATGAAGCTTCTGATACAACTCGAAAAACTAATGAAACCACAGAAAATGTCCGAGTTTCGCCAGCTAAGCTTGGTTCTTCTGATATTGTACCAATACTGGCATTCCCGTCAATTTCGACTGCAGATTTCCAATTTGATCTTGAAAATGCATCTGATATCATTGTCGAGACAGTAGAGGAATTCCTTCCTAAACTTGGGTCTGCACGGCTTGTCTTGGTGGACTTGAGCCACGGGTCAAAGATTCTATCTTTGGTCAAGGCTAAGGCTATTCGGAAGAACATTGACTCCGGAAGGTTTTTCACATTTGTCGGAGACATAACTAAGCTTCATTCCGAAGGTGGTCTGCACTATAATGTTATAGCTAATGCTGCTAACTGGTAAGCTTCCATTATCTTCTTGCTCTTCAGTAAAATGGTTTCCAAACAGGTAAATATATTTGTAAACAAAAACTCTGTGCAGGCGGCTTAAACCTGGTGGTGGAGGTGTGAACGCAGCGATATTCAAAGCGGCTGGTCCAGATCTCGAGGCTGCGACAAGAGCACGAGCAAGCACTCTTCTTCCAGGAAAAGCCGTGGTAGTTCCTCTTCCTTCTACTTGCCCTTTACAAAACGCAGAAGGAATTACACATGTGATACATGTTCTAGGACCGAACATGAACCCAAACCGACCAAACTACCTTAACAACGACTACACCAAGGGCTGCAAAACTCTTCGCGAGGCTTACACATCTCTCTTTGAAGGTTTTCTGTCGATAGTACAAGAGCAGTCTAAGTTGCCCAAACGAAGCAATCAAGCAACTATGTCAGATTCTGGTGAGAATATCAAGGAAGACTCTGAGAGAAACAAAAAGTACAAGGGGCCACAAGATAAGGCCACTGCTAATAATTTGGAATCTGGGTCTGTGGATGACACTAGAGACAGTGGAAAGAAGATGAGTAAAGGGTGGAGCTCATGGGCATTGGCACTCCACAGCATCGCAATGCACCCAGAGAAACATGAGAATGTCGTGTTAGAATTTTCAGAAGACATTGTTGTGATAAACGACCAGTACCCGAAGGTAAAAAAGTCTTGATGCTGATTTATATTAGTATCTTTTTCTTCATGAGACGAATGAAAAATAGGATTTTTTTTTTCAATTGGATATAGGCGCGGAAACACTTGCTAGTACTGGCGAGGCAGGAGAGTCTAGATGGGCTTGAAGACGTTTGCAGAGAAAATCTTCAACTTCTTGAAGAAATGCACAATGCTGGTCTAAAATGGGTTAAGAGATTCCAGGACGAGGATGCATCTCTTATCTTCCGCCTTGGATATCACTCGGTACTCAAGTCGCCCCTTTTGCATTCAGATTTGCACTTTGTGTTCCTCGTTCTAAAAGTCTCTAGAGCTGAAGAGTTAATTACCAAAATCATCGAAATTGATTTATCCTTTTTATTTTTTTTTTTCCAGGTTCCGTCGATGCGACAACTACATCTACACGTTATAAGCCAAGACTTTGAATCGGATAACTTGAAGAACAAGAAACACTGGAACTCTTTCACATCCTCGTTCTTCCGTGACTCGGTCGATGTGCTAGAAGAGGTGAGGAGCCAAGGGAAAGCCAGAGTGGAGAGCGAAGAGGTTCTGAAAGGCGAGCTGCGTTGCAATCGGTGTAGAAGCGCACACCCGAATATCCCCAAACTCAAATCGCATATCAGAACCTGCCCTTCTCAGTATCCTCACCATTTACTCCAAAACAATCGTCTTTTGGCTCGACCAGAGACTTAGGAATGATTTGATTTCGGTTAGGGTTTATAGTATTTGGTTTAAGAATTAGAAAAACAAGTCAAGTATCTCTAATTTAATGGAATGTTATCTCCGTTCTGATTCAGTATCTTTCAAATATCAGCAGCTCTATACAATATTTTTTAATATGAAAAAAAAAACCAAGTTTTAACCGGACTGGGATTTTGTATGTTTGGATTTATTCGGACATTGTGGTAGAAAAGACAATTATTGAGATTAGATTGCAAAAGTAACTTTTATTCCACGATAACCCGTAATTATTGGAAAGAAACTAATAAAGTTTCCGTAAAACCAATGGTTGAAAAGTAAAAAACCATGGTCATAAACAGAAAAACAATCTTAAAAAATTGCTAAAGAAACGATTAAGAAGCGTGAGTCCCACTGTAGACTGGATTCTCTCTCTCTCTCTCTTACTGAGGGTTGGGAGGACGACCATTAGCAGCTGCGACGCGTGAGCCCCACTCAAGCAACTCTTTGCTCGTATCATCTTTGTGAACAATCACTTCTATGAAACATAGACTATCTTTCTTCTCCGTTGTTGCTGTCTTAATCGCTTCCACCAACTCCTCCTCGTGCCTCACCTATATATATCAAAATTCATATATAACGTTACCAACAAATTAAAAACTGGGGTTAATTTCCTTCCAATTGTAATCAGTCATAAGATTCACCTTTGTGGTCCAGCATTTGCCTTCACCGTTATGAATGGCATCAACGAGACCAGTGTAGTTCCAGTTCTTGATCACGTTGTACGGACCGTCATGAATCTCAACTTCAATGGTGTAGCCACCATTGTTAATCAGGAAGATGATCGTCTTCTGACCGTTACGCAACATCGTGGATATATCCTGAGCCGTAACTTGGAAACTCCCGTCTCCGATGAAAGCCAACACTCGCTTCTCTGGCACAGCCTGTGCGTATCCAAGAGTCGCACCAACAGACCACCCGATCGATCCATACTGCATCTGAAACTCGTACCTACAATTATAGATAAAGCTGAAGTTGTGTGTTGTTTGCACTATGTGAAATACTAAAACGTAAAGAGATTCAGTACTGTGCTGCTTGTTTTGGATACACGTACCCACATCCTTTAGGCAGCTTTAGTTTCTGGCAGTTGAACCAAGAATCACCGGTTTCAGCAATCACAGCAGTCTCGCTAGAGAGCATCTTCTGAATGTGTTGGAACATTGTGTTGACTCTCAGAGGCTCTCTTGGTTTGCATCTCAGGGGCTTGCCTTCAGGGACAAAGATCCTGTGGTAGTTCTCGTAAGCCGTCTCGTTACGCTTCACCCTCCTAGCCAGTTCAGAGAAGAACTCGCTCATGAGAACGCAACCAAAGGTGTGGCCGTTAGCCACAGTGACGCGATCAGGATGCACAACGATGGCTTTTTCTTTCTTGAGGAGAAGAGAGTAGCCCACAGAGCTGTAGTCGTTGAAGATTGGGCCAGCAAAGATGTAGGCATCTGCAGATTCGACGATCTCAGAGCAGAAAGGAGTGCTTACTGCTCCCCAGTAAGTACCGATGAAGTGAGGATGTTGCTCCGGGACTAGGCCTTTTGCAGACGGCATCACCGCCATGGCGTAGCCTGAAGCATCGGCAAACTCGACAAAGGCGTCGCTGGCTTTAGCAACACGCAGTTTGACACCACCAACCATGACAGGCTTCACGGCCTTGTTCAGAAACTCCAGTGTTGCTTCAACCGCAGCTTCTAGACCCATCTTGTTGCTCATTCTGATGAGACAGTAATACATATATGAGATGTTGATTCGAGTATATTAAAGGATTGATAAAAAAATCTGTTTTGGTATAACCTTGGAGTAAGGGAGAAGGGGACAGGATCACGAGTGAAAGTAGGATGAGGAGTAGCAGCAATGTTGCAGCTGATGCTGATATACACAGGCTTGCTTTCTTTCAGAGCTGTTGATATGGCCTTGTCGATCTGTTCATGTGCATCGTCCAGATTGTTCACCACTGCCTGCAAAACTCAGAACATCCATCTCCGACGTCAGATTAATTAATCGTATTCGAGAATTTCGGAAACAGATCGAGAAATCGAGTGTGTTTGATTAGATAAACGAACCTGGTAGCAAGTAACGGTCTGGAAACAGCGAAGCTCTTGGCTGAAATCAGGTAATCCGATGGTGTGGTGAAGAATCCGATTGGTGCCAAAATCGTTGGAGTTTGGGCCTCCGACGATACAGATAACGGGAAGATTCTCGCTGTAGGCACCGGCGATGGCGTTCAAAACGCTGAGTCCACCGACGGTGAAGGTGACGACGCAAGCACCGACTCCACGAGATCGAGCGTAGCCGTCGGCAGCGTAACCGGCGTTTAGCTCGTTGCAGCAGCCGATGTTGTTGAGTTCCGGCTCGGCGATGAGGTGGTCGAGCAAAGTTAGGTTGAAATCGCCGGGAACAGAGAAAATGTCGGTGACTCCGGCCTGGACAAGACGGCGAGCCAAGTGACGCCCGAGAGTGGCTTCGGAGGAGCCGAAGGCGATTGAGGGGGCGGGAGCAGAGTCGTTGATTGTTGCGACGGCGCCGTTTGATGGACTACAGACGTCGCCATTCGTCGGCTTGCACGCGTCGATCGATCCGATTTTGGTGTCCATATGATTGATTGGTTTCACGAGAGAGAGAGAGGTTGCAGAGAAAAAGAAATTGAGGGTTCTTTGTTATATAGTAGTCAAATGTTTTATTGGGGGTTGTGAGTAATGAAATGGGAACCAAGCGGCTTTATATAATTGGGGGAAAGAGAAGAGAGAGGTTTCTGTTTCACTTTTTTGCTTGGGCTAGAAGTATAATAATATTTCTTGTGATATTTTGAGGGACAATATTATTTACTATTTTGACGAGAAAAAAGTCATTTTATTTTGACGACAAAAAGAGTCATTTTATTTTAATGGTTTTTAGAGTTTCCTAGTTAACTAACATAAAAATATTACTTTTTTAATTAATTTACAAATGTACGCACTTACACGTGGTGTGTACTGTCTATGTGACATGTTATGCCGTGCTTAGTATTGTAACAACATATAACTTTTTCTTTTCTGATGAAAATATCACCAAAAAGAAACGAATTCACTTAAAACAAAAACATACTATTAAAAAGCCAAAACTAGAGAATAGAACCTTTCAGTCTGAAAGTTATAAAAATAAAACTAATAACAATAAAGATCCGAAAATAGGATTGATGAGATAAAATTTTCTCCACGATAAAATTACTTCACTTAAAATAACAAAAAATCCTAAGTAGACAAACAATAACTAGATGACCAAACAATGAATTTCAAAGGGGTTTTAACTAAATTTATGACAAATTGCAGTTGAAAATAATAATAATAAGTGATGACAATAGTTTTCTTAATTTTCTAGCTGACTTGTATCATGTATTTTCATTTTATCATGTGCACATTCCTTTAAAAGAAAAAAAAAATCCATAATTAAGACAAAAGTCATTCATAATATGAGCATACCAAAAATTTAGTTGAAGGGACCCGTCCTTCAAAACCGTCTCCTTGGTTGCTTTCAATTTTTCATAAACCAACGGAGTTGCTAGTATTCTCATTTCCAACTTGGCTTCTCCTCGAATTAAAGTCGATTAATTCTAATTTGATACTTTAATTTTCTATTCTACTTTTTGGTTTACAACATGAAAATGTTACTAAATCCCAAGTCAATAGATTTTAAAGAACGTCGAAATTATTGAATACTAAGCAAATCTGATGCTTAATGCTTCCTAATTATTCAACCATCTCCGAAAGCAATGCCTATTGGTTATTTCTTTTCTGTCTGACATCTTTGTTGAGAGGATCGTTATGTTGAGTGCCGACATTAGCAATAACTATATAGTATTTGTTTCTTTATCTAAAATTTTATACTGTTTTATAAGATTATGTATTAAAGTGCCAAAACATTAATTTTGAGTTCGACTTAATTACATTCTGTAAAACATGGCAACATTTATTTTTGCTAAGTAATAAATAATTTATATGCTGTAAACTTGTTTTTCAAGGTTACGATATAAAAAATCTTGTTTTCCAAGGTTAAACCGGCGCAATGCATTAATGTATTTTCCCAAAGCATCAATTCATCCTTTTTCTTTTGATTCTCGTCTTGGTTATGATATATTTAGCAGATTTAAATACCCAATATCGTTTACCCACTTCCAAATTTAAGTATTTGATTTAGTTATACACGATCTTTTTTAGATTAAAAAGAAAAAAAAAAGACACAGACCAAATAAATAGATACATTCTAAATTGAATAAATATTATTATTAATAATATAGATATTTTAGTATCTACAGAATTAATTGTAATTTTAAGATGTTACATGGTAATGTTTATTTTTCTTATTTACTAATCTGCCACATAACTTTGAATCGTTGAGCTTGTTTTAAGAAATATGCACTAATGGTTAATCTTGTAAAACAAGCTCAAAGATGAACCATTAATACATCTTTATTTCTTTGATTTTCTCCTTAATTATGATATAATTAGCAGATTTTACTTGCAAAACTGGCAAAACAAAAAACCCTTTATCAAAAAAAAAAAAAACTAGCAAACAAAGTATAGTAATGTATCTCCAGTTTTTTCACCGAATTAAATATCTTTAGCTGTAACGATAATTAAAAAATGGGATTTCTGTCATAACTATGATGTAAGAATTGTGTTTTTAACCGTAATCCGTTTGCATACTGACTTATTACCTTGTTTATGGCTTGTTTACCTTATAGGCTTAAACTAACTTTCTTAAAAAAACTTATTAATGATCAATATACTGCCGAAAAAAATAAAAATAATGATCAATCTACTGTTAACCATGTTATCACTTCGTGTTAATGGCAAGGAGACGCGGTGACAATTGGTCAGCAAATTTCAACTTATAAACTTATACTTTCTGGAGCATGATGGGTTTGTAGAATATTTTGGACCATTTGCCTCGTAAGTATGATCTTCTAAATAGCTTATACCCACCCCTACTCACCTCGACACATGTGTCTTTAGTTTTTGTCCACTTTGGTTATACTAGGTCACGATTAAATATGTCCCTTACACTGACAAACAACTATTTAATGTCTTCTTATGAAATTTCTTATGAAAAGGCGAAAACTGTTATTACCAGAAACAAAACAAATATTGTGATTTCATCACTCAAAACTTGAACCGTAAAAAAGGGTTGATAATATCCGTTCTTTTCGTTGCACAAAAAAACAAAAAAATATCCATTCTTTTCTTCGTTCTTTTGTTTTGTAGAACTCAATAATTTATGTTGTACGTAACAAACTTTGTAGAATTAATATATTCCATCAACAAATGATATTGTGACGACGTGATAAACATTCTATAAATTTAATTGCTTATATAATGAAATGACTCGGAATAAAATCTTAGAATATGTGATGACCCCTTTAAAATTAACACCATGTTGGTTGTTATTCTAATACGATTTAATTGTATATATATTTGATACATGTTAAAGGTACGTTTTATTTTATAACTATATGGATATTGAAGTCATGATAAATTAGCATATACTTGCATGCCACCACAATACTAAATTATTTATTAAAATTAATAAATTACATTGCTTGTAAAATACTAACATGACAGAATAGGCTAGCTAGTCGATTAACAAAAAAAAAAAGAATAGGCTAGCTAGTCTTATTATTGAAAGTTGAAACCTATGCAGCTGTGAAATAATGTGTATTTTAACGTGATCTTATTATATTTCAGGTACTTACTTCTAACGTGTATTTTAAAAAATTCAAATAATTAAGGTCAATAAAAGTTGGAATAATCTTTTGTCATTTTTCCACAAAAGAAAAATACAATTAATAATCAAATATGTCCGAAGGTTTTTAAAAAGGAAAAAAATTCCGGCATTCCAATAAAAATACCAAACATCGGAGTCGCTGGTAATATCTTTTCCCAATTTGATTGAAGTAATTATTAGAGATAAAGGAAATTAGGTGAATTCATTCCTTAGTGTTCACCGAGAAATCCATTAAGAGAATCATGATTTTTTTTTAGCAAAACATGGCCCCCAAATACTTTAGTCAATCTTTGTATTGTGACTATTTAACAAACTATGAGGTTACCATAAAGCAAATTGGGGCTTTTAAAATTTTTATCTCGGTAGATATTTTTTTTTGTCGTTATCTCGGTAGATTATTTGGGCCAAAAGAGATATTTTCCTTAAAAGGAAATCATATTATTCAAACTTGCGATCGCATTTACCAACAAGTTATTTTTTTTGAAAGTTTATGAAACTCCTGTCAACAGTACAGCGATTCTAATGCGTATTTTGGTTAACCATATGCAATAGTTTAGCATTGAATTTCCAGTCAATTTTTTTTTTTTGGACATCGCAATTCATGGTGTATACTAACTCACAAACGTTTTTACTGGTCGCGCCTCTATTATCAGATGAGACACAAAAAGCCCTAGCATGGAATCGCATAGTTTTTAAAATATCATAAACATCAAAATAATGTAGCAGCAAAGGCTAAACGATCGGTTGTATTGGAAATTTTACAACCGATCAAGTTATACCTCAAGCGGCCATTACATGATTTTGGCAACTGGGAAAAAGAGAGAGATCGATGTTCGATTCACTCGGCAAAAAGTTGCCTTCTACGAAAAACATTATCGAAAAATCTCTAGCATAGACATAACAAATCAAGCTTAAGACTTGGAAGAATTAGAAGTTACAAAAAAACCATGAATTTCCCATCAGAGTAACTATGACAATATAGCATCATATGGATCTGATAATCAGATCCATAGCTTTTCATATGTAATCCTCATTAGGAACAATTAGACAAGAAATTAACGGAGAAAAAAAAACCTTTTGAAGAAGAATCCTAAAGGGAAGATATAATTAACTACACACAGAAGAGTCTTATAAAAAGGGGAGGTTGCGAATGATGAGAGGGAGATGGCGGCGGAATTTTAGGGTTTTGGTGAAGGTCATATCAGCGTTTGCATTATATACTGGATTCGTTAACTGCGGTGGAAAGATGTGGGCCTTGATGTTCAGAACACGGCCATTGTAATATGCCGGGTGAACCATAAATGACCCTAGCCCAAAGTAATATAATGTGGCAATTTCGTTTTTTATTTTTAAGAATAGTCTAAGTGGAATTAATTTAAGTTACTGTGTTATTGTTGGGCCGTTGGAAATCTTTTGAAGACAAATTTCTAAACCCAAAATCCGACTAAAACATCTTTGTCATATAAGAATAACACACTCATATCTTAATTGTCTTCTTTCAGACTTTTCTGATGCTTGTCTTTAAGTTTCACTAATGTTTGTCTTTAAATTTCCTTAAAAAAAATGGTGCCTATTGGCTTTCATTTTGTTTATTTTTTGCTCAAAATCGTTCTCGGGAAAATCAAATTTGGATTCCAAATCCTAACAAAAATTACAAAAATAAACCAGCAGGAAACCCTGACTTGAAAAAAAAAATGGTGGTCTCTATAAAGGAGCATTGAGGAGATATCTCTTCTCATAAAGACCAGTGACCTGATCAGCAACAGCCCACATAATGGCTTGTCCTGGAGGAATCCTCATTAGCCTTGGCAATAACCCTCTCCATAGAGCCAATAATCCTTCCTCTGCATAGATCGTCCTAATGGCATGAACCATCCCTTTATATTTCAGCCCACCTTCACCGTCTCGGCTCTGAGCCATCAACCTCGTTTTAACCACATCGAATGGCCCGGTGCAGAACGGACCTGCCGTTCCAGCTAAGAACCCTGAGATCATTGATTGCCATGGCAGCAAGACTTTACCGTCTCCTTCGTGTTTGTTCCACAAGAGGACGTCAAAGGTATTTTTTGCTGTGAACATTACTGCTTGGTTGGTGCCGTTACGCATAACCGTCGGTGCTGCACCTGACCATAGCCCCAATATGGTTTCTTCTTTCACGATGGTTCGAGCACAATGTATGGGTCCTTTGTACTTGAAGAGCTCCGGACTTAATCCTTTCTGTTGCTGAAGTCTAATCTTCACCACCTTGGAGATTTAAAGAAGCAAGAACAGAGAGCAGCTTAAATAACAGTGTTTTTTTCATGAGTGCAGGGAATCAATTGAGATGCAAAAAAATTCTTGAATCCATGGCATGAACACAGTGAAGAGAATCAAAACTTTATCTATATAATTACACAAGAACAGGAGTTTTTTTTTTCCGTTCAGATATGCATAGAAACAAGCAATATTCATAGAGAATATTGGTTTATAAATGATGGGGTCGAAGCTGACGCTTTCTTGAAACAGAACTAGATGAATCATTTTCATGAAATCAGTCAAAAGACTCAAAATGATTCTACTTAATGTTTATGATTCTCAAGAATAAGATTTGGCATGAAGAATGGGAGCAGAAAGCACAATGCCCAGCTATCTACGTAGCAAAGAGATTCGATGGCATTTACCAAAATCAAAACAGATCTGAACCAATAAAATTTCAATTCCATGACTAAAATATACTAAGTTATCGATAAAGAGATGATTCTGTTGCGAGAATCACGCATGTATATAATCTAGAATTTTCAATACACCAAATTCTACCCAACTAACTAATTATTAAACAATTGATTAATTCGATTCGCAATCGAATAAAATATTTGGGAGAGACATGTGATTTCGGTCAGAGATTTACCCGTAAAGTAAGCGAAAAGGCAAGAAATGGAGCTAACCTCAAAGGGTGTAACAATGGCGAGGGCTTCGAGAACACCAGCGCCAAATCCGGAAAGCACACGGCCATGGTTGCTGAGCTTGCCGGTCTGGGAATCCTTGAACGCGGTTTGGAACATGGCGTTGGATCCCATACGGAGCGTGTACTTGAGGGTGAGGTGAGTCGCGAAGGGAGTTAAACCCTTCCACAGAGCGCGAACTCCTTCGGTGCGAACCACCGTGGAGCCGCAGTGCGCGATTCCCTTGTAAACGCCGCCGCGATCTAGCTGGAGACGCGTCTTGATGACGTCAATCGGTTGAAGACAACAAGCCTCGACGACTCCGCCGAGCGACCCCGAGACTGCCTTCATGTACGGCGGAATCGACGCCTGGTTCCTCGATTCCGTCCTCGTCGCCGCCATCTCCGGATCCTTCCTCGGCTGAGAGAATCAAATGTCCTCTCTCGAAGCGCAGGGAGAGAAAGGGAGAGTGGTCGCGTTACGGCTATCTCTTATATTCCTTTGGCCTTCCTCCTCGCGTCTGCTCTCTGGTTACAGACCCGTCCTCTCTTATTTATTTGTAATTATGTTTTAATTGACGGACGAAAGTAGCAAAATCTTTCTTCTTCCAGAGCTAACGAACCGAAACTTTGTTGTATCCCTTAATTTATAAAATAAATTAATAAATTAATTTATAAAGTAATGATGAGTCCCGAGAGAAAATGACCCTTTTCTACACGTATGTTTGTATTTCAATAATCATCATTAATAGTGGTGATAATGTATCTGAAAAAAGGGTGATTAGTAAAAGGCAACTCGATTAATCTTCAAACCCACGGCTCCTCTTCGTCCACGATGTTCAAAAGATTCCACTCTCATCTCTCTTTTACACACTTTTGGAACTATTGCCATCGTTTATACTCTGTTTTAAGTACTTAAATTATCTCATCAACATATCAAACAACATTAGCTCACTCAGTTCGATTCGAGTTTTTTTCGGATTGCAGATGTTAAAAAAAAGAATGTCTCATTTGAGATCATATTTTAATGCGATTCGGGGTTTAAATTTTCAACAAAAATTAAACTTAAAAATATATACAATGATTAATTAACTAATTTTAATCAATAATTTAGAGATTTTTTGGTATATCTAACTGCGTTTAATCAAGCTAGTCGACACATATGTTTTCCTCTTTTTTTTTAATGAAAATTTAGTTGAGACAAAAATAGGCCGACCGATATATAATTCCTTTGTTTCTTAGGAGTCGGCCAATAACGATCTAACAATCTTATAGGAGTATATATATTATTTGCCACCATGTTAATCAGAGAAGAAAAATCCCAAAAGCAAGCATATAATACGTAAACGCTTCTTCTTTTTTGTAACATCCACGACGATATAATGCCGACGAAAAGAAAGAGATCATTGGTAACAGTAAATATACCCGATGATGTGGTAGTGGAAGAGATTCTGGAGAAACTTCCGGTGAAATCAGTATTGAGATTCAGAGCAGTGTCGAAACTATGGAGAAGGGAAATCGAATCGAGGCGTTTTCAGGAGAGACATCTGAAGCATCAGGAGAAATCTCGAGAGCCGAGTATCCTCGTAGTCAAACCTCGGATTTACGACAGCGGAAAGGCTGGTCTTACAACATTGAGCTTGGGAGCAACCTCAGTTTCGTTGGACAACCATATTCATTACCCTGCGGTACTTAGTCCAATGCAAGTAGGCCGGTTTGAGTTTGTTAGAATTACACGTAGCTGCGACGGTCTGGTTTGCCTATATTCAGAAAACTACTTCATGCTTTCAGAAAACACCTGCATGTATGTGATCAATCCCGCCACTAGATGGTACCGTCAACTCCCCGAGGCTAGATTTCAAGCACTTGCTCCCGATAGGGATCCCATGATCCGCTTCTCGTACCCATTACTTGGATTCGGCAAAGACGATATCACAGGGATACACAAGCTGGTTTGGTTGTATAACTCCGATTGCTTAAGCCTAGACGGCCAAACTAACACATGCGAGGTTTTCTCTTTGGACACCAACAACAACATGACTTGGAGGCATGACGTGATTGCTTCTTGTCCTCATCCCATACTACATGGGAAAGCCCCAGCGCACGCACATGGATCCCTCCATTGGAAGTACAAGTCTTATCCTTGCATCTTCACACTGAAACTTTTACGGTAATGGAGAAAATACCTGTTGCCTCTTCACCCCGTGGCTACATTTCCATGTGCACCTTGAATAACCGCCTTTGCTTATCGGAGGATAAGGGAGACACGTAAACTATATGGTCGTTTCATCAAGACAACATGTCATGGCACAAAACTTATGGCATTGATTTACGTTCCACTCTCTCTTGCATCGAAGAGGAATATCGTTTCCCAACGCCACCCCTCGCATTACTTTTGGACCACAGGTTATTGATCTTTGATTCCAGCGACGACGAGGCCATGTTCGTGCGATACAATTCTAGTTCCAACTCTTTTAGTAAATTCTTCCACGCTTGTAGTTATTATGTGGGAGGTGCTATTTCTTACTCCCAAAGCTTGATCTCTATTCCCTAAAGCATTAGACGGACCGCTCATGCTTCCCGGTCTGAATATTATATGTATCTCTCTCATGAGAGAAATCAATTTTTATTCATCCATGTTATAACACATTAGTGTATTCAGTGCAGTTTTAGTAAAAACATTTGGGTTTATATCTACCATATTTATTTTCATTCGTTTATAACCCCAACCCGAATTGTGCTAGTATTATTACATATACAAGCCCAGATGTCATAGTTTCCAACCTTTAAAAATTTGGAAACTTTTAGGGTAAAAGAAAGATTTGATCTGTTCAAGTGTAAAGATAAATAAAAAAAAACTAAATTATTTTGGGATTTTGGAACACGATAAGAAGACAAAGGGTTATAGCTGACTAGTTAAGTAAGCAAAAGAGTTCAAGAAATTCATTGATCAAGTTAGGTTTTAAAAAGAGACAAAGAAATTCATCTGTCAAGTTGGGTTTTGAAGAAGAGACTCAAAAGATCATCGCTTACAAGCTTATTACATTTTCAGCATTCTTTATATACAAAAAGAGACTTCTCTATCGGAGCTAGGCCCATGTAGTCCTCATTGTTTCTTGAAAGACTGCAGCAAAGTAAAAAAAAACAGATTATTTTATGTAGTGTGCTCAAAAATTCAAACTGAAGAAAATTTGTGGGCAAAACAACTCACGTCCATGTTCTTGGAAATTTCTTCCATTTGTTGAGCGACTTTCACCTTGTTCTCTGCAGCTGAAAATCAAAATTCAATATTTAATAAGATTGTAAAACAAGAAGGAGAATGCAAAATACAAATACACATTTTTGAGCTAAAGCCATAGACAAACCCAGTTTAGAGATGTTTTCTATTCTTTTTGAGGTCCTCACAGCAAATCTCTGGAAGGCATGGCTGCCAAAACAAAAACGAAAATTACAAAATGTTAGTGGCAAGTTTTTGGTATAGGCAAGTATATATCAACAAAACGGGCCAAGTAATCATTGGGTGCAAAGATAGGGACCCAGAATTCCAAAGAATCAAATCAAACAGATAAATCAAAAATAGGTGATAAAGATAAACACAAAAAAAAAAGCCTCAGACTCTTAGATTCAAGAGCAACGTCATGTTTTTTGATCAGGACAAGCCTACGAAAATCATCACCGGCAGAAAACAACAATACTCATTAAACAAAACTGAAAATTTATAAGAGTGTAAATCATGGTTATCTTAAGACACATATAGGCAGAACTCAGGAACTCGTGTTCCAATGCACTTCCAAAATAGAGAATGGCATTAAGTAACCCGAGAAGGAAGGAAGAATGCAGGAGAATATAAGGCTAGGAGCCAAAACGAAAACAACTAAAACACAGCAAACCTCCTAATGCAAAACATTTCCAAAGGCTCAAAACAAGAAAAACGCTAAACAGCTTAAAAACCAAATTTGTTCAGAAAGGAAAACAAAATCTCTCAATCTTCCTACGCTGCAGCGTATGGTATCTCACGCAGCAGACCAGCGTGTAAGTTGAGGCTATCTCGCTTCAATATGAACGAGCCGATGAGGAACATATTGAATCCAATCAGCCAGAGAAAGAAGCTTCTATAAAACAGAAGACGAATCGGAAAAACTAAAATCGATGATGAGAATGAAAAGCACCTGTTGGCCAAACCATTTACTATGAGCTCGTTTGCAACGTATGAAACAACTCTGGCAATGAAATTTCCTCCTCCCGCCATAATCCCACTTTCCTATCATACAGATTCAACGAAACCCTAACGTCAAAAAAATTACCCCAAATCACGAACAATTTCTGGACAAATACAAAGCCTTAAAGCATTAATCGAATTCAACGGGACAATCAGAGACGGAAACTGGAACATAAAATCTAGATCCAGACCCAATATTCTGATGAAAAAACAATTTCCCAAAACAAAAATTTTAGCCAAATCAAGAGAGATCGTACAAGAAAGAAAAAAAAGAGAACAAGATTCGTTGGAATCAACCTCACCTGGTGCAAAGATGCAATACGGAAGAGGGAATTTTCGAGACCTAACGAAATTTGTGTGACGTCTCTAATTTACATAATCCTGATTTGTTAGCAATATATAGAATTCGACAGCGTCCTCGTGACGGCGATGACTTTCTTAGGGTTACTATCGGACGGCCACATAACCTCTGAAAGAAAATCCAACGGTATAGATTACAACAGGCCAAACATTAGCCCTAAATAACGATCACTAGACTTTCCTGTTTTACCCTTTCTTTCTGCCTCGATTTCCAAATGGCCCAGCGTTTCATTTATGGGCTACGCCAGCTTGGCCCTGTTCTACCAAATAAACTGCATGTCGTTTATGTCACTAAAGCGGGCCGACATTCTTTTTCATGTTTTGGGTTTGCTCTTGGTCTTGGGTGTGGTCTCTGGTGTGCCAACCCGATTTGCATTGCGGTTTGATTCTTTTTCTTAGGTTTTTAGTTTTTTTTTTCTCTATACCAAAAATTGTTAATAATATGAAACTACTACATACAGTATTTTTCGATTCCTTTTGGTTTAGATTTCAGTTAATCAGATTTTAAAATGATCAAACCAAACGGTTTTATAAACAAAAGTAAGATTGATTTCATTGGTTCAGTTCGATTTTCTTGGCAGTTTTCTACCCCTCGTTTAGCACTTCACAACCACATACATTCAAAGATACAAAAATTCTGACAACACAAGAGAGAGAGAGACAGAGACAGAGAGAGGACTTATGTTTCCCCGTTTTACCCTTAGTATCCTAGCTTTATTTACAAATGAGCCAGTAGGATCCGATTCCACGTATCGGGCAACCCAGGTAAGCACCAATGTATACAATCAGCGTGCTGCATGGGATCAGCCCTCTGCTCAGCCGTTAGGATCTTGCCACCTGTCTCGGTGTAGACAGATGTGTGGGCGTCGATGCGGTACTCGGAGAGCTGCGTAATGTTAATGACAGTCACGTGCGTGGTCATGTGCTTGACGACGCTTGACACCACTTTCATCATCTGCTTGTTGGAGCCAGTCCCCCAAAACCTTTTATCTTTTACTGGCTCCGTCTCGTTGAAACACTTCGTCCCGTTTGGCTTCCCCCAATCCGCACTTCTGCACGTTTTAACACATTCTATGTTACTCTCATATATAGAAACACACGCTTTTTATTTTTTTATGTTTTTATTATCTCAAACACGTATAGCATAAAACTAGGTATTTACCTAGTATGAGTAGGAGACATGGTGGTGAAGAAGACTTTGGTCTTGTTAGAGTCAACGGTGGAGTCAACCCAATTAGCCCATGTCTTGAGCCCTAGCCTGTATGCCACGGGTGTGTCTAACGCCTCCGCACCTCTCTCTCCATTTCCAAAGGAACCCCACAAAGCTTTCATTCTGAGACCACTCATCCACCAAACATAAGTGTTGAAAACTAAAATATCCGCTCCTTCCCAATACTTGGCTCGATCTTTTACTGAATCAACTTTCACTATCCTTTTCTTCATATCCAAAACCACAGGCAAATCCGTGTTCGATTCTACGATAAACGGTGCCCAATAGAACTCTATACTCGCATTGTATTCCTGTACAACAGCAAAAAGAGATAGAAAAAACAAAATTAATATATAAGTTTTTCTTGCGACACAAGGTACAGTGATATCTCACCTATCAAGATTTGCGCAAGCTAAACGTTACCTTTGCTTTGAAGACAAAATATTTTTTGCTACGCTCCATTGATTTTTCTCCTTCGGGTATTATTGATTCCACCAAACACACGAACGATTCCCACTGGCTTCGTTGCAACGAATCTCCGACAAAAAGCAATCTTTTTCCTCTGAGTTTGTTCATTGCTAACTTCGGACTAAATCTGTTTTGAATTCAAACGAAGCTCATAAAGATTCTGTCTCAAAACCCTGAACCGAACTAGACTTATGTTATAAGTTGTCTTGTTACCGTGGAATTGTACAGTCATCAGGCTGCCACTCCCACCGAAGATAATCAGTTTCTGGCCGTCCGTTTTTCATACAAGAGAATTGACGATCGATGTACGGACATGATTCATCGGTGTAGAGTGGCTCGGCTGAGCTATTGTAAACCCATTTCCCTGCTGCCACATTACACTCTTCTGGATCGAAGTCGAACCTGTCGTCGAGCACTTCCATATTCTCCGATCTCTCCTCTCGAACTTTCTCCTCTGGCCAACAAGAACCAGAAAGAAAGAAAAAAACAGAGGAATTTCTTGAGATTACTTGCTTCCCAAGGAAATGAAACATCAAAATCAGACAAAAATAGAGTTTTGAGATTCGAGTTTCTCGTCGTATGTGCTTACTGGGTTTCGAGCTAACATCTTTCCTCGGACAAGACTTGAACTTGAGGAAAGTAGAAGACGAAGAGGAAGAAGAAGACATCAAGCTGATTCTTTCGGTGTATAAAAGAATGAAGAACATGAAACCACAGAGAACGAGAACGATGATGGAGAGAGGAATCTTGGTTCCTCCTGATCCTCTGTTAGGAATTAAGAAGCTCATAGTGGCCAGTCCAGAAGTTTTGTGTGGGAAACGTGTCGGTGTTTGGGAATTAGAGGGAAAGGTGTTAAGGGAGTATTTGGTTTTTATTTGGGATATTAGGGATTGAGTAGGAGTGAAGCAAAAGACATGCTTGGATGTGTTGCTTCCATCTTTTTCTCAATATAATAAGGATGTGGTTAGGGAGGTTAAGATTTGATATGATTGGGTTTTGTCTGTTGATTATAATCTGTAAACGTGAAATGCACATTGTTATTCATTAGGCCACTTGTAGTCATATATAATAATCTTCCGGACGTCCTCTGTTACTTTATGTACTGTAAAAAATTATAATTTCATGTTGAATATTGAAAAATCTGATAAAGAACTGGTGTATTTGATTACAAAATATATACAAATAATAAGTATCTTACATATTCAACTAATGAGTTGTATATGAGCAGTAACCTCTTTAATTGAAAAAATGTATATAGGAAAGTCTATTGTAACGAATTCTTGCATTTTGTGGTTCATTTTCTAGTTAATATATAGAAGAAAATTCAAAATGCGTGGTTTTAAAAGTTTGAAATTTTTTTGAGATGATTTCTAGTAAATATATCGTTACAAATTTCATAAAATAATTCATTACTGAATAAAAATCAGTTCAAACACATACTAAACTTAGATCACATCAAATTCGTTGTTGAGTAAATTCACTTGACTCAATTCGATTTATTGTTTTTCTTTTGTACCTAGAACTTTTGGAAACATACATCTTTGGAAAAAAAATAGAGAGTGGGTTTACACTTACATGATACGCACAAAAGTTACAAGTTAGATAAGACACTATTAACTTGATTAGAAGGATTATTCAGATTAATCAACAATCATTTTTTTTTTAAAAGGCGTTTTATGCGAGGAATAAATAGTTAAGGAATTGTAATCCTGGTCCTGTGGGCATCGATATCGAATCAAAGGACATCAATTTATCGATGGCACTTGAAAACGAATAAACAGACACCAACAGTAGAGTTGGTGTTGCTTGTAAAATCAACAATAGCTGCCTTTATATTTTAGTTTTGATGATAATTATATCAATTATTAAAGGCAAAGACACATCATTAATTAGGCTTCTACTTTCGCAGTTGATAATGCATATACGTGGGAAATGTTGTAAAATGGTTTTCATCATTTATTTCATTTAATTTAATCCTGTTTCATTGAATGAAGATAAAAAATAAAAATAATGGAGATGCGGGGTATCGATCCCCGTACCTCTCGCATGCTAAGCGAGCGCTCTACCATCTGAGCTACATCCCCGACAATGATGATTTTGGATATGCTGATATTTGTAAAAGTATTTTTTTTCCATAGGTAGGCTAATGGGTTGCCGGATATTCTTTCAGATTGGGGCATTGACATTTCCATTTTCTTACAATCCAATAAGAAGTTCGTAATAAATTTGTGATAAACGAAAATAAAAAAAAGTCTATAAGATAAACGAAAGACTGAATCCAAAATTAGTTTTTGCACGTTTTACCAACAAAAAAATATAGGTTTTAAGAGAATCTCGTATGCAGGTTGGTTAAGTTTTTTTTTTGCATAATTACACCGACTTATCATATGTATATTTTAGAAATTTTCTCTAAAGAAATTACTATTATACTAATTTTTCACATATAGGCTACTTTACTAATTTCAATAGGAAAATTTAATATTTAATACTATTATACAACTAATGTGGTTTCTTTTAATTAGTTAGATAATCACTGATTTAAAACGGTTTTTACGATTGTAACTAAAAAAACATGTGAAGTAATTTAAATGAACGATACGTGCGCATATTTAAATCATAGGCAAATATAAATTTACGTAAATAATAATGAGTTTTTTTTTGTCGACTAGTTGTAGTGTGTTTATTTCAAAAGGAAAAATAATAATTAGAAGAAAGAAAAAAGAAGAACACAAGTGCATTGGTGGATCGCGAGAGTTGATAAGCTTGGCAAGTTCTTTGGTGGCAATCTTTTCACGCGCGTCAGAGAATTATTTAGATTTTGTCTCTCTGCTTTCGTTGCCTCTTTTTCCGGTGTGAACTAAGCGACCGAACTACTTTTCACTTGAGCTTTGAAAATGACGCCACGTAGAACAAGAAAAAACCTCCTGTTTTTATTTTGAAAAAAAGTGAAAAGGAAGAAAAAAGGAAAAGTTAAAAAAAAAAGTATCTGTAAATAATTTATACTCACCATTCTCTTCTTTTTCTTTTTACACTTCGAATTTGAATTTGGAATCTTTGATCTTGAGGATCATACCTGATAAAATAAAATACTGAAATGGTAAAGCTAGCTATGTTTTTCTGTTAGTAAAAATTATATTTATTTGAGATTTATTGAAAACATAACAAATAGTATCATATTCTACAAAAATTTGTGTTACCCGTTTGTACATGTATTATTATTCCAATGAATAAAAAAATTTACAAAAAAAACCCTAGCTGGACAAAGAAAATTATATCAAATTTAATAACGGTATGCTTGGATTATCCGTTATGAAACATAATCATATGTAAATGTAATGATCAGATTAATCATACACTAGTCCATTAAACTCGGCGACAGAAAAAAAACAACGAATACCTTAAAGTCAGTTGCTCCAAGCCTCCAGAATCATAGATGGAGTATGTTTTATAATAATAAAGCGAACTAGATAGGTTTGGAGGAGGCCTTTTGCATCTGTATAATATTTAATCTTCTGAAGATTCTAAGTACTATTCAAAAACTTGATCCCGCCTGTCTTGCATATATGATAAGACATGAAGACCTAATCATATTGATTCAATTGTTCCACTGTGTAGTACACACCGAGACTAAAAGAAAACTTGAAAATTAGTTTTGAAAGTTTATGTCTCAAAGATACAAATTATTTTCAAATCTTCACTAACGTCTACTTATCAACTCAATTTCTTTTTTTTTTATATAAGGGCATCTCCAACCCTACCCCATTTCTTCTTCCAAATATCATTTTGGAGGAAATTCTTCTCCAACCCTACCCCATTTTCACCTGCAAAATAGAGGAATGCCATTTTTTCCTCCAAATATGGAGTAACCCCATTTTCAACTCCATTTTGCAGGTGAACTTTTTTATTTACAACATAATCCTTTACTTTTAATTAATTCTTAAAACTATATTTTTAAATTATAATTTAATCCTTTATATTATATATATTTAATTTAAAATTAAAGATAGATAGATTTAAAATTTGAGAATAGAAAATAAAAAATATAAGAAAATTAACTGAAACTAGAAATAATATAAAATTAAAAATACATAAGAAGTACTGAAATTACAAATAACATAAAATAAATTTATTACAACAACTGATTAATAAAAATCTGGTAAACTGCTTCCAGATCCACCAAGATCATTAAAATATTGTCCACATGAACCAGATTGAGGTGGATTTTGCTGAGTTGATAACAGCTGATGTTCCATCATCGATTTTTCTTTTCATTTTAGATTTTTTATGCTACTTGGTGATATTTAAATTAAAATGGTGATATTTAAATTAAAATGTACTTTGTTTCTTATTTTAAATGGTGTGTAATGTTATTTTTATATTTGTAAATGGATTCATTTGTAATTTTTATAAATACAGTGCATTATTAGTAATTAACAATAAAATAAAAAGAAAGAATATACTCAGAATATTCTTTTTGGAGTTGAAAATAAAGAAATACATTGGAGAGAAATTCAACTCCATTTTGCAGTTCCCCATTTTGGAGACAAAAATGGGGGAATACATTGGAGATGCTCTAAGTATAACAATGAAATTCACATTGGCACTTCCAGATTTTTTCAACTACTATTTTTCTCAAGTTGTCGTCAAAATTCAATAATTCTAACCTGAAACTAAATTTATACCTGAATTTTCTCAACTTTGAAACAGTCTCTTAGATTAAAAAAAAAAAAAAACAAAAGAAAATTTAAAAAAAAACTCTCTTGGTTGCATGCCCTTTATTTTGAAAATAACTGATCCTGACTTTACTGTTCAAAAGTTTTAAGTTTCTTTTCTTCCGTTGAGTTTCAAAAACAGAATCTTCTTATGTATATCACTTTGGTTAGAGATATACTTTATTGATCCTTGGTACTTTTTCCTTTCTATGTTACCACTTATCATTCTATAGTAATTTAAAAAAAAAAAATACTCAAACTGTGGGTGGAAAAGAAATTGGAATAATGAAATCTTGATAAAAGAGAAAGTGAAATATAATGGGTAAATCATTAAGGTAAATTTGTGTCATTCAACGCATAACAACATAGAATGATAATAAAATTTATGTTAAATGAATTAACTGAACATGAATAAGTGATTATACGTATTAAACTACAGTAAGAGTTTATGAAGTGAAAAATTAGCTTTGTAGTCATCAATTGACTTATATAGCTGAATTATAAACGTTTATTGAGTTATCATCTCACTGCTTTGACAGAATTTTAAGTATAATGTAAAATTTTACACTCACTGCTTAACACAAATATATGGGATATATTTTTACACATATTTTTTGCTTTAATTTATTAGTTGGTGCCTTGGTGGCCCCTCATAAATAATGAGAAATGGTCTGTCCTTCTCGTGATTTATAAATACCAAGAACGTCTTACACATTTTCAACACACTCTTTTACCTAAAACACTATCATAGTATCATACATCACCATGACCCAACGAGCCAATCCTAAGACCGGCTGCCTCACGGCAGTTGTTCGCCGTCTTTTATGCTCCGGCAGCCAGCAAACCCACCCTTCCGACAACATCCTTGACTCCGACGAAACACTCCAATTATTAATCCCTTACGAAGAAATCGAAGAGCCAAAGAAAGAGATCAAAATCGAAACCGGATCCCAAACCGAAAACGACGACGTCTCTCTCCACACTCCTCCTCCTCCCAACGTTGTAGCCAAACTCATGGGTCTAGATAACCCCCTACCGGGATCAAACCGGTTTAGGTACTTTGACGATTCCGGTTCGGCTGTCACACGGAGCAAATCGGTTAACTTCATGGACTACATACTAAGAGGCCATGAGGAAGAAGAAGAAGAAGAAGAGGAGGACAAAGACGGTCACCGCCGGTGCCGGAGAGTCAAAGCGTCGGTTTCGTTCCGGGAGATAGTCCCGACCTCGGCGAGATGGAGTGCAAACCAACAACAGAAGAAACACGATTTCTTGCTGTTGTATCTTGACAAGCTCGACGAGAAGAGGGAACTTGTCGGATCATCGTCTTCTTCGAGGTCTAGAAGGTTCGAGAAGGCTGTAGAAGATTCCAAGAAGCCGCCGTTGCAACCTTCGGAGAAGAAGAAGGAGAACGAGAAAGTGGCGAAGAAGTTTAAAGACGAGCCGAGGAAAGCTGCGAAGAAGAAGAAGAGTGAGAATCGAAGTGACGTTAACGGAGCTAAGAAAGTTCGTTGGTTTCTCTCTCCGTCTAAGAGTAAGTCGTCCGAGAAGACGGCGCTTCTAGGAGGAGGAGAATCAAAAGATATTCCGGCGGATGATTTTACTTGTAAGGAGACGGAGTCGCCGGAGAACAAGTCGAATGCGAGTCCGGTTTCGGTTCTTGATCGAGATCTTTATGATTATCTCATCCTTGATGATGACTACTACTACTCAGGTGAGTCTACAACAAAATATATTCCTTATTTGTTTACATATCTATTTCTAAGTTTGTAAAAAACATCTTCATAAGAATATTTGAAAAGGAGCTGGTAAAACTTTGGTTAACATTTAATTCATTCCAAGCTTTCATATTCAAATGATGTATTAAAAATTTGACCAATGTGAGATTTTCCTTAATATTCGACGTCAAATAAAGATAATTCCGAATACGAACAAGGACAGTTATGATTTAATGTTTGAACATCTTTTTTGGTGTTACTCTAAAAAGCTGCATAATTGAGACTTTGTTATTGGGTTTTTTTTTTTTTTCCCAAGAATATTTTAAATCTTACTTTAATTTGAAAAAAAAAACAGGAGATTCGGAAAGTGCATCGGAGTTGTCAACAAAGCAAGTAGAGACAACTGCAAAATCTTCATGTTCTTCATCACCAACAAGAACAAGAACAAGTACCAAGAAGGAAAACAACAATAGCACCAACAGTGATTCTGAAGAGACAGAGTTCATCACAAAGCTAATGAATATGCTCTCAGATCTGTCTGAAGAAGACATGAAGTCTTCAACTTGGGTTTCTACTTCGTCAACTAAACCCGTTGACTTTACTCAGGTCGAAGATTTTTGTGTTGAATTTGGTCAAGAGATTCTTGATCTTGTTATGGACCAGTTGGTTGATGAACTCTGTACCTAGTTTAAATTATAAATCTCAATCATCAAATATATTTGACGTTTTAAATCTTATAATCCAATCGTTGACCAATCAGATGAATTGCAAATGTTTATCAATTGGTGGAAAAGTAAATTAATGATGACAATGTCATACAGCTAGTCATTTGAAAATTCGGGGGAATGTCATAATTTGATGCAAGTATTTCCTAGATGTCGAATTTTGTACATTCGTGTGTTTTCATATGTATTTACAAATGTATACATTGTTTTGTCAAACACTAAAATATCTGATGTTAATCGAATTCATTTGATGATTTAGTTTTTTTCCCCCCAGTACAGATCGTATATTCGTATGATGTCACTATCCAAATTTAAGGTCGGTAGAATGTGTGTTGTTGACACAAAAAAATAGTTAAAATTCACAATATGTTTGTAATTTATAAAAAAACGGATTACAACAGGAAAAAAAAAAATAAAGTGATTCACTGGTTTTATAGAGTACAAAACAAATGCACTTATCCGAAACACGAGTACATCGTGTGAATTCGGTATTGATAATCACAGGAAAACCATATAGCACAAGGATGATCTTAATGACAAAAATTAAATTATATTCAAACTCGACATGATTGGGAAAAAAATGAAATATATGTAATGTAACATTATATTATAAATACTTTCGCAAAACATAAAAATAAATATATATGAAGTGGTCCAAAAACAGTCAAATCGGTTTTCTTCAGAAATGTGCAGAGCCCCGTAGCTTCGAAATACGTACTGTCTCCTTTTATGTCTATTTCACATGCAAAATGTGGTCTCCTTCTAACGTTACTTCTTTGACGTTTTTTTGTATTTTTCTGGTTTTTTTGCTTGGGATTTACATGTAAAATTCATAAACATTTTCCCACTTTAATTTCTTTAAAATTTGAAAATTGAATATTTAATTTTTAGTTTGGCAAAAAAATGTATTTATTTTAGCAAAAATTAAATATTAAACAACTGATCAAAACTGAAAAATGTTGGAGGCCCTTTTTAACACGAGCCGAAGCAAGAAATGAGCCACCCGTGTTTTTATTTTAACTAGACCAGTGTGAACGCGCTAGGACACGGTTTCGTGTTTTCGGTATTTAACTGTTTCGCGATCTGTTGGTAGCTGTCTCTTGCAATTGAAGAAATGAAATAATTCAAAATTCTTTATGAGTTCAATAGCTGCTTACGAATATTAAGTTATATATGGACACGATCACAAATAACGCGGTGAAGTAATGTGGGACAAATGTGAATTGGAATTTTGGAACAAGGACTTTTTTGTTTAATTTTTGTTTATCAACTGATTGATAATTATGAAACATTCTTAGTAACAGAATAAAAGTATTAAACCAATTTGCATTTGGACACCAAATAAGGCTATAACTATCAAAAATAGAAATCAAATTAGCATCTAGCTATCTACCCACTGGAACATATATATAGTTCTTTTTTTTTTTTGGTTAATGGGTGTTCAGTTGTAATGTATATTTATAGGGACTTAATCATATAACCAAGTTGAAAAGAAAACCCGAAAAGAATCGGTAAATCGAATCAGATTTTTAATTATTTAGTACACTATGATCTACTATTCCGTTTCTCCTTAGATTGGGATTATTTATCATATACTATTTTTTCAAAAGCTCATTCCTAACTATGAATTATGAACACAAGGCAGTTGGGAAAACATTCTACGGGAGCAAACTTGAAATTTAATGTGGAGGATCAAAACCGAAATCCATCTTCAAGTCCGATCTCATCTGGTATATCGAGCTTTTGCAATATTATTTTCAGATCATGATAATGTATTATCATCATTTGATCTTCTATACATTTTTCGTTTTCAATTATCAAAATTATTATTCATATATAAATAAAACAAACATTAACTGGATATGACTTAAAAGAGATTTAACTAACTAAGCAAGTAGCTAATTAACTCATGCTTAAATAAAATTATTTTAAAATTAGAAGCCTTGGTGATCATCATCATCATGATCTCTATTAAGCTTATTCAGCAAAGCATCAATGAGGGTATCTCTCTTCTGAGCCCTAGCTTCTTCTCTCAATCGTCTCTCTTCCTCTCTCTCCATCCACTTCCTCTCCGCCGCGGCTCTCTCCTCCTCTAGCTCCGCCATTCTCCTCCGCCACTCTTTCTCTCTCTTCTCCCTCTCTCTCTCCTTCATCTCCCATGCATCTCTCCATTCATTCTCCATCTTCACCGTTTGCCTCATAAACTCCTCCAATATTTCTTTCAATGTACTACCGGCGGTTTCAGCTTTTGTACTACATGCGACGCCTTTTCCTTTTTTCGCACGTTTCCTTGGATTAGTAGAAGTACTAGTAGTAATCACTTCTGACTCTTTCTTGTGTGTCTCTACGAAAGACAATAATTCCTCATTGATGTCTTGGTTTGGCTCCTCAACGTCTTCTTCTTCTTCTTCTTCTTCGTCAGATGAAAACTGATGTTTTCTCTTCGAAGAAGTGCTTGGTTCTGTGGTTCCTGACCACAACATCCTTTGCATTCTTGCTGTGAAAATCGATTGGATCTCGTTGTAGAATGGGAATTGGCCCTGCCTAATAGCTTCTGGCTCAGTCGTTTCACATGCCTGTCCCATACATATTCAATACGTTATATATATATATATGTACTACATACACAACATATTTATACATATATGTATGTCATGTAGATACATTCAACTGTTATGTGCCCAAGTACGCGCTACTTTTCTAGCTAGATGAGCAAGTATCTTGAACTCGTAATAGTAATATCGTATATATATGTTCATCTATCATGTTATTTTTGCTGCCTTGCACTTAACGTATGTACAAGTAGATATATTCAAATATCATGTGTTTAGTAAAAAAAGCTTCTTAACACAAAAATTATGCATCCGTTATATAACGGTAATTGAATTTTCTTTTTGTGGCATTTTGTGAGCACGAGATATTACTTGCTTACCATGCGATCGTAATTAACGAAAACAAAAGAGAGATATTGTTGTATAACGGATCAAAATGTGAACATATACCATATCATGAAATTCATCAATAAACGCATTAAAGTCTAATCTCTAGCTCGTTACCATTAATGGCATGGCAATATCTAAAGGACTTAAAACAGATTAGGTTGAACTCATTAATTGATCTATGAATAATAATATATAGTTCACCTATACATACACCATAGACTAGGTTTCCAATATGCATACTTTCAATATCTCCACGAAAATGATATAAGTACATACACACAATCATAAATATAGAAATGATATAAAAATGCTTTATAACTATATATGATGCATAGATACTTGTAACCATGATCATACAAACAACATCAATAGTTGTATATATGTATATAGACTGTATATAGAGAGAATCATTAACCTTGTATCTAGTGACGAGGTTCTTCCATTTGCTTTTACACTGTTCTGCACTCCGGACAAAACCCTTGTCGGCCATTTTAGCGGCGACGACTTCCCAAAGAAGCTTATTACGTTTGGTCTCCATGAAAGTCTGATCAAGCTCTTCTCTAATACCCAAAAGCTCTTTTGTTTCCTCTATGCTCCACTGTGGGATTCTCTCTCCTCCGCCGCCGGGATCCATCACCACCGTAGTGCTCTGCGGCGGCGGAGGAAGCTGTTGCTGTTGGACCAAGTGATGAAGCGGATGGTGGTGGTGGTGATGGTGGAAAGGGTTACGTCGGTCCATTGTTGGGATCCAAGTTTTTTTTTGGGTGACGTAAAGAGAATAAGAGAGATTTGATGATTTTGTATTTTCTTATAAAATGAAGAGAGGGTTTCTTTAGAAAAAGGGGAGAAGACAGAGAGGAAGGAAAGGAAGAGAGATTTATAAGGTGGTGTGAAACGAAGGTGTGAAATCGTCAAGGGACGATTGAAGTACAGTTTTTGTTTTTTGTTATCTCTAATTTATTGTTTAATACGATATTAAAAATATTTGAATGGACTACTATAAGTCATAGAATTATTTAGTTGAATTAAAAAAAAAACCCGAATGTCTCCTTTCTATTAGTGAAAAGGATGTTCCGTGATTAGCTTATAAAATAATAAAAGTTTAGATTTCTTTCTTCGGATAAGAAAGTTTATACAGTATTTAATCAGCTAACTACATAAAAACCCATTTTTCTTTGTATTCTAGAGTTTTGAGGTAGTGAAAATAGCAATAAACAATTATAGGGGAACAAATATCAACATATGTATATCCTAAGTTAAAAATATCGAAAGAAAATCGAATAATATTTTCTTAGAAATTGATGATTGTGTGTACAACAAGCTTAGAAATTTGTAATATTTTTTTTTTGTCATCTGGAAATTTCTAATGGAGTGTTTATTTATTTATTTTTACTTTCACTTTTTATTTCCCTCTGTTGACGCGGAAGCTCATTGCTCAACCCAACGGTCTCATAGTTTTTTTATTGGAGATTAATAATTCGTCCCAATATAATACTGCGTTGTAATTTCGTCACGCTTACGAGCTACACAAATAACATTCTGTTTTTTATTCTTGTTTTTTAATTTTCTTCCGGAAACCTCAAAATAAATAATCATTTTTCGCCTTTCTGGTCAATTTTTGTTTTTGACATCGGCCTTTATGGTCAATTGACCCACTAGATTTTCCTCATAATTCTCGTATTTTCTCCATCTTAATATCTAAAATATTTCGTTTGTCAATATATTCATCTTAAATTAAAATAACCTACTGGATCCGCATACTATTAAAACTTATAAAAAAAGAAAACAGTGTCATTACTCGACACTCGTTGGAGAGCCGATTAGATATAAAGAAACAGTACTTAGCTACTGAATAAAAGACTACCATATCATAATTAGCTTAGCTGAGAATACCGCTATTTTCAAAATTTATTAATTATCCAACTGTCAGATTCCTAAAATATGGCAGTGGTACAATTTAAAGCCGCGTGATTGCATATAAAATACAATGATAGAAATAGTAATGGGACAAAGATAACAGTGAAGCAAATTTTATAATATGACAAGTTAATATTATTTGCGTCTAAAGATTTGTGGGGTTTGCCTCTCTCTCTGATGTTGTAAGAAATGGTAAAAAGAATCTTATATACATACATAAAAAAATAAAATAGTCAGCGAAGTGGTCCATTTTCTGATGAACCGTGTTGAAAGTAAACAAATCTTACATGACATGCACTAGACTTCGCTCCCACCTGTCATCCCACGTGGATTCACACGTTATTTTACTTATTAGTGTCGACTGAATATAACTTGTCTAATTATTTTGTTCAATTTTTTCTTCTTTACTACAGCTTTGCATTTTTTTAATATATATTAAATATGAAATTGTAGCATCCATTAAAGGGGGACTTGTGAAAAATGATGAATAATCAGTTGATTAAACAATGGACTAATTAGATATGAGGTGTCAAGTGTCATGTTCTATTCCACGTGTAAACGCTCACCATAGTTGTCCACGTGGCGATATATAATTCCGTCTTTAGATCTCCAGTGGGTCCCGTTCTTTCACAAATACGCATTTAATTACTTTTAATGGATTTGTTCTACTGATGTTTATCCGCTCGCATAACAAATACAAATTCGCCACGTCATCATTAGTCATTAGCATGATTTATATATTTTCTATAGTCATTTGTTTACGACTTTAAACTGTTACCATGCTAGACGAAATTTTGAAGACAAATCAGGCAGCTGATAATGATCTGACGTAAATAATTTACAGCTTAAATAATTTGTTTGTAGCATATTATCATTTATATCTTTTGATTGTCTGAAAAATATCACTTTTTTGTAATAAGAAAAAGGAAAAGTAAAATCATAATCGTTTGACACTAAAAAGAAAACGAAGTTATGTTTTGTAGAGCAAATTTTTTCCTCTTATTAGCCTTCTATTGATGCTTTGCAGCAAAACAAAGTTAATTTTTGTTGTTTGATTGTTCCGATTCACGCACGCTAAATTAAATAAGGAATAGAAGTCATCTATGGGAGGAAAGTAATTTACTTTACCAGAAAAACTGAAAGAGAAGCATGAGGATTATTGATTAGTCTGTTCTTTGTTGACAAGTAACAACAATTATTCCCTGTCAACATCTCCACGTGAGAATTGAAAATATTTAATACAAATTTGGAGGGAATTAAACGGGAGAAAGTCAAAAAATGAAGGTGAGAAAAAATGCAAAGATTGAAATTTTCTGGAATAACAACTGAAGAACGTTTTTTGTTTTCTTCTTTCTAAAAAACAAACAACGCTGCCATGAATAATAATCAATTAAATCTAAAATAAAACCGAGGCGAGAAGCTTTCAAGAAGAAAACATCCGCTTGAGCCCTAATTTCTGCTCAGTCGTGAGCTTGGAGGGGAAGATGATGATGAATCTGATTCTGAGATTCCCTTTTCTTGACGAATCCTTAGAAATCGGCATGCCTTCTCCTTTCACGACCTCTTCGTAAGACGGACTGACCACATTGTTGACCGGAACCGTCAGGGTTCTTCCGTCAAGAGTGGTGACCTGCGCGGTGCACCCCGTGAGAGCTTCCACGAGAGAGATCTTTTGAGTTACCACAAGATCATTCCCGTCTCGCTTGAAAACGGAATGCGGTTTCTCGTCTACGATGAAAACGAGATCGGATGGTATGATTCCTCGCTGCTCGTTACCTTTGTCCAGGAATGTTATCTTCGTTCCTTTTTTCCAACCAGGTTTTATGTCTATCGTCAAGATCTCCTCAACCTCTGTTGGCCTCCTGCCAAAAAAACACGGCGTTTTCAGCCACAGCTTTGAAGAACATAGAATATAAACACTCAGTAAATGTCCCAATACCCGTGGTATCGGCAATTACAAAAAAGTGCGAATGAATTTACTTTCTTGAACTCACTAAGGTCTTTGAGAAAGCAAGAACTTTCTAAGCTGGCTCTATAATGAGACTGGTTAACTAGGCCATTGAATGTCCCTGCTCGCTATCGGTTCCGACTCTTACATCTATTATTTATGAGTCTAACAAATCTCTAATCTATAGAAAGCTCAAATACTGAATAGAGGCAAAGAAGACCACAGCTTAGACACTAAGACAAAATCATTTAAAAAGAAGAACTTTATAAGAAAGCTGACACTATATACTACAAGAAGGAATCCGGAAACTAACCCGCTCGAGTCAAGAACATCACGAGAGATCTTCATCTTCTTGGTGGTTCCTTTATACATATCCTCCAAACTACATGGCAATTGTCTCTCAATTGGAGCAGCTTTCCTTGCAGGAATCGAGGTTTCGCCTCCTCCTCCTCCTCCGGCAGCAGCCCTCAAGGAAGCTAGGATCTCATCGCCGTAACTAAACCCAGAAGGTCCTGGGCGTGAGTCGCTCCCCATAGCAAAGGGCCTTGTGAAACCGAAGAACTCGGAGAAGATATCATCGGCGCTTCTGGGATTGAACTGGAAAGATGCTCCGGCGGCTGATCCTCCCGGATATCCGCCGGCGCCGGGAGGTGGGGCCTGGTTCTTTAATCCTTCTTCTCCGTATTGCTCGTAGACTGCTCGTTTTTGAGGATCGCTCAAAACCTATCGAAGACAAACAAAAAAAGCTTTAATGTTCCCAGAAAAACGGCTCAAGTTGTTCAATTCTTAGCTCAAAATCGCAAAACTGCATGATTGCTCAAAATTCAAGTCCGGAAACCGTAAAAGCAAAAAACCCCTAAACCAAAATACAAAGCGGGGAACAAATTCGAAGGGTTTTAGGATTAGTTACATCGTAAGCTTCGGAGATCTGTTTGAATTTTGCTTCGGCTTCTTTTTTGTTGTTAGGGTTCTTATCGGGATGCCACTTCATGGCGAGTTTGCGATAAGCTTTCTTCAGCTCGTCATCATTCGCACTCCGATCTACCTGAAGAACTTTAAAGTAATCGACTCCCATTCTTTTATCTGCTGCTCAAAGCTTCTTCTTCTTCTTCTTCGTTCGCTCTCTCTCACCGAATCTTCACGAAACACACTGGACTCGAGCTTGAATTCTTTATAGCTTTTTTTTCCGTTTGGGATTTTAGGGTGCACGACTCATTTATATATTATCGCCGACTAGTTTAATTTTATTTGTTCTCGAATTTAAGTTCTTAAACCGATCCAAAACAAGAACCAAACTTAAATTTAACTGATACTGCTAACCGTACGTGATTTGAACCGGAATCACTCGTGTAATATATTCCAAATATCAAATTAATATTCTCCGTTTAAAAGCCCACATGTTCAGCTAATATTAAGGCCTTAAGAATTTGTCTTTTTAAGCTGCTTGGTTTAACATGTCACGTTGAAATCAACACAAACTTAGAAAACATAAGCAATCTCCCATCGGTGGAACTTTTCTTTAGTTTTATTAGTCTTGATTCAAGAAAATATTACAATCGCTAATGACACAGTGCGTCTAAAAACATACCTTTAATCAAATCTACAAAATTCATTCCAAGTAAGTAATCTAACTTTAAGAAGAAAAAAAAATTGCTACAATACATGTAAGCTTCTCCCCTGACTGATGATGACCGAATTTCTGAATCTGAATCTTCTCCTCCTCTCTGGAGTCCAATTGTTTTTTTCCGATTAAAATTCGTCACAGAAAGGTGCACTCACTCTTCTTCTTCTGCAGAAGATTCCTTTGATTTCTCAACCTCCATCGTCTCGTTTTCAGAGGCTGCCGTGTCGTCTATCTTCTCATCATCAGCATGTGTCTGGTTTGACGATTGAGAATCTGATGTTTGGGTATGGCTCGTTGTTGCTGGAGGATTCGAGTCCGACACTTGGGTGTCTTGACTCAATTCAGACTGGCCCGCACCAACGGGACTGCTTTGAGACTGACTCGTTTCAGACATGCCCGTACCAATAGGACTGCTTTGAGACTGAGTGGCAACCACTTGACTGGTTTCCTGGTGGTCTGTCTCAGAGTGACTCAATGGTACAGAAACCTGCTGAGACTGGCTCGTTTGCTGTGACTCGCTTGCTTGCTGCTGTCCCTGACTCGTTTGTGTCTCACTCGCTTGCACTTGACTCGTCTGTGTTCCCTGAGAATCAGGGACAAGTCCGAGAACAGCCAATGTAGATCTACCAACAAAAAAGTTCCATATCTCTGTGATCAGCAAATGGATTTCAAATAGCCGAAGATGTTTTTTTTTTTTTTTTTTTTTTAATATTTGAATTCGTAGAAGCTTGAAAGAGTAAAGGTCACCTTGGAAGTGAAGACCGGATCTCTGGCTGGCTCGCATGTGCGGTTAGTGGAGCTCTTAAGGCCGAGATTTTAGTCAATGCATTTCCCAGCTGAGGTGGAGGAAGCTGGACGAATAGAAACCTTTTATTTTCTTGCGATTGTGGAAGAAATAATTTAACAGGGATCATAGTCGGTGTTTTGAAAAGTCAACTAAAACAGGTATCTTTACACTACAGGTGGATTCTGAAAATCTCATACAACGCAAATCAGGGAGGACTGAAGAGATTATCAATCGTACCTGTAGTAAGACCTTGTATGATTGAGGCTGTGTTGACTGTGCACATTTCAAAAATCCTACCCACAGTTTCGGATCTTTCCATATCTGAAGCATATTTTTCATATCAATCCTGAGAATTTACGATAAAGAGAGAGAGAGAGAGAGCGCGCGCGCATAACATTTTAATAACATTACTGACCTGTTTGCTAACGAGACGAGAAAGGATCTCCAGGATGAAGTCCGACTAGTAGATTATCAGGTTGATTAGATTGTTAAGAAAAAATCATATTGTGATTCAAAAAGTGAGATGTTATGAGTTTTGTTACCAGAGCTGGAAAAGCACCGATAGCTTGTAAAACTGTACGCATAAATAACATTGGGAGTGGAATTTGCTGGACCTGCAGCCAGAAACTCGCCAATGAGCAAAAAATAACCGGAAGCAAAAAACGAATTGTCATAATCTGAAAAACAAACTCGGTAAGATGGAGATTTTTTTATCGTACCAGTTGATTCAGAACGCCGGCTAAAACCTGTTGAGTGAATATCTGCCTCTGTGCGAAACAGGTATTGCATGCATCTGTGACCTAATAAGAACGTTTTTTTTTTTTTGGGTCAGATGATTAGATGAGCTTTAAGATAGTATTTACGGGAAGTAACCTCGTGTTTGATGAATTTTAGGTAAACAAGTGGCGGATATCTCTTAATTGTTCATCAAAGCTATTCTTTATTAGCTCCACGTTATATAGAAATGGTAGAGACATACCTGTTTAAGTGGTATTCCATCTCTCGCTGGGTCAATGCTGTGGATAGCAATTAAAACTTCAGATGGAGAAAGCACTGGGCCAGACTGAGATGATCCCTGAAAATCAAATTCCAGCGTGAGCAGATCAAACTTAACTCAGAAGCAAGAGGTACCGAAATGAAAAAGCTTATTTTAAATAAGATACCTGCAGGACACGAGACAGTGCAACTTGGAATTTCTCCGTAGGAAGATTCACCAGATGAGGAAAAATGCGTAGAACCTGATAGAGAGACAAGTTGCAATTTTAGGAAAATAAGAAAACCATAACCCAATGCGTCAATAGAGTGGGAAAATTGCAGGACAGAAGATTTACATCGTCTCTTGGCAGGAATGGCAAAATTGGGAAAATGATTTCTACATCCTGCAGTCCCATCGAAAGTTCAAAACCAAAGAAAAAATAAAAAGAAGAAACGACTTTATTTTTGTATAATTAGGAGTTTTAAAATGAAACATTCCACCGTCTTCACCTTTATTCTTGTATCAAACAACTTTCGTATAGTATGTATCAATTCTGAAGAAGGCATGGGCCCCTCGGTAAGAGTTTGAAGAACCTGTCATGAAAGGAGAAACATTAAGGGAATAGTAAAATTACCGACAGCTATTCGAAGCTTCTTCACCTAATTACAGGGTAGAAGAAAAACTTAAGAATGATGAAAACCTGCAGTAGAAGATTTTCACTCCCACTCGGTGGGTCTGCTATTATTTTAAGAAGCTCAGAGGATGAGCCCATAGTACGAACTAGAATTGGGATTTGACGATGAATAGCCTACACAAATTAAACAGTGAGAATTAGCATCAGAAAAGAAAAAAAAAACTGAAATTAAACAACTAACTTACAAAAATGCAACAACAGGTCCCACTCTTACCTGCTTAACAGGATCTGATGCATCTTTGTAAATGCTGAACACATGGACAAAAAGGGCGTGCTTCTGAAAATCAAATAATATGCAATCTAAAACTGAGCAAAATTTAGCTGCAAAAGGCTAGATTTGTCATTTAGTAAGAAACGATACAAAAATCACAAGACCTTTGTACAGAGAGCAAAATAGAGCGACAAGCAGCGTTGGGCTTCAGCAACTGAAGTTGATGATCTTGCTTCGGAGGACGTATCCATGCCCACACCACTCACCGACTGAGATTTCTTTGGTGGATTTTCCATATCAAGATCCTTCTAAAAGAGAAATGAAAAAGTTCTAGTCAGATATTTTTATACAGTTCTCAGCATACAACTCCAAAAGTACATTGCTTTCCTGTAAGCGTGAGCACCTTTTTACAATCATCAATCAATGTTTCACCATCTCCTCGCTCTGAAGAAATGCAACCCACAACGGAAAATAGCTTGTCTTTCGCAAATTCCTCAATCTGTTGTGTAATAAAGGATAAAGAATAGAGCTTGTTTGCCACCTGTAAAATGAAAACCACAATATTAAAGAGGTAACACATCAACAGCTGAATACACTATATCTCAGATTTTCTAGAAACATACCAGGCGGATTGCTTTCATGCGAATCTCTTCCAAGTGATGAACAGCACTCTTTCATTCAAAAAAAGAGAGGAAATAGGAAGAATTTTAATAGGAGGCATAAAGAAGAAGAAGAATTATACATTTGGCAATATGACACCGTCGAATGCTGATAGGAAACATCTGAAAAAAGAAGTCAGAACAAAGAAGGAGAAAAAGTCTACACAAATGCCTGAATACAAAAATGCACTGAAATCTGAATGATGAAAATGTTGGCTGTCCCATTGAAAAAGGAATCAGCAAAGAAGTGAGATAGAAGAAACCTGCAAAGCAATCTCCAGGCAGTCATTCCGGATTCCAGGTCTCGTTAAAATCAGACTCCAAACAGCACTGAGACCTTGAGTAACACGGTCTCCATTTTGTAAATCCTTTTCAACCTTGTCACAACTTCCAGGACAGCAAAACGATTCCAGCAACTTCAGAACTGATTTCGGCAGAAATGGAGAATCTCCAAGCAATTTACTTAAAGATTTGTCAGACGGTGGAAAGGAATCTCTAAGTGCTTCAGCCTAGAAGGTAAAAACATTTCTGAGAAATTTCCTAGTGAGAAGTTGACTAAGATGCAACTAAAACTGAATAATTACCACAGTCAGCAAGAAAGTTTCATATGCAGACGCAGCAGTAGTTGACGAGAAGAAATCTTGTTCTGCTTCTGCCTCCCCGTATAGCCTGTAAAGAACCCGCACAGTCAACTCATGTCCCTGAAAACATAAGTGACGATAATCACATAAATGGCTTAGGGATGTCCTCCAACATTTTCAAGATTTAAATTAGAAACTCTCCCCGGATACAATTTGGGCTTTTTGATGCCACCAAAACACAATAAGCATGTAGGATTCACCAATACAACTGTTCAACGTTAAAGTCACGAAAATAAATTCTCACCTCATGGCTCAAATAATCCGAGAGAATGTGCTCCTGTAATATTTTCCAAGGGTCTAACTCTGAAGGAAACTGCAAAAATGGCAAATGTGACGATCAATTACCGTGAGACAGAATGCCATCATACTTCAAACGATCATCTTGCCGACAAATTGGTAGCGATCAGGACGCAATTAACAGGAAAGCATGAATAGTCATAGAAAACGAACAACAATCAGTACGTACTAGAAATATTCACTTTCTACCACAGACCAGACTCTTAGAAAACGAACAACAAGAATCATGCAGAGGTCGATAGGTTCAAATTTTTAAAAGTACACAAGGAAAATGTCCTGCAGAATAATAAATCATAAGCTGAACTAGGAGAGAGCTAGAAGAGACCAGTGTCTTCGGAACGCATACAGGAGCAAAAGACATGTCAAAAGATAGTTTAGAAAATGACCTCAATTCCCAATTGAGCAAGAAGAGAAAAGCGAAGTTGTGAACCACCAGACATTGATATTTGCTTATATGCTTCAACAATTCGCAAAAACACCAGCTTCTGCAGATTGTCTTTTTCTTCATCAGAAAGGTCGACAACAGGTGCTGATATCTTAGGCAAGACAAACTGAGGCGCAGAAACAAGTGATGTTGCCGTTGAGGAAACCAAGCTGTTACAACCTGTGCCAGTCGTCTTTGGACTAAATTCCTCAGACTTATCTACAGACACTGAGGGAATCACAGCGAGAAGAGGTTCTCCACTGAAACTGGCATCTTGATTCATGCTTGCAGCCTCCACATTTGTTGAACCCAATACAGAAGTAACAGAGGCTTCTAATAACACATCATTTTGAGCTGAAGAATCCATTCCAGGTATACCACCTTCTATATTCCCTCTGTAATGCACATTTGGTGGAAATACAATATTGCCCTCTTCATTTACTGGAAACGTATCAGAAGAAGCTGGTAAGCCACTTGCAAGAACCGCATCTTCAGCTGAAAACATCTGCTGGTCCACATGATCAGCACAGAGTTCTTCACCTGCCTGTCATTGATGAGATTTTAATGTACAATACAATCTTAATAACTAGAAAGCAAAACAAGGAACAGAATTGACGCAATCAAATATAAAGGATATACTTCATCGAGTAAAGAGCATCCATACATTTTCCTTTTTTGGTATGTTACGATTTATCAGGGCAGAAATCGGTGGGAATGCAGTTGATAGTGAAAGAACACCAGCCAAAAATGATGGTGGATATTTAATTTGTGCATCACTGCCAACTATACACATGTTCATCACCAAGTCATCGGTGCCATCAGCATAAGAAGTGTCATCTGGGGGGATATTTTGCATATTAGCCATCACAACATCGGCCAGCAAATCCGCAGAAATACTTGAAATAAGAATCTCTAAAGATCCTATTGCTTTTTCACCCTGAGCAACCAAGGCTCCGAACATAGCAACCAGTTGCTGAACAGGTCCAGTATCACTCACTACTCTGCTCTTATTTGGTCCAGCTGAAGTAGAAGCAACCAGAGGTAGAGAGCCAACATCATTACCATTTAATCCTTCTGTAGATTCTCCTGACACAGAAGGTATTATTCTTGCACGTTTTCCACTCAAAGCATCTCCATTCCCATCAATATTGTATTCTGATCCAGATCTTTTCCTACCAAATGTACTTTCCGCGACTAAAGAACTCACACAGAGAGGATTCTCTTCCAATGGTACCTGAAACTAGTATTTTTGGATTTAAAAGTCTGCATCCAGCATAAGCCAAAAATAACAGAGAGACACATGCACACAAAACGATAAACATCTAGATTCAGTTATAGATGGAAAGAGGAACAATCTACCTTGGTATCCTCTACACTGTCTTTGTCCTGAATGCTTCCGTTAGTCTTGTAAAACAGATCTTCAGCTTTGTCTGTCCGACCGCCACCTTCTATCTCCTTCAGAGCACCGATCAACCGGTCCTTCCACTGGAAAAAAATCGATTAGTAATAATAGGGTAGCAATTAAGCCAGGTCATTAAAACACCGATAATACAACACTTCCGAGCGCATAAACTAACAATCTAGTGCAAAGTTTTCGGAAGATCAAATACTCATTGCGACTATGGTCGTTTAGTTGCAGTGACAATGTATACCAGCTCAAAATAAAGCAAAATAATCAATAGTAGAGTAAAAAATAAGAGTGAACTAAATCCTTGGACGTGAGTACAACAAAAAAATACCGGTGCAGCAGCGGGGTGTGTACATTTCAAGCACGAAAGAAATACAGTCTTCAGCGCAAGATTTGCAGCTGCAGCATGCACTCCATTGAGAAAGCTTAGGGGATCCAAGCTTAGTAGAACAGGCAGAATTCGTCCACAATATGCAGGACGTTTCTTTGCAACTGCTGAAAGACTGTTAAGAAACAGAATAAAATGAAGAGGAACTCATGATCCATAAGACGAGTTCATGATATCCCGATCTCAGTATAGATGCACTTAGCAAACAACTTACCTATTGATGAGAACAATAATCGTCGAGCTATTTAGAGATTTTGCTGCAGGGTGCCTAAGCTGATCAAGCAGTAAACCCAACTTCTGGCTGGCCTCAATCGACAAGTCTCCGATATTCAAAACAGGATGCCCCCCACGTAGCATAGATATATTAAAATCTGCTTGAATTCCTTCAGGACAGGTAACTAAATTTAATAACAAACTAGTTCCTATTACAGTATAAATAGAAACAACAAACTTCTAAATTCCCGTAACTGAGCGGATAGATCCATAAAAACATACCTTCATGAGAAGGAGGCTCCAAAGACCCACTAGGGTCAGGTGTATACAAAAGAATAAGCGCTTCCACAAATTTCATAGCGCATAATTTTACACCACTGTTTCCTTGCTAATATACAAGTCCCAAGAATTGAACAATCAGATAAGATAAACAACCCATCGGGAATATAAAGAAAGCATTAATTCCAACCTTGAAAGCCAGTGAGCAGATTTCATCCTTAAACTTAATCATCCATGTCCACGAAGATTCAAGAAGCTCATCCAACTCACTAGAATGCAAACCCTGGAACAAAAAAAAAAGACAGCCAAATAGCAATAAGCATGCCAAATAAGAAGGGAGTTACATACCAAATAAGCATACCAAATAAGAAGGTCAGCAGCATTTAAAAATAAAAAATAAACAACCTGAACCGCGACTCTTTCAAGGGTGGAACGGAATAAATCAGTTCCACAAACGATGACCTGCCTCGCCACAGCTGGTGTCTCATCTTTGTGGGACTTAATTAAAAGGGGCACTATTTCAGGTAATAATTCCACATATTTCAAGCCAATTTCACCAAGTACCCTGCATTTGAATTAGCATCAGAGGTTCAGCGAGCTATGTAAATTCCCTAGGTCGAGAGAAGAACACGTCCTTCATTATACTAGCCGCTATAGAATCCTTCTGCAATCGAATGAGAGCAAAACAAACACTAAACCACAACTAATAATCACACTACCTGAAGAGAGATAGTGTTCAGGATTAACAACAATTAGATATACCAAGCCAAGAAACTGAGGCTGCCCATATATTTGACGAATTCATTTGTATTAATATAAAAAAAAAAAAAAGACAAGATTCGCAAAGACAAATGATCAACAATTTCACCGTCTGGGACTAAAAAAAATAATCTCAAAATTCATTAATGTCTGTGTAATTACAAATAAATTCAGAAGATCGTAGAAACACCAGCACTGAAAAAACTAACCGCAAAAAGGGTTACAGATTACAAAAACGGAGCTTACTCAGCGACAAACTTGCGGACAGCACCGAATTGATCTGAGAGAAGATCGAAAAGGAGAGGAAGAAGCTCGGTGGGGAAAACGGAGGCTTCTTTTTGCAAATCCCGGCGCAAATTGCGCAAGCAGTGCAGCTTCGGAGCCAATTCCGTGGCTGATTTGGCGGAACTCGCGAGACCTTCCAGCGTTTCTCTTGAATACGAAACCATGATTCCCACCATTACCGGTTCAAGCAATAATATTACTGCCCAGAGCTCCGATGGTGACGTGAAGAATCGATACGCATATCTCTGGCTCGTAGGGTTTATAGAGAAGGACGAAGAGATTCGTTTTATTTCTGATATGAAACAATTGAGCTGATTCCCATTTTTTGACGTCTTCCCAAAACAGACTGATATGTTAAAAAACTAACACGACGTCGTTTGGAGGAAGAGGGAAATTGTGATATGGTCCCTCATAATTTAGATGAAGTCAGATAAGACTTCCAATAAATTAATGAAGTGATTAAAAATCCATTTGGGAAATAAGAATGGGCCAGAATGAGCCATCAAAGTGACGAAGTTGTATCCCTGTTTCATCGCAAAAAGTCTACAAAGTTCAAAGGTTAAATAAAGCACATAGATTGTAATGCCAGAATTTAGAACTCTTAGATGTTCTTTTGTGTCTTGTAGTAGTTTTTATATTCCTCCTAGTTCTAAGATCAGTATGGATTGTCTACCTTAAAAGGCAAGAACACGTACGAGGATACTGCTTTTCTTATGTTAGTATGAGAAGAGTTTAATATGGTTCAATTAGGAGAAACTGGATCCGGTTTATTCAGTTGCAGTTTGGTTTCACCTGTGCCTTGATAAGAAATTAATAACAAATATATCTCGAGGCTGAAGGGATGTTCAAGAACTCAGTCTTATATAAACACAAGGCACAGTGCTGTATTAGATTTTCAAGAACTCAATCTTGAAGTAATCTTCCAGAGAAAGTTCGATTATTGTATGTTCACATCGAGCATGAGATGTGAAATCCCATAAGCTAGAAGAGTCCCATGGACTCTCACTTCCTTTTAATACCACATTAACAAAGCATTTCTCAAAAACCGATTGCAAATGCAAACATAAGAAACCATAAGCATGATGCACAAATCACGGAAACGATGATTCTCTATTCTTACTCTCTAGAAAAACGAAGAAAACCCAAATTAAAAAAACAGTTGCATTACTCGCAACTCCTGGACGACTACATTTTGTCCATCTATCTTGCCATGGCATATTATATTCCTCTGCTAGGCTCATTATAGCTAGCTATACCTGAAACCACACATTATAAGAACTAGAGGCTCTGTGAATCTAATCCAGGACACTTGTTCGAATCCAAATTCAATACCGAAACAGTTGCAGAGCTCCCTTTGTAATCAACCCAATACTAATTAAGATGCAGTCCGAATCTAATCTTGAACTGAAGAGCAGGTTCACACAAGCTCAAAAATCAATGGATCGAAGAATATTTCATTATCAAAATCAAGAGAGTACATTATAATATAACTGACAACTTGTTCTTGCGAAATAGAAGAAATCGATTACAACAAGCAAACACTATCAAAGATATAAGGAAACACACAAAGGATACAAACACTATCATCTTCTTCTTCTTTTTTTTATAAGAGATTACCGCAAATGGTCTGATAAATCTGAAACCATTTCCTATGAAATTTTACCCTTTTTCTTTTGTTCACTCGGAGCGATTAGCGAACCTCTCAACCTTCTCGTCGTTGAGATTGATCCCAACCATGGCTTCTCCAAGCCCACAGCTCACCTCCACAAGCATCTCTGGGTCACTGTAATGAGTCACAGCCTGAACAATGGCACGCGCGCGACGAGCTGGATCGCCGCTCTTGAAGATACCGGAACCGACGAAGACACCGTCGCATCCAAGCTGCATCATGAGAGCTGCATCGGCCGGAGTAGCAACTCCACCGGCGGCGAATTGGACGACGGGAAGACGGCCAAGCTGTTTGGTCTGCATCACGAGATCGTAGGGAGCGGCTAGTTTCTTAGCGAAAGTGAAGACCTCATCGTCGTCCATGTTTCGCAAAACCCTAATGTCACCCATAACCGACCTCACATGCCTCACGGCCTCCACAATGTTCCCAGTTCCGGCTTCACCTTTGGTCCTAATCATCGCCGCACCCTCACGGATCCTCCTCAGAGCTTCGCCGAGGTTCCGGCAACCGCAAACAAAAGGGATCCGGAAATTATGCTTGTTGATGTGGTGATCCTCATCGGCCAGAGTCAAAACCTCGCTCTCGTCTATGTAATCGATTCCAATTGCTTCGAGGATCTGCGCCTCCACGAAATGACCAATCCTAGCCTTGGCCATCACCGGAATCGTAACGGCCTGCTTGATCTCCTTTATCATCTGAGGATCACTCATCCGAGCAACCCCACCTTGAGCGCGGATATCCGCCGGAACACGCTCCAAAGCCATGACGGCGCAAGCACCAGCTTCCTCGGCGATGCGAGCCTGCTCGGCGTTGACGACATCCATGATAACTCCACCACGGAGCATCTGAGCCAAACCAACCTTAACGGAGAACGGAGATTTCTTCGCCTCCGTTATCGCACCGTTACCGTACACCGCCACGACGCCGGTTCCTTCCATTGTCAACGGAATCGAGACTGAAGAAATTTTTTTTTTTTTTTTGTGTGTGGAGAAAATGGAAGAAGATTGATGAAGCGATTTCTGGCCGGTCCTCGCCTATCTAGGATTAGGCTTTATAGTGAGAGTTTGTGGCGGTGTAATAAAAGAAGAAAAAAAAATAGAAGATGTTTTTCTATTTTTTAATTAAATTATTTATTGCATCTTTCATTGGGAAAAGTGGGATTGGTTATGATCGGGCGGTCTATATTAAAAACACGCGATTTCGATTTTCGGGTTAACACACATGTTTAGTGGACTGCATTTCATACTTTGGCAGGCTAAATTAGATATTTGAGAAAGAATTATTAATCCGAGTAGTCCGAAATTTGGTATTGCTAATCAGCGAATGTGCATACGCTGTAAGAATTGCAGGTCATTTCGACCCAAAAAAAAAACAATTGCAGTTCTAGCCACTACTACCAACGTTAACCTTTGTGTAGCATATGTATTTCAACTGAAAAAATCTACTTGAATTAAGTGATAGTAGGTTGATAATTTTGTCACCTCGTTTGAGAAAAGCATCTTTTTGAAATTGTTAGCATCTATAACAGACGAATTAAAATATTTTTAAATAGAAACCAAATAATTTTCAATAATATACACAAACTATGAAGATATTAACGATTTACCATGGATGAGTCTGCATTAAATCACTAATGTTTGAACTTTGAGTCCTTTAATTAGTCTAGTCATGTTAATCATTTGGTCAAACAATCCAAAATGTTTCTACAACTTAACTTTTTGTTAATTTAAATACATATTTATTTATGGGAAAAATCTTCTGACACCAAGAAATGTAACTGGACCTCGTAGAATCCACGACTGTCGCTCTAGTCCGCCCCATTCATTGTTTGCATAAAAGACAAAGAAAAATAAAGTTGGCAGAAATTGAATTGCACGCTTTTAAAATTGATGGAAAACATATTTTTCTTCTTTAATTTTACACTTCTTTAGTGACCAGTTGATAGGCAATCGTTTCGGAATGGGATTGAGACACATTTGGGAGTACGATAACTATTCATTTTTTTTAAAAAAACATTAGTTTTTAATTGCAGTATTTCAAAATAAATTGGTTGAAAAAAAAAGAAAAACAGTCCTAAATAAAAATCTCAAGAATAGCAGCTTAGGATAATAAAAGAAATAAATAGGCGGCTGTGGATTGAAAAGGAAGGCCCGCCTCTCGTTTGCCAATCAATAGATTTTTCCACTCACTCGACCCGACGGCCCAACACTTCCAACTTGGTCTTTTTTTACTACTTGACTGCAATAATGACAATTACATAAAGTCCACAAAAAATATAGTACTTGACTACTTTATGAATTTATCACTCTTTCATACAATTAAATTCGTTCCTCTAATTTGATACGGTTTAGGGGTGATAAATTCATATTACAAATCAACGAACAATGAATAAATCTAATCAAATTGTGTGTATATACACAGAAAAAACGGTCTTACGAGCAGTCAATGCACACAATTAACCCATTCTCGTTACATAACAAACACTGAATCCTTGATCCATCGCCAGAGACAATCCGGCGACTACCTCTGCATCCTTCACACATCAAGAACCTAAAACCATCGCATCGCCGGCAAATTTTATCTTCGGCGATTGGAACGCCGTCAAACAAAGCCCTAAGCCTTCCTTGCTCGTGCAGACCCAATACCCTCTGGGCTCCGCCTATGCACCTTCCCTTTACGAACAGAACCGGAGGCAAAACCTCTGTCTCCTCCTCCTCCGCTGAAATTCTCCGAAGCTCCTCCCTGTACTGTCTGTGCATTGACACATCCCTCTCGTAGTACTTAACCTTGAAGCTATCCAGCAGAAACCGGATCATGTTGCAGTCGTCGAATGTTTTTCTTATTCCTCGGAGAGTCGTTGTGTAGAAAACAACCGACTCCTCTCCTCCCGGAGGACACCGTTGCTCAAATTCCAATAACGGGTCGAGATGGGTATTTTCGTCTTTTCCACTGTCGTCTTCTGCTATCTGAAGGGGTATATCGTCATTTTCGTCTTTCCGTCTATCTTCTTCGGCTTCTAATAACGGAAGAGAGGTATCGTCGTCTTTTTCCATGTTCGTTTCCTCGACGGGAAAGACGATAACGTCTTCTTCATCATCGACTCTAGCTTCTCTGGAGAAATCGTTTATCCTCCTGAAGCACGCCACAGCTAATTCGAACGCTTCGATCAGCTTCGGATCGAAAAGCGTGCTCGAATTCAATTCAGGCCTTCTAAATCCAGATCCGATGATATTTCTTCCGATACCTATATCAGATCCACAAGACACTGCCGATTTACTATCTTTCCGGTCACAAGAAGCTCTCGGAATTTGATTTACCGGCGGCGGGGCATTCTCCTTGTCGCCAGAAGCTTCGTCTCCTTCTTTCTCGTTTTCCACAAGTTCCGCTACATCTGCAATTTGATCCTCAGGCCTTTGAGTGGATCTCCAGATAGAACCTGCTGTTATCTGGGGAATAGGATTAGATATCTTGGGAAGGTACTCAGAGATCCCATCTGCAGCTGAAAGCACCTGGAGAATCCTATCCTGATTGAGATATTCGCCGGCTCTAATCGATTTCAACTTCTTTGCAAACTTCATTCTCGATGACTTCATCTCCACTGTTCTGCTTCACCGGAAATCTGTAGCAATCAGATCGAAGCTCGTTGGGGATAAGAAGGCGATAGTAGGTTAAAAAGAAAAAAGGCGATGATGAGAAGAGCAGAGTGATGATATGATTCAATTTCAACCCCAACGGCTAGAAAAGACGGTGGCTTCTTTTTTTTCGGGGCAAAACAAAGGAGGGAGAGAGATCTAGTACGCTTTGGTGCACTGAGATTTTTGTATATTAACCACTCATTAATTTAACACTTTAAGCAATACACGTTTCACGCCAGAGGATAAAACGCAACGGTCCCAAAAACTCGCGAGTTGCAAACTTCCAAGAAATTAAAGCCTCTAATATCGGTGTGCTAGGCAATTTTGAACATATATGCAAAAAAAAACGGCGATGTATAATCAGATGGGGAACATTTCGTAAAAAAGAAAAGAGTTTAAACCAAAAAATTTACAAACCCATCAAGAGGTTTACGTCACTGAGTTTGTCTTTAAGTAGACAGACACACACTGCTTCAAGTCGGTAAGTTTTGCTCCATGCTAATTTCTTTCTCCTATTGGTTTAGTTTTCTACAGGAGTTGTCGGCAAGCATACCAACTTCTTCTTCCAAAGACTTTAATCGCTTGTTCCGCTGCATCTAGCTCAGTAAATTCTCTCTAGAGTTGGGCGAGGGGACTACCGGACTAGACGGGCACACGCTTGCCCCGGTACTTGTCAAAGAACTGCGCATAACATAAACAAAAACGAGCCAATCAATCGCATTATGCAACAGAGTATAAGTGAATTTTGATGGAAACTAAGAAAACACCTGGTAACCCAATATCATCAGAACCAAATAGAGAGCTATCCATTGTAATTTGGAAACGTAAAACTGGGAATTATAGAAGTTATATATGTGGATCTCTCCCACCCAGCTTGAGCAGCTTATTTGGACTCAATCGTAATCGACAATGTGTGGTGTTCGAAGTATACGGGTCTCATGTGAAGTTGTTTCCCATGAAGTCTGTCTTTCATGTTCTGATTTTTTAGAAATCTAAATAAGTTTTCTTTTCCAGTGAATTTTTAATGGGACACATACCGATCTTATATATGGTTGCTGAATGATCCAACCGAGGACGGGTATCTTTTGAGCAAAAACTGCCAAGGTTGGCCAGAAGCCACTGAAAAAGAAAACGTTGTTAGTAATTGTCCACATGCAAAACCAGTAAGGGAGAAGAGAAAGCAAACGAACCTGAAGAGTACAAAGAAGCCATAGGTCTCCAGCATCATCCCCAGGATAGGCCATCCAATGACTACAAAGAAGAAGCCGGCCCCGAAAGAAATGGTTCCCTGAGTGGATAGCATATAAAGAAATATGTAAACACCCCGTCCCACTGAGCCAGGGATACTGACGAGGAAGAGAAAATTGGAAACCAAACAAACCTTATAGTTTTGACGCTTCATGAAAAACTGCATGGTAGACTTGAGGCCAATGGTTAGACTAACCCCAGAGACGAAAAGGATCTAAGGAAGACCAGAAAAGAAACGAGGGCTCAGTAAAAGTTCCGAATACAAGCATGAATAGCAGACCCTTATGAGGTACTTACATTTCCCATGGCAAGTAACCCCTTATCAAACATTAAGATCATCCCCAAAAACGAGAAAAACACGCCAAATCCTGTCAGGCCTAACCCAATTTCTGTTTCAAAGCACATAACAAGCGATTAAGTTCAGCAGGAATAACTTTGTACCCTGATAGTAAAATAAACTGAAAATAAATGGGTTCCAACAATAACAAAATAACATTCAATGATCCACTCGCTTAAGAACGCGATGAGAAAAAGATGACCTTATTAACTAAGTAGAACTAAGTAACAGGTATCTCTTCAACCAGAACGAATTATTCACAGAAATCACACTGTAGACGTACTTTTTCGGTCATTCATTTCAAAGGACATCATGGTTCCTGGAATCAGCTGCTTCTACCTTTCACTGCGACAAGTGAAAATAAGTTGAAATTCAGGAATAAGACATTAGTGTTTACAAATGTGCACATGGCTTCGCATTGACTCAGATATACATACATAAGCCCCGCCCATATAGATCCAAAACTTTCGAATCAGTATTGGCGAAAATCAATATTTGGAAACATTCTGAGGTCGACTAGATATACCAGTTACGAGATCAAACATATAACTCTAACGTAGCCCAATAATATACTTGTTCAATCGAAAATAGACTGCATACCCAAACAATAGTCTGCACACCGAACGTCGAACGAGTAGAGAGATTCAACGATACTAGAACCGATCTAATCAGACGAATTGTAGATAGACAATGCATTAATTGAACAGATTCAAGTGAAACGAGGATCATGACAAAGGAAAATTAAGCGGAATCCAACCAAAACCGCTGTGATGCAGAGGAGGATGTGACGTAACTTACAGATCTATAAATCGACAAGGAAGAACGCGGTGTAAACCTAGCACGCAGGCTCCTCGAAGAAGATCTACAAGACGCCATAAACACATCAGGCGAAATTTAAGCCGGGATTAATAGATCAGCGAAAACAACGTTACCAGAAAGGCAGAAATTATGACGGAGCACAAAAAAGATAGGGAGCCCAGAGAAAGAGATAAATTAACCTGCTAGGAGAGACCTGGAGACAAATGGCTAGAGAGAGCGTAGAGAAGAAGAGAGGGCGAGGTCGCGATTTGTAACCAGAAAGCAGAAATCAGAACCCCCTGAGCCCAAACGGAAGGAATGATTTAGTGCTCTAGGGACCAACCTGAATTATGTGTCCTCTCCATTCATCAAGTGACACATGGCACTCTTTTGTCAACCGGTGTACGTAATAATCAGTATACTCTGCTAATGTCAATTTTTTATAATCTGACAAATAAAACATTAGTTTTCACAAAGAAGATTACAAAATTTATGCAATACAAACCCCCATCATTTTAAGGAAATTTTTATAAAAAATTACCCCACAAAAACAAGGTTTTGTTCGCCAATAACCACGGAATTATAAAAAACAAACTAATGTATTTTCTTTTTTCTTTTCCATAGTTAGAATCCCCGTTTACAATGGCAAGTATTGAAAAAAGCTGGACAACAAACTAGTGTTATAGCAAATTAAACCACGAAAATACGCTGCAATTTGCAAAGTGTAAATCAAAACTTAGACTGGAACGGAACGGGGAAAATAAGATTTCAGATGAGCCGGCGAGAGTCAATGAAATATGGTTACAAGTACAACCAAACCGAAACTCCAGAATCATTTCATATACAGGAGTAACATTCACCAGCTGCTGATTTTTTTAAAAGGGACTTTTTTTGGCTTTCTCCATCCCCCACATTTTCTGTCTTTACCTCTATACAAATTCGGTAATGCGAGAAATAAAAGCACAAAAATGTGCACTGTATGTTCTGGATTTCGACATGTTAGACGTTAAAGATCTTCTTCACCTTCCTGATCTTCCTTCGACATACGGGGCAAAATCCCGAAGTGTCAGCGATCCTGCGTATTGTAAATCCAGTTTTTGAGCATCATCAATGTTCAGTCTTGGTCAACCAGCTAAAAGAATGAAAGGATTAGTTATTACCGTGTCCCGCACTGGAAGCAAGCAACGCAGTGTCCACAAGAGAGGAAGAAACAGTCTCTAGGCGCATCAAAGCAAATCGCACAGAGATATCTTGAACTACTGTGGGCTTCACCGTGTGCACCTTCCAATTCCTCCGTACTTGTCACGATAGAACTGTAGGACGAGCACCAGCTCGAGTTATCATCATCTTTTCCCGGAATAAGAGGAGCTACATCATCATTTTCATCATTGGTTTCGTCTTCAGAAGCTGTTTGTCTTTTATTGAAGAGACAAGAGACGATTAACAATAGTGCTGTAACTACACCTGTAATAATTATCCAATGGGGGAAGCAAAAGTTTATGATAAATCCCAGCGAAAAGATCGGTTTCTAAAACTAATGTAATATAGATAAAACATTACCCATGCAAACAATGTATGCAATCCACCTTGGCTCGTAAGAGAGCTTTGCACAGAACTCATTCTTAGAATTGTTCTGCACAACAAGAAGGGGGTAGGATTCAGAATGGTTCATAAGATATCTTCTGAAATATGCATAAGAATGTGAAACATCTTGTATTGATCTACGAATCCTTTGTAAGGAAGAGTGAAATAGCAAGACAAGATATGGGTCGCATACCAGCTTTGGACCGGGCGATGTTAGTACAGCAGCATTGGTTCCAAATAATGGAACACTCAAAGTGCACTTGTCATTGGGAAATGTGCAATTGTAATAAGCATTTGTAGTATCATACAATACCGCCGCAACTTGAATGTCAATCGTAGCCTGAACAATGTAGATATGGTGTGAGAGCAATGTATAATCAGACAAAAAGAGAGCTATTTGGGATTAGAAATCGACCAATATATCGCAGTAAACTACTAATAAACGAGGCTCTTGTTTCATAGGAAAGCAATTCGTGTTGTTGTATAGGAGTGTAATTAATCTAGAAATCTAAGATCTAGCATATATCATCATAAGTTGCTTCTGCTATTACCTTCACTTCATTCAGGTATACGTTGCCTACTGCAATATAATAACTCGACGACTTAGTTATGTCCTGCTCGATGAAACCACTATCTGTCAAAAATAAAATAAGGTGAATTGTGAGTGAAGTCATGAAAATTCAGAAGAAAAGCTCTCATGTTAAAACCTCGGGTTACTAACCAGAGATTAGATGCCATGATAATGTCGTGTCTGGACGCGTAGGGTCTTGAACCCATTCAGAGAGCCCATCCACACCTACAATTACAAATCCCTAAATATCTCAATTACTCAACATCTATTCTATCTTAACAGGCAATAACATTCACGAGTACAAAAAGAATTCTCAACATCAAATCAGGGGAAGGAACAAACTACAGCAGTCAATGCTCGCAGGTAGGGTTGCAAAGATAATTACAGTGTAGGAGCCTTATTGAAATTAGACAAAACATTATTAGATAGCACATAAAAATCTTGCTAGTGGAAAATTCATCGATCCAATGGATTCAACCATAAGCCGTGATTTGAAACCAGTTTGACACATGAAATTCCTCCTACAATACATCAGTATACAACAACCATGGGAATCATTCCAGCAGTATTCGTCTCGGTGGATCCCAAAACACCACCAAACTCAAGAAAACGCCAATAAACCCTCGTGGTGAGAAATTAAGTAACCATCAAAAGGAATACATGAGCGTCTATCTAACTTACTGAACTAATTATCATTAGAAAAGGATTCTTCTCTAGCATACCTTGGGCTATCACAAGATAGAGGGAAGAACCCACAGATTCAATGTTGTATGAAACTTTAACTCGCGACCCTTTGTTCAAATATTGTATCCAATACTGAAAAGAAAAGAAAAAAGAAGCAAAAGACAAGGCATCACCACCCGTTTCATAGCCATTCCTAAATAACAGAGGTAAAGAGCATCGAGAGAAGTTACCTTGTAAGAGTCATTTGGCACAGCTAAATAGTGAACTTCAGACCAATTGGCCAGAACATCAAGCTGTGGGGCTTGGTTCAATCCGTACAGCATCATACCGGACCCCTTGTTCCCTAATTCTTCCACCTTGAGAAAATATTCGGCAAAGGTAGAAACAGGGATATATCAGAAAATGGTGGATCCTTATGTCAAAGTCTCAGAGAGGAGGGATTAGGGGACGTACAATCACATTTTGGACGAAAACTGAAGTTGGCTTGATAAGGAAGGAGGAGTTTGGTCCCAACCATACGTTCGTTGTTCCGTAAAGCCCCAGAATCAAAGTCATCGACACTGAAACAAGACAAGATCAACAATCAAAACAATTCACGTACAAGGAAACGCAGCATCAAAAGAGAAATCCATCGGAAAATCTAATCTCTCACCGAAGACACAGAAGGTAGCGACGACGACAACGCAAGACCAAGGATCTTCGGCATTTGAAGTATTCCTCGCGTTCTCCGATGCAACAATGCTCCCATGGCGGTAATCGTACTCCGAACGATTCCATGGCGGTCGATCACGATGGTCGAAACCGTTATCTTGGCCGTGTTCAAAACGAATATAACCGCCTTCTTCGCGGGTCACAGGCGGAGAAGAAGAAGACGACGGGAGAGAATCCGGCAGCGACATCTTGCGATCCGATTACAAGTATGAAGAAATCGGATTGAACAAGTTAAAACCCTAACCGCAGGTTTGGGGTTAATAAGATTGAGGACCGATCGATGACAGAGATTTGAACGACGGGTCGGCTTCTTCTCTTTCTTCATCGTCACGTTGAATGGTGGATTGACAAAATTGAAGAGAGAGGACTTGGAAAAGGTAAAACAATACTTTCTCTCTCTCCCTCCTTTTTAGTTAAAAAAATCTTTTTATTGGTTTAGATTAAATTGTACATTTGGATAAGATTAAACGACGACGTTCACTAATTAAATCGAAATTATGGTCGAATCGAATCTCTTTTGGCTCGGAGTCTTCGGACAGACTGGTCTCGTCCTTAAAGTTACTGTAAGAGCCATGTCCATCTGTCATCAGCGACGGTATTTCTCGTAAATATCACATATAAAGAGGGCTTATGCGTAATTACATTATGAACACAAAACTCGAGTCTTGGTTTCCCTTTCCAGTCTGGTTTTCTCGAGAGGCAAAAGGAAGAAACCAGATCTACCTAGAAAAAAAAATTAACCCCCAAATTCAATTTCAAATTCGAAGCCCCAAGAAACCCTAAACTTTTCAATCTAGTTGCTGCTTCTTTCAATCGAGCCGGGGGTTTGGGACCTCGTACATTGCAGGCGATGGGCGATTTCAATCTCGCTCTTGTGATTGTGGCGATCGTTGTCTGCGTCATTGTCTTCATCTCCAGCATCTACCTCCTCGTCAACTATCAGCATCCAGATGATGCGAACCAGGCCTACTTCCCCAAATTCGTCGTTGTTTTTGGGTTATCCATTGCCATGATCTCCATTCTCATGCTGCCGGCAGATGTGGCGAACCGGCATGCTTGTCGACATTCGATTTACAACGGCGCCTGCAATCTCACCTTACCCATGAAGAATCTCTGGCTTGCCGTTTACATTGTTGACGCGGTGCTTGTCTTCTTCATTATCCCCTTCGCTATGTTTTTCTATGAAGGCGACCAGGACAAGTTTGTTTCTCCACGGATCTTAACTCGTGAGCTACATTAATAGTTGAAAATTTGCCAAAATTTCTGATTGTGGGCTCGCCTTTTCACTGCAGGAGTCTTGGAAAGAGGATAAAAAGTGCTTTGATTTGGGTGGTTACTACAGCTGTTGTTTGTGCTCTCGTGCTTGGAATTTTATACGGTTAGTTGTTCACTGTTCTTTAAGTTTCTGAGATTATGTTGTTTTAGCTGGAGTGGTGATTGACTAATAGTGGGATCGTTTAATCTTTTCTATGATGCTTTAAAGTTTGCTTTTTGGGTTTATGTTCCTTGAGTTTCTGTTTCTAATGTTCTTCTACAATGTCTTAGGAGTCATCGGGAAGGTCGACTTCTCTGTCAGGCACTTGTCCTCCGCCACAACGTCTTTCCCTACTTCATGGCAGTTTTCAAATAATCAACCTTGCATCGGTAACACTGCTCGTCAGGTAATACTTGTCTCTTGATTGCCTTCTTGGTATAACTTACGTCTATGGAAAGGCATATTTCAGTATGTAACATGTTTTCTACTCTGTTGGAATTTGGATTGATTGGCAGTGCTCAGCATATACAGCTAATGCCGCTTCTGAGAAGACATGGACCATGCGAACAACGTTTCCAGAATATGTTGTTGCTCTTGCTACAATCGTTGGATCAGTGCTCTTCACGGTATGAACATCGTTCTAAAAGGTGTTTTGTGTTGAAAATTACTCCTTGTTGGCGTGGAAGGCATATAATCGTTCTTATATCATGACTTCGTTGTCTTCTTTTATAGTTGACCGACTTTTGGTGGCTGTCATTTTTAAGGTTTCCTATAAATATTCTGAGGAACTCTTTTGTACCATATGTTTTAGATATTTGGTGGTGTTGGTATTGCTTGTCTACCCTTGGGACTTATCACTGCATTCATCAGGCGACCAAAGGCTGTTATCACTCGGTCTCAGTATATAAAGGTCCATTCTGTTGGTTATTGTTGTCTCCACGAGAAAAGCTTATCCTTTCTTATTTCGGGTCATTTTCACTCTCAGTGGCCTTACAATTCATCTAAATTTTTTCCAGGAAGCAACTGAACTAGGTAAAAAAGCAAGAGAACTAAAGAAAGCAGCTGATGCACTTCATCAGGAAGAAAGAAGTGGTGCTAAGGGCAGGAAGTGGAGGAAGAATGTGAAAGCAGTCGAAAAGGTACAACATCATATCTGAAGGTTTGGGATCTTAATACGAATTTTTTCCATGTCTACCAAACTTGGCTGATGTGAAAAACTTGGCTGGGTGATCAATCCTAGTGAAAAGCTAGCTAAAAAGTAGAAAACAGTTTCGCCATAAAGTCATTAATATTGCCTGTGGATTGTGGATTTCGTTGCTTTACATGTGCCATGCAGGAGTTGCTCCAATTGGAAGAAGATGTGAACCTTTTAGAAGAAATGTATCCTCAAGGAGAAAAGGTAGGTTACAGTATTTCAGTACTCTATCTTTCTATCTATGTTATCCAACTATTCCCTTGCCTGGTTATTTCAGGCAGAAACTGCTTGGGCTTTCACCGTCCTTGGATACTTGGCCAAGTTTATTCTTGGAATCATAGGGTTGGTGTTTACATAATCTTCTTATTATTTTACACAGTCACTCTAAAATCCCTCGGTTAAGCTGTAATTGAATTATTTGTCTTTTTCTCTTTGAAGATTGATCGTTTCAGTGGCTTGGATTGCACACATCATCATATATCTACTTGTTGACCCTCCCCTCTCCCCTTTTCTCAATGAGGTTTTCATCAAACTGGATGATGTCTGGGGTAACTTCACTTTCTTTTTTAAAAAAGAATCTTGTTATATATATTTGACTTACCTGAATCATAGACTTTGATATATTTGACATTTTCTTCTTCTCTAGGTCTTCTGGGCACCGCTGCCTTTGCTTTCTTCTGTTTCTACCTGCTACTTGCTGTTATTGCCGGGGCAATGATGCTTGGTCTGAAGCTGGTCTTCATTACCATTCATCCAATGAAGTAAATTTATCTTATAGTTTTGTGAAACGATTTTTTGCTATGTCAGAGGTCTTTTTTTTTTTTTTTTCTTTTGGTTTCTCATTAGCCATATTTACTCGTTTTCAGATGGGGAGCCACTCTAATGAACTCTTTCCTCTTCAACGTCGGTCTCATCCTTCTATGTTCTATCAGGTAGGCTTCTTTGTTCTCGTAATTCCTCGTTAGCTGATGGCATCAAAACTCAAGAGTAAAACGTAACTTGAATTCTTACAATCCATTTATTGTGGCTCACATAAAAATCCAGTGTGATTCAATTCTGCGCTACTGCATTTGGATATTATGCTCAAGCCACTGCGGCTCAGGAGATCTTTGGACACACTTTGCAGTCTCTTCGCGGAATTAAGTACCTATACAAGTAAGTAATGATGGGCTTTTTTTTTGCAAATATACTGGTAGTTAATATGCTGACTATATCCGTCTTCTTGTTGAATATATATTTGCAGGTACAATGTTTTCCAAATCGGTTTTGTTGTGCTCGCAGGGCTGACCTTTTTATATTACATCGCCTTTGTAAGTCTTGTATGAGGGTTGTTTATTCCCAAATTAAATGTCATAAGTCATTAGAGAAACTCATGGTCTTGTGTGGGTGACTTTTGGCAGGGATGGAGAAGAAAAAAACCGAGCGGTAGATTCCAGCTCTCTACCTAACGTAATTAATCTTTTTTTTCTTCATCATTTCTCTTCCCTTTCTTCTTTTTGTATCTACGAGAAGGTCTCAGTTGTTGTTGTACCCTACACTCTTTTTATTCTTCTTTCTTGTGTAACAGTAGGCTTTCTTCTTTGTATTTGGAATACCCGTTCATATGACCATTACTTGGTTGAGAACTTGAGATTGTGTGGGGACAAAATTCATGTAACTATTACTTATGTCTATTGTATCATTTCGAATACCTCGTCCATGTAACCATTACGTTTTGACGTTGGGATGGGATGGTTTATCTTGGAAAAAATAGAGGACATGGTTTCAGCCAAATTACTTTGGTGGTGATCGGAGGCGCAACAAGATGAAACTGCTTGGTGAAGCTATAGGAGATGATCGGGCTTCTGCTTGAACACTTTGATCTGTAGTGGCCTGCTAGAATGTTTAATCGATTTTCACCTCGTAAAATTTCCCTACTTGGTCAACTTCAGGCTGAAGTCTTCAGCTGTCGTCATAATAAATTAGAAAAACAAAAAAAACAAAATTTCGTAGTCTTAAGAGCAAAAGAGTGAGTCGAGACGGTCTGTCTACGTCTGCCATGGATATAGCTCTCTTCTCGCCATCTTCCCTCTTCGCCGGCGACGATGACTCCTCCGGTCAGTTATATCTCTACTCGTCTTTTTGATCGAAGAATGTACATACATAGCGAAACGTAATTGTAATTTTTTTTCTCAGATGGAGAGACGACGGAGACGAGCCAGAGCTTCGTTGAGAGGAATCACCAGTTTCCTGGAATCGTAATTTCTTCGCTCCCGATATCAGTCTCTTACTTGATTCGATTCCCGATTTTAGTTTGATGTTCTCCGTTACCTGAGCTTCTGATTTGCAGGGCTAATATTTACATCATTAGGTTACTTTTGGGGGGTTTAACTGTGGAATCCACGAATTCGTTGTTCTTGAAGAATGATTTAGTTACTGAGCTTTAAAGTTTTAGGTGTTTAGAGTATTACACACACAAGTAAAAGTAATGAGTGATTATTCCTTGTTGGAACAGGAATTGCATATCCGGGAATTCGGTTTCCACCAGCTGAATGCAAACTTGCTGTGGCCAGGTACATTTGCCTTTGCAGATTGGTTATTGCAGCATCGACACTTTATCCAAAGGCGGCGTTGTCTCGAGATTGGAAGGTACTTCCTTTCTTTCTCTTTGTGTCCTAGTTCCCAACTGCGCTTTTATATATATATATATATATATATATATGCCAAGGCCACTGTTCTTCGACACTGACCAGGTTCTCTCGTCTTGAAATCAAAATAAGCAGCGGCACGGGTGCTCTAGCTATCTTTCTTGCCAAAGAGTTTAGTCTCGACATAACTACTTCAGACTACGCTGATCAGGAGATTGAAGACAATATTGCTCACAACTGTATTGCAAACAAACTAATCCCTTCTCTGCCCCATATCAAGCGTGAGCTTCCTTTACCACTCACATCGAATCGCTTTCTTGTCCTTTGCTCTCTTTACTTTATTCTTGTCTATTATGACAGATACATGGGGAGATGAATTTCCAATACCGGAACCAGATTGGGATTTGATCATTGCCAGTGATATCCTTCTATGTAAATGAAATATTGAAATACCTTCTTCTTTCCCATTCGGTTTATCCCAAAACTATATATATTTACATTTCCATGCTTTTTTTCCCCTTGCAGATGTGAAACAGTACCCAAACTTGATAAAGTCTCTCACTTTTCTTCTCAAAGCCTACAAACCAAAAGATGCTAATGTCGTTTGTCCAACGGAATGCAGGCTAAATGGTCAGTGTCATTTTCAAAACTCCTTTTCTTTTTGTCATCACAACCTCACACCATAAGAGATCTTATCAATACCCTTTTACCTTGTAGGAGCAGACACGGAACTGCCTCGCCCTGCGTTCTTAATGAGCTGGAGACGAAGAATCGGGAAAGACGATGAGTCTTATTTCTTTACTGGTTGCGAAGATGCTGGCCTCGAGGTGAAGCATCTCGGAAACCGAGTTTATTGCATCAATCTTAGAGTAACCAACCTCTGAAAAACAAAGAAAAAGAATCCTCAAGAATAGGTTAATGAAAACTCATGAATCTTCCACAGATCGCTCGCCTCTGAAATTTAGTGTTCTGTATGTTACGCTTGCAGCTTATTTGGATTTTTGCTTTTTGGGTCAAAGTTAAGGTGAAATAAAAAAAAACAGACAATCTATAAAAAAAGATATGATTACTAAAAAGTAGAAATAGCTCAAAACATTCACAAAGCAGATTTGCGTAACGTAGTGTCGTAGAATCGTAGATGTATATAAACAAACAATTCCGTAGTTATGGTGTCAATTTTGTTTGCCATCGATTAAGAAATAGTATATTTTGGTTGTTTTGTATTGTTTCTTTCTTTTTAAGGCCCCGGGCCACCAAATGCATATAAAAGTCGAAAGCACTTGATTATTCTAAATTAAGGCTACGTACCTATTGACTTTTAGAAATTTCGAGCGAGCTTCGCAAGATGAAGTCTGGACATAAGCTAATATTTTGATTTTATATGGGACGACGATTCGTCAAATCTGTGTGGAATAAGACACGGATAATATTATTAAAAGAATTCGAATGATTTTACAAATAACTTTCCAATCAAGAAAAGGGAAAAAAAAAGAGAGAAATGAAGATAACGATTAATCTACTTTCTAAAAATACATCATTTAAATTTCCACAGTGAATCCCAAAAGATATTGGCCAAACTGAAATATTTTTTTGTTATCATAGTTAAATTAAAATCAATTGTTTGTGATTAAATAAATTTGAAAATAAGGAAAATAATCAAAAGAGAATATTCAATTAGCTTAGTTGATTGGACAAGAAATATTTAGTGGTGGTGAATGAGATTTTGTAGTGGGGGCGAATTAGTTTTAATCCTTTACTTTTTTTTTTTCAGCGAAAATATATATATATATATATATTAAATTGATGTCACAAAATCAGAATACAACGTTTTAGTGAGCCATCTTGGTGGATAAATACAATCTGAAAAAAAAATATTGTTTGGAGGACCATTACGAGCCGTATTTCCATTTCGTAAACTTTCGTTTGAAAATATGAGTAAAGAAAATGTGGAGCCGTATTTCCATTTCGTTTGACATGTGAAAAAGAAATATGAGTAAACTGTTGTTTCCAATCTTTTATATCATCAAAGAGATTAAGAATAGAAATATCTTCTTGTTGCCCTTCAACAATTTTGACCAAGCTCTCGTTATCTCCTTCGAAGATAATGGAATCAAACTTAGAAATCTTAGAAATTTATTGGTGGCAATTGTCCCCATCTGTATCTAATTTAGATACAAACTTGGTAGACACATAAACGTTGACCGAAAAAATAAAATAAAAAATGATTAAACAAAGACGTCAAAAAGAAATATATATATATATATATATGCAAAGAAAACGTTCACGAATCACACGCGACAGCTTTTATAGGATAAATACATATTCACGACTCAAAACACAGATTCAAAGGGAAAAACGGTTTTTAGTTTTTAGCGAAGAGTCAACGAAGGAAATGTCTACGATAAGTACGGAATCATCGCCGAGTCTCTCCCTCGTGGAAAATGGCGGCTGGAGCTGCGGTTGCGGCGGCGGAGGAAGCGAGAAGCTGCTGACGGCGAGAGAGACGGCGGAGATATCGAGACATAACCGGCGAACGGTACAGAATCTATCAGCGACGTCGTTGATAAGGAAAAGATCGGATCTAAAGCTGATCTCGAGAGTTCGTTGGGAGTTTCTGAGAAGAATCTTAGCGAATCTTCAGGAAGTCGTTCTCGGCACTAAACTCTTTCTTCTCTTCCCCGCCGTTCCTCTTGCTTTCGTCGCTCACCGCTATGGATCTCCACGTGTATGCTGTTTTATTTCTATTATTTTTTGTTTAATTTCACAGTATACTATACTCTCGGAATTTTTAACAAGTCAATGTAACTTTCCCAATTATGTATTGTTAATTTTTAGTTTAGTTACGTTAATTTAATTTATATATGTTTTTGTTGTGTGTAACAAAAAAACAGGCGTGGGTCTTTGCGTTGAGCTTGCTTGGATTGATACCTTTGGCTGAACGTATCAGTTTTCTCACAGAGTAATTATTATTACTAATCTCTCTCATTTTTTTCATAAAAAATATTACCGATAAATAAATTCTAATTCCAAAATTCATTTTTTAATGTTATTTTTCTATTCTTCCTTATCAGGCAAATTGCTTTTCATACCGGTCCAACAGGTGATACTTTTTTTTTTTTTTTTTCGTTTCCCGACTAATGTAGTGTATCATTTGAACAGAACCGAATTATCCAGCACGAAACTGACTTCCGTTTTAACTATAGAAATTGCACCAAACTAAGTGCATTTTTTTTGTTTGTAACTATACAGTAATTTTAGGCACATTAAAGTCTGATATTTAAGAGTGCATGCATTGATCTCGGATTATTAATTTCTCGGTTTTAATATTTGGGAATATGAAATTAATGGTGGAAATAATTGGATGAATGAATGAAGTCGGGGGATTAATGAACGCGACTTGTGGGAACGCGACGGAGATGATAATAGCGATTCTAGCGGTTGGACAAAGGAAGATGAGGATAGTGAAACTCTCACTTCTTGGCTCTATCCTCTCCAATCTTCTCTTCGTCTTAGGCACTTCTCTCTTCTTTGGTGGTCTCTCCAATCTCCGCAAACTCCAATCTTTCGACCGCGTAAGTCCAAATTATCTCGTCCCAATATTTCCATTTCGTTTCAGCTACCAGAGTCATCAAGAGGTTTGGGTATTTTCGAAATTTCGTTCGGTTGGTTCGGCTTTTGGGGTTATCCGGGTTTTAATAGTTCGTTAAAATTTTGGTTTCTACCGGTATTCACATCTTGGTTTAGTTCAGTTAACCTCTTTTTTTTTTTGGGTCAGAGGTTCAGTTTAACTAATTTAATAATGTGTATATTCTTGCTGTGTTCACCGAATTATAAACACAAACAAAATTTATGTTTATAAAAGCATTTTCTATTGGGTTTTTTTCTCATAAAAATGCAAAAGCGGTTTAGTAAGATTCATATATCACTGTCTATTTTTTTTTAACCTCTAAACATTTCGAATACAATGATGGAACACAATTTCATAGAATTTTCACGTCTTTGATTTTTTACAAGAACAGAGACAAGGAGATATGAACTGCATATTGCTGTACCTGGCGCTATTGTGTCAAACACTACCAATGATATTAAGACTCACAACAGAGGCTGGAGGAACAGGAACAGATGCTAATGTTTTAGTTCCAAGAGTTGAGGAAATACTCACAGCAAGCGAAGATGGATCATATGTGGTTGTTCTGTCAAGAGCAAGCAGCTTCGTTATGCTCTTTGCTTACTTGGCTTTCCTCATCTTTCACCTATTCCCTTCTCGTCTCTCTCCTCCTCCTCCTCCTCCACAGGTTCTCTCTCTCTCTCTAAAACCCTTCAAAATATTTATGACATTGATTAATTGTGGTGCATGTTTCCTCATATCTAATGTTTATTGCTTCGCTAATATATATATAAAAAAAGAGGGACGTAGAGGAGGAAGAAGAGGATGTGTATGACGATGACGTTGGTGACAATGCAGAAGAAGAAGAAGCTGTAATTGGACTGTGGTGTGCGATTTTCTGGCTTATTATAATGACACTCCTCGTTGCTTTACTCTCCGACTACCTTGTCTCCACTATCCAGGTATGTTATAGTTACAATAGAGATCGAGGGTCACCAAATTGCACTGTAACTCGAGGTAGCACCTACGTTGACTAATTTTTTTTTTTTTTATACAGTATAAGGAAGCTCATATTAGACAATATAAGTTAATTAAACTCTAGTTGTATACCTGAACCAAATCATTAGTTCCTAAATGAATTTGAAATGAAAATCCATACACTTCTAAGTATTTTCAGTAGTTAGTTGCAGATTTATGCAAACGATTGTATTAAACCCATATATCGCATTAGAGTTTATATGTTATGATATGATGTTTATATTAAATGAAAAATATAGTATAATCTTGAAAAACTTAAATTTAATTAATTGACCCCAGTCCATTACGAGTAAAA